CTTTGTTGCTGCAAAGTCTTTTGACAAACTCCAATCATCCCTTTGTCTAATGAAGAGATTGATGAAGCGGGGTTTAATCAAGAGGAAATCCTAAAAAATAATTAAAAAAAAAGAAAAGAAAAAATGAAACACAATGGTTTTTCTAAAATGGAAACTAATAATCAAATTACTATTCATTTTTCATAAATGACAAAACAACTATCAAGCTGAAAATTTTATATTTTTTCCATCCATAAATTTAGGGTTCTAACCTAAATTGGAGGCAAGGTGACTGAGTGATTGGTTAGAGTCAGACAAATCCCTTTTTTTTTCTAGTACGACGATTTAGAAATATGGGTATTGAACTTCCGACTTCTAGTGAAGTAGTACATGTCAATCACTGCTGAGTTATGGCTCGACAAATCTCATTGTTTATGGTTCGTCTCGTATAAGTAATTCTTACTGTATAGAATGAAATTCTCCAAGTACAAATTATAAAAATCAAACAAACTCACAAAATCAATTTCAAAGTTCTTAAATAAATTATCTTCATCATTTTTGTTTGAAATAATTGTCTTAATCATTAATATTTATATTAATAATATTCTTTTTAAAAAACATCCATTCTCTAGTATATATCTAAATATAAGATAAAGGTCAAAATTTTAGGCTTTAATCTTATTTCAACTTTTAAATTTTCATGCTTATTCGAGGTTCATCTTAAAATTTACTTAACAATTTATTTTAATTATTATCGTTAATTTCTTGAACAATTATTTAACATAACCCTAACATATGTACGATTATGGGAAATTTTTCAAATGTTTCAAACACAGAGAATTTTTTTTTTTTTTTTTTGAAGGACAGAAAATTTTGATGAGTAATTAATACTTGAAAAAAAATTAACCGTTAAATTAGTTTTTGAGATTTGAGGATTGAAATAAATATTTAGAATTTAAAACATTGAAAAACGATAGAGATCTGAGATTAAAATAAAAGTTTAAACCAAATTTTAATACTTTTACACGTGGGAGTCGGCCAATCTTGTCTTTAAATTTCAAACAAACTCACAAAATAAATTTGTTTGTATAAGTTTCAAAGTTCTTAATAAATTATCTTCATTGTTAATATTTATATTAATAATATTGTTTTTTAAAACATCTAATCTCTTATATAGACCTAAATATAAGATACGACTAAAAACAACTTTAGGCTTAAATCTTCTTTCAACTTTTAAATTTTCACATTTTCATATTTATTCAATTTTTATGCTAAATTTTACTTAAAATTTTATCTGTTAATTTCTTTAAAATTATTTAACATAAYTTCTTTTATATTTATATATTTATTTATTTCACATAACCTAGTACGGTTATGGAAAATTTTCAAATGTTTCTAAACATATACAAAATTTTGATAAGAAAGTAATACTTGATAAAAAAAAATATTAAACAAAATTAACCACTAAAATAGTTTTTAAAATTTAAAGATTAAAATAAAATATTTAAAAATAAAAAAAGTTCAAAGATAAGAGAGTTCTGATATTAAAAAATAATAATAAACCAAATTTTAATGATTTTACACGTGGGAATCGGCCAATCTTGCTTAAATCAAACAAACTTACAAAAATAAATTTGTTTGAATAAAATTTCAAAGTTCTTAAAAAATTATCTTAATTATCAATATTTACATAAATAATTTTTTTAAACATCTACTCTCAAAAATAGATCTAAATATAAGATACACCTAAAAATCATCGGCTTAAATTTTATTTCAACTTTTAAATTTTCATGTTTATTTAATTTTTATCCTAAATTTTACTTAAAAATTCGCTTTGATTATTCTTGTTAATTTCTTTAAAAGTTATTTAACGTAACCCTAGCATAAGTAGTATTATGGGAAAATTTTGAAATGTTTCTAAACACATACAATATTTTGATAAGTAATTGATACATGATTAAAAGAAAATAAGTGGAAATTAAGAAGATGAATTTGGTCAAGTTAATGATTGGTAACTTGGAATTCAAAATCATGATAGGATTTTACTTTTGGTATTGCATGATTTTGAATGACTTTAAATCTTACTGGATTTCAAATGCTATTTTTTACTTTAAAAAATTACGAATCAAAATGGTCAGATTTGTCAAGATTTCATAAAATTTCGAAGTAAATTACCTATATAATCTCACAATATTTTAATTTCTAATTAATAAATTTAGATTAAAAACTCAAATCAATAAAATTTTTATTTTATTTTCATTTTTAACGACATCCAAACAAATAAATTTAATTCGTTTCAAAGATTGATTTCGAATCACGAATTACAAATCAGAAAATTTAAAATCAATTCTTCTTTCTTAACGTCAGACCGAGGTAAAGTAACATTTTGACGGTTTTACACGTGGGATAACGTTGCCTTGTGGGACCCACCAATTAAGAAATTGAATTTCCAAAAAAAATTGGAGCCGCTGAAAATACAGCGTCGATTCGATTGGACCACGTAAGCACATCTTCAGAAAGAGCAATACGGTTATTATGATATTTATTTGAGGCTATTTCGGTCACTTTGGTTTAACAACTACCCTCACCAGCTAGTTACAGGAATCGTGAACCACTATATAATTAATAAACTCAAAATCTTCTCCATTCCGTTTCTTCCATTCGTCGCAATTCGCCTGAGACCGCATTTATTCTTGGTTTTTCTCTTCAATTCTCTCACGAAACAGGTAATTTGAATAACGATTTTCCCTCCGATTTTACTATTCCTTTTCCATTGATCGAAGAGTTTGATTTTTCGCATTTAGCATTTGATGTTCTTCGTTTTCCACAGCTATTTGGCTTAATCTGGACTTATTTTTAAGCATAATGTCCGAGTATCGATCGATTTCTATAAGTATAGCTTTCAAATTTATTTTTTCCCCCCGTTTTCGAGTTCCCGAGTTGTTGAATGGTTTATCAATTGATATGTTGCTGCAGCATTGGAAACTTTGTCGAGTACAAACACATTGGTTATTGACCTAATGAGTTTCATGGAATGGTCTTTTCAGTTTCTGCCTATCTGATCACTGTTTTCTGAGGTCTTAGTGTTGTCACGATATGGATTCTACTCGTGCTGTTTAGTTATTAGGTGGAACATTTTAAGAATGAATGCCTCGGCTATCTCTCTAGTGAATTAACCGTAGTAGTTCTGAGATATATTTTCATGGAGATGTTAGTTTATCAAGTCAGAAGAATCCTCTGTCTACTTTTCTTTTCAAATTAGTCATGGAAAAGTGCATAGAGGACTTGATGGATTTAGACTTGGATGCTACTCCTTATGATGTCCTTGTATCAGAATTTTTTTTTAATACGCGATAGTGCTATATCAGACTTAACTTTCTCTAACTTTCCATTCGTCCCGTCTTCTCTTTCTGTGGAAAAGTGAGAAAATAGTAGCAAATTAATTAAGTTGCTTTCATAAACTATGTATCCTTCATTCCCTTCGTTTTGGTGTCTTGTGCCTTGAAATTTCATTTATCATTGAAAACTATTTCTTATTAAAAGAATAGTGTAGTCAAATTCTTCTTGCAAATTTTGTTGATAAATAGTTAACTTCTTGTTATCCCAAGTCTGAAACTTGAGAATTAGGTCTCTTTTCAAAGTTTCTACTTGCTAGCACAAGTGCTGCTATCAGCTATGAAATCTTTGAATGCTCGCTCCACATTGCAGTGGAAAAGTAAGAATTAATATTTCATTTTAAGTATGGTAGCTCCTATAGACTGGCTGAGTGTGCGTTACAATAGAAACCTTGGAAAAGCAGACTCAGCAGCCATTTAACTGCTTACATGAATGTGAAAATATGATATACCCAGATGGTTAATCATGCCGCAGGGATAAGGCTAAGACTAAGAGTGCCACTTATCTCAGTTGATTCTGGATGAGACAAAGTAACTTATGGCTTTGGTATCAAAATGAGACAAGCCTACATTAGAACGGCCATGCAATAGAAAAGGCACATGGTGCTGGATGTTAGATGCTAGATACCTGTGCAAGTTATAATCAGGTGGTAACATTTTTTGTTCAGTGGAAGAGGATCATGGTAATGATTGAAAAATTTTGCCGTGCTATGGTTTATCGATAATTTTCATGCTATTCCCACCTGTTTTCCCATGTTAGAATTTTACCTGTTAAATCATTAGTTTATTTGTTGGTATGGTAAGACAGTTGGACCTGTTTATTTCCTTTTTCTTTTATCTTCCTAGAAGTAAGTATACATATCCATAGGAAACTTTCTCCTTGTTGGCAGTTGATTATTTTGATTGCATAATGAACCACTTTTCAAACTTATGACAGAACAACCTGAAATTTTTTTCTTCAATAATTTATCTTTTGGTAACTTATTCTTATAATTCATGTTGTTTCGATAGGATCCGCTTGTTTTCTACAATACTATGGCCTCTGCAAATGGACTAGGAAGTATTCAAGGAAAGCAGCCTTTGTTTTCTTTCGGTGTAATTTCTGACGTGCAGTATGCTGATATTCCTGATGGTCGTTCATTCCTTGGCACTCCCCGTTATTATCGACATAGTATTCTTGTACTGAAAAGGGCAGTTCAAAACTGGAACAACCAAAAAAAACTTAAATTTGCCCTAAATTTTGGAGATATTGTTGATGGATTTTGCCCCAAGGACCAATCTCTCAGCTCTGTGAAGAAAGTAGTTGGTGAATTTGATAACTTTAATGGTCTGGTATATCATATGATTGGAAACCATTGCCTCTACAATCTTCCTCGCAATGAGTTGCTTCCATTATTGAAGATTCCAACACTTGATGGAAGTCATGCTTATTACGACTTCTCACCGACTCCAGAGTTCAGATTCGTCGTACTTGATGGCTATGATATTAGCGCTATTGGTTGGCCTCAGGATCATCCAAAATCAGTGGAGGCCCTCAAAATTCTATCCCAGAAAAACCCAAATACAGACAAGAATAGCCCATCAGGACTGGTTGGCTTAGAAAGAAGATACCTTATGTTCAATGGAGGAGTTGGTAAAGAACAACTGAAATGGTTAGATGGTGTACTTCAAGAAGCAACAAATTTAAAACAGAAAGTAATCGTTTGCAGTCATCTGCCTCTTGATCCTGGTGCAACATCTTTTGCAGCACTTCTATGGAACTACGACGAAGTAATGGACCTGATACACAAATACAATTGTGTGAAAGTTTGCCTTGCTGGCCATGATCATAAAGGTGGATATTCAATAGATTCCCATGGAATACATCATAGAGTTCTCGAAGCTGCCCTCGAGTGCCCCCCGGGCAGCGACGCATTCGGATACATCGATGTCTACAATGATGGTTTATATCTTGCTGCTACAGACCGGATGAGCAGCTTGAAAATGCTTTTCGATTCTGATCAAGCTTGTGATAATGGCTACATTACAGACCCTTTGACTCCTACATTATAAATGATTTACAACGTATATATTCCATGGTCATTAGATTATAGCGATTTGAAAAGTGAAAACGATGACATTTTAAGTTAGATTCCCTTGTAGAGATTGCTGAGAAGCTCTTTCATTTTTCCTGCTGCCACAGATGGGGTTGAAAAAGAAAATACAACAAAACGTCTTCATGGTTCCTTAGTTTTTCATATCATTAGATGATTAGATCATTTCACTGCAAAGTGATTATCACATCTGTGAACATTGAATACACAGCCACATTAATACATTTTATTTTCCACCATATATCATATCGTTGATTCCTTTTTTTCCCCCTAGAAAATTACAGTACCAACAACAGAAACCCAAATTACAAAAGACTTTAAAAATAGCTCATATAACCTACTCTTAAATCAAGCAGATTGGCGTTGATGCAAACTAGGAAGGAAACTCAATCACAAAAGTTTCCACCTTTCTTGTTAATTTACTGCCCCTGCGCAGCCGCCGCTGCCGCCGCCGATTTGGCCTTCCTCTTGTCGGCGAAGAAAAATCCGAACAGCGCCACCACAGAGAAAGCACTGAAGCAGACGGAGGCGATGTCGAGTGACACGTGGCGCCCGGTGATCGATTCGATTTGAAATAGGTTGGTGGCTTTCCGATCGTCGGTTGTTTGGCCGTATGCCACCTCATCGCCGGCGGAATTTAAAGCGTAGGCCCGGACGAAGAAAGTCGCCGTCGGCACGTCACGCTTCACCGTCGACTCGAACTTTTGGACGGCCGGATTGTACGGCTTCTCGACGATGAGGAACTGGCAGGTCTTGTCCTTTGAGAGATCGTCTTCCGTTTTCCTCCACGCGCGGTCCACTTGGCTCACCTTCGCGTAGCATAACTTCACCTTCACCGTCTTGTACTCCGAATCCGACCCGGCCCGGACCGTCCCGTTCAGAACCCAGCTCACGTTGATTTTATCTACACCCGCTTTCAGAACTGCCCAAAAGAAACAAAAAAACACAAACCCAGGTATCAGAAATTGGTAAATTTTGATTTCTGCTTCAGATGTCATGAAAGAATCTGAGAAAAAGAGGTGGGGAACTGAAAAGTCTTACCTTGGCCAGGTTTTGGGGAAGCAGTGACTTCCAAAGTTCTTGGGAGAGTGGAAAAATGGCCTTTTCCATGAGAGAATCCGAAGAAACAGGACAGAAACAGAGCAGCCAAGAGAAACCCACGTGGAGCCATTTTGATCTGATCGCTCAAGTTTCAGCTGATTGACAAAAAAGTGAAGAGAATCTCTCAGATTTGACGATGATAATAGCAGAATTTGGGGGTTGGTTTGGTTTATATAAAAGTCGCGACAGAACAAGTCAAAGCAGCCCAAGTGGATGTGGGGGAGGAGAATTTGATTGAGTATTTGATTGAGGAGATGGAAAATTAGTAAAATAATTATGATCAGGAAAAGTTTGGCTCTAAAGTGGATTGAAAGGACAGAAGGGGAGAATGGTTTGGGTTTAAAATAATGGTGACAAGGGAGATTAGGATTTAGGGGTTTAGTTTAAGTGGTTGACTTTGGATTTACACATCTGTATTATTGTTTGCAGACCAAAGATTGGGGAGAAAACAATTGTATTACGAAAGTTTACGTGGTTTCCTTTGGTCATTTTCTTTCTTTTTTTTTTTTTATGAAACTTTGTTTCTTATTTTTAATTTTTCATTTTTAAGAAATATTTTTCAAGATTTTTCTTTCTTTGTTCTATGTGATGTTTGTTTTTTTAAATATAGATAAATACGGTGTGTTATCGTTACTATAATAAATATCAAAAAGTAAATATAACATAAAAGTTTTGAATATTTAATTTGAAAAATTAATTTTCATATAAAAGTTTTATATTTTTTAATATAAATGTTTTATCATTGTACTTTTAGTGAATAACGATTTAGTTTCTCTACTTCACATTTGTAACAATTTAGTCCTCAAATTATAGTATGTAACAATTTAGTATCGATAGTTTTAAATTTATAACGATTTGGTCCCTATTGTGAAAAATTTTGTTAAATATCTTCTACATTTAGATCGATAAACTGATGAAGGACCAAATGAGTTTATAAATTACAAAGGCTAAATGGTTGTAAGATAAAAATCGATACTTAATTTTGATAAAAAAAAAGTTCACAGTATGGATTAAATTGTTAGAAATTTTAAATTTATGGACTAAATTGCTACATACAAAAGTTCAAAAACTAAAATTGTTACACCAATTTATAAGTACAAGGACTAAATATTTATAAACTAAAGTTCATTGATTAAGTCATTACTTTAACAAAAACATAGGGACCAAAATGTGTTTCTTAACCTAAAAATTTTATATTTTTTAATATAAAATTTTAAATAACAAGAAACGAAAAATAGTTACTAAATACTATTCTAATCTTTTTAATTAAAAGAAAAACAAGAAACACAAAATAAAATTGTTATAAAAAAAGAGTCTGAATGTTGTGTTGGGTTTGTAAGATGAATGCAAACAAAGTCTCACGTTGACTGGAGAATGAAATGATCGTGGATATATAAGAGAGAACAATTATCTCTAATTGTATGATGCCTTTTGGGATGAAACCAGTAAAAGCAAAGTCGTGAAGACTATGCCCAAAGCGAACAATATCATATCATTGTAGAAATACTCAAAGTACTTGAGATACCGTTATCTTAACATGTTGATTTTGATTGGAATTTAGGAGATTGTCCCCTCGTGGAGTTGGAAAGAGCAGAAGATATTTCAAAATTTAGGGCTGAGCTGAGCTTTTACAGACAAGGAAAAGGCAAAGGCCAATCACCAATGATATTTTGCTTTGTCTCTTTTTTTCAACGTCACACTTTCTATTTTATATTTCACAAAACTCTGTCAATAGTCAACTTACTCCCCCACCACCTAGAGAGAAAGATTACTAATAAAAGAAAATTGGCAAATTGTCAGCTTGGAGTTGTTTCATACCATTTTTGATCACATTTTGTAGGATTTTCCATCTATTTTATTGTTTTATTTTTGTGGTCTCAAAAATTATGTGTCAAATGACATCGATGGAGATGCAAACATAGAGATAGACTATAGTCAAGAGAGAACTAATTATAAGAGCAAAATATTTTGGATCGAAATAAACCTCAGTTCGATCCGTCGGGTATTACATATCTCACTAAAGGTTGAAGGTTTGAATCTCTCGCTCCAACAACTGATGTAAAAAGAAGAAAGAACATCTTGGTATGGGATTCTTGAGATGAAATCGAAAAATAAAACTATATTGGCGAAGCTTAATCAAATTAGAAAATATCATGTTATTGTGGAGATAGGAGAAACATGGTGTCCTAACACAGTGTATATAATTGTTTCTATATTTCAGCACTCTGTCATCTATAAAAGTGTATAGTTGTCTTTTTTAAGGACAAGTGTTCTACCTTTAAAATATTAGATGAAGAAATTGTTAATAAATTAATATAATGTTTTTAAATTGAAAGCTACAAATAAAATAAATCTAATGTAATTATCAATCTAAAAGAAGCAACATGCATGTCAATTGAATATAGCCCAATTTTCACCATTCATAATTAGAAAATTTATCTAGATCTTTGCCATGGGAGCTAAAATTTCTGAAATTAGAAATGTCAAAATAGGAGTAGCACTTCGTATTATTGAAAATGTCCATAAAATATCATATTCATAAACAAACTTCTATATATATGTAAAAAAATATATATATATCAGATTAGACAATTCAAATGGAAATGAATTGTTGTATGCATGATAAAAGATCGACGATTCAATCTTCCACCGTGGAAAAATGAAATATGCTTTAATTTATATGTTTCTTCCCCAATTTAAATACATCCAAACTTTCTTTAACTAAATCATATATATTCTCTTATCTCCAACTATTTTAACTTTTATATATGGATTTTAGTTTGGAACAAATCTTGACTGCAAAATTCCTATTTGTTTTGTCATGTAGTTCTTATTTACTTTTCATCTGGTTAATTTATATTCTATCTATTGGTATCATATTTTAGGTTTATATATGAATTTGGCATGGATTTTTAAAAATCTATTTTCTATTTTGATTTTTAAATTTTTTAACAACATTGTTTTGGTGTTCCAATATTTTTTTTATATCCACTCTCAATTTTAATAATCCTCAAATTTTTATAAAACTTTATTCCAATCCGTGTCAACATAAATGTAATAATGTGCAAATAATAACAGGAATAATAAATTATGTTACCTCGGATTTAAAAAATTAAACTAATATTTTTAATTAGTTATAATTTCATTAAAAAAAATTTCTTTTTTGAGACCGTAATTTCATAAAAGTTGATGTCAAAAATTGATATTTTTAAATGTTAAAACCTAGAATGAAAAGCAGATAAAGTTTTAGTTGCTTAAAATCCCCATTGGACCATAGTACTTGAATAATAATTAAAAGTTTAAAATTTTAAAATTTTAATTATTTTAAAACAGTGGTTTGTCAAAATCTAAAACTTAATATGATACCATTTCGATTCAAATTCACGTACTCCCAATTTATTGTATTAAGACAAATTTAATTAGAAGGGAGTATTGTTGTGGTGTGAAAATCAATAAAATAAAATAAAAAAAGAATTAAGTTCTGTCACTCAAGTTTTAGCTTGGTATGTTACGTTGTAATCTCAGACAAAAAGATTAGCTTTTCAACAAAGCATGAAGATGAAGATTTGAACTCACGAACTTACAGTTAGACATACTACGTGTTTTTAACTCGCTCAAGTTAACATGAAAACTAAATTTTTAAACCTATGTTTAATCAACGCGTAAATGTGATTAATATTTTTCAATAATATAGTAAGAACAGAGGAAAATTATCTCTGGTGGTACGTGTCTTTTGCAACAAAGTTTTGGCATTGTTCTTCATCAAAAAAGACACAGCGAAAACGCCGGCCATAAATCTATGCGAAGAAAACCCGACCCCCAAAATGATAATTACTATGTTCGAAATTAATAATTAATTTCTTCTTCAACTACTAATTAACCTCCTCTAACGAAAATTAGTTCCCGGAGATTGAATCCAAACTCCAATTAGGAAGATAGCTCTCTGGTTTCAGCCATGGAAACGAAACAGAGCAGAGAGAATTCGAGGGATGCGGCAAAATTAGGGCACAAAAACGTGCCAATTAAGAGACTCGCGAATCATTCCCGGCCTCAGCAGGCTCCCGATCTCACGGATTTTATGAACGACATGTTCTTCGGCGCCGTAAACGCGGACCGGAGAGCCTACAATTTGACCGGTACTGCTACTGAAGAAGAAGATTCGTTCGATCGGAGCAGTAGAAGCAGCCAATTGACGGAGGAGTGGCTGGACGAGGCACGCCGGCTGGTGGCTTCGTCTCCTTCGCGGTGTAGTTCGCCGGCTCGGCTCGTCGGATCGCCGAGGTTTGCGGCGGCCAACGGTAGATCGCCGGCGGCGCTCATTGATCGGAGAGACCCGCTCTCAAGGTCCGCTAGAAGGTTAGCCTCACTCTTTTGAAGCGCCAACGTGGGACTCGGAGATTTAAATCATCAAATTTTCCGTTTTTTTAATTACCATATTTTTTCTATTCAAACCAAATTCAGGTGGGACAATTTATTCATGAATATAGCATATAAATTTTACGAGATGATATTTTATTTTAATAATATAAGAGTTTTTCTTTCTTTTTTTTTTTCATAGAAACGTGGATTTATAACAATCTGATCGAAAAGTAGAAATAGGATTTTGGATGTTCGTGAGATTTGTGTTATTGCTTCAAAGTTGAGATAAAAATAAAATTCGTAATGAGTTTTTTTAGTACAACATGTGGATCGAAGAATTCGAATTCACGACCTTCTAATCTTACCTATATAATTTAACTGAGCTAAATTCAAATTGGCATTAATGGTATGAATTATTTGTTAGGTTAGAAAATAACATCTCACTAAATTCAAATTATATAAACTAAAAATATAGTTAAATATATTTTTATTCAACATTACGTACAAATACTAAAAATTTGACAATTTATTATTATTATTTTTATTTGAAATATCTACTTTTCGATTTTCCTCTCTCCTACTTGTAAAAATCATTTAATGGTAATCATTAGATGGATACTTATGGGTTGATACTTAAATATTGTTTTATTTTATTTTAGATATAAAGTAAAGATTGAGGTGTTTTTTGTGCATAAATCAAATTTTTTATCACATTAGGAAAGAATTCACATTGTAATGGTAATTTTCTTCAAAAAGAAAAAAACTCTTTACCCTGGATATGATTTATTTTTACTAGATATAACAAATGTCTGAAATCGTATTTATTTAATATTGAGGTTTAGGCTACGTTTTATTTTAATTTGGTTCTTTTTTTAGTAGAATAAATGTGGAGATAGGAATTGAATCTCCGACTTTAATGGAAGAAGCAAAATACCTTAACATTGAACAATGTCCATGTTACCATTTTAATTTGGTCATACCTATGTTAGTTACTAGAATTAAAAAAATATCTATTTTGATCATTTTAACTTTATTTTGCTTTTAACAAATTGATAGTGTAACTTGCAAACATGTGCATTAACTTTTTTTTCCCTCTTTCCTTGAGCTCAACAATTGTTTGCGTGGGACAATCCCACAATTGACCTTAAGAATGGAAATAAGTCTATAATTATCTGGTGAATCCTTTGCAAAGATAATAATAATAATACTCATTATCTAGTGAATTAAACTTTGATTGATCGAAATATATATATTAATGTGTTTATGTGGATATGTATAGAAACCACCTCACATTAGTAGGTTAAGAGTAAGTATTAGGTGAACCAGCATAATTAAGTGACAAAGTATTAGCAAACGACTCATATATATATATATGTACTAAAATTTAGTGATTCTACTTAGGTGAACCAGCATAATTAAGTGACAAAGTATTAGCAAACGACTAATATATATATACTGAAATTTAGTGATTAGTTTCAGAGGGTGAAATAAGCATTTTGAGAGTAAAAGAATTTTAAAATTTTAGAACAAATGAAATTTAAATCTAATATTGTCTCAACACAAATACACTCTCTTTATTTTCATTCCCTTAAAATAAGTTATTAGTTTTTATCAACATATCTATATTTTTACATTTTTGCATGTTTATGAAATCGACATTGGTATTAAAATTGAATCGACATTTGTTTTATATCGTAAAAAAAGTTGACTAGATATAGAAAATGTCGAGAAAAATATCATCAAGAGGTACATAATATTAATAATAAATATTTTTTATTTATTTTAAAAAGATGAAAGATTTGTTTGTTAATTTAAATATATATTTTTTAAAAAAATTATTGATTTTTATAATTTTCTAAAAACATCTGTCTGACTCTGAACATGGAGTTTTAATGGCAACAATAGGCGCAGAGCCGTGGACAACTTCAGTGGGGAGATCCTCTCCAAAGTCGTACGTCACAGCCGCAACAAATCGGAATCCTTTTCAACCTCCGCCGCCGCCGCCGAGGAGGAGGAGCACATTAATCCTGCTTTGGCTGTTCAAAAATGGATATCCAACATCCTCAATCCCTCCAATCCTCCTGTTGCCACTCCAATCCCCATCTCCGATCCTCCGTCCACTCCTCGCAAGTCTCGCTTCCACACCAATCTTCCCTCTTCTCGCCTCGCAATTCCTCCGTCGGATGCCCTACTTTCTCCGCCCAAGGCTCTGACTGAATCGCCGCCGAGAAGAACGCTCTCATCGCCGGCTTGTTCGCTTCAGGCGATTAGACCCAAATCCAGTCTAAATGGGTTCGCGAGGGCAGATTCTGGAGACCTGGAATTTGGTCTTAATGGGTTCCTCGAAGAACAGCGGCGTAAGATTCAAAACATCTCCAATGGGGAGCTGAATGTCGAAGTAAAAATCATTCTCTCGGGTCCTTCAAACAGTTGAGTTTATTAATACTCCTAAAATGTAGAATCACTCATCTATATGATACTTCTTTCGGAAATAATGATGGTAGCTCTGTTGAGATTTGAGAATGAAGAAATTGTGAGGATTTGTGCCATAAATCTATAGAATGAGGTTGAAGTATGTAATTATTGAGGTGGGGATGCTTCCTTGTTGCTCTATTGAAAGAACTTCTTGACATTTGAGAATGCAGGCACTAGTTCAATGGTGGCAGCAGTGTGCTATGCTTGGCTACTAGAGAACAAAATGAGGCAGAGTGAAGCTGAAAGCTGTCAAGAGTGTCTTGTGGTGCCTGTGATTAATATGCAAAGGGGAAAGATGTGGAACCAACGACAGGTTGCTTGGCTTTTTTACCACCTTGGACTTGATGCTTCCTCAATTCTTTTCACTGATGAGGTACTTCTGTTCCTTTATTGTTTTCCTTGTGACGATTTTGTTGCTATGCTTTATATCGATTACGAATCTGAATCATCAACAGAAAGAAATGATAACCATTGGCAATGAATAGCATACTAATCTTAGTTATTGGAATCTGGGTTCAGGTGGACTTGGAAAGTCTGCTGATGGCTGGTCAAACTAGCATCCTTGTGGTAGGGCAAGATGTCCTTAAGATGAGTGATGGGGTTAGTGTATGATGACGAAAAGAAATTTACTTATAGAATATCTTTTGAGAAGCCATCCCAGTTGTTGTATTCCTATTCAGGTTCATTTTTTCTATTTGTTGTTTAGGTTGGATCTCAGTGCACAATTCTCACAGATAATTATTGTGAAGATGCCTATCATTTACTTCAAACCCCTTTGTTGAAGAATCTTTTGGTAATTTCTACTGTACAGAAGATTTGTTCTTATTTAATTATTTGTCCCTAGTTTCGATTGTACATTCTCTTCAAACGGATTCTGACATGCATCTCAATGTCTTCCAGCTTGCAGGAATCCTGTTGGACACGAAAAATCTTGATGCGTCTTCTCAATCATCCATGACAAGAGATGCAGAGGCAGTTCGGTTGCTATTGGTTGGCTCAGCTCCGAATTATAGGAATGGACTTTATGATCAGTGTATGCCTCAGCAATTTATTTTTACTCTATCCTCGTGCGTTTGTCAGCACATTCTCTGCCGAGAAATATAAATATTGCAACATTTTTTTGGTTTTGTTTCGTATCAGTGATGCGAGTTCAAAAGGAACGTCCATTTTTGGATGCCTTGCAGCAAAGTTATGGGAAGCCTCCTAATAATGGTCAGCTTTCTATTATTTCATCTTGAAACTTTTATGCATAACTTCTTGCTCATGTGCTCTTAGTTTTATCAATTCAAGTATTTTTATCATAATTCTCTCGTCTCTTTAATTTCTTGTATCAACTTCGTGGCTATTCATGTCATTGTAACATTTTGATTTCCTCACTTTCTTTGTGGTGACAATGGCATTGTACATGATTGTGCAGAGCATATCACGGAGAGGAATCAAACATCCATCTCACCCCGTGACGACTCAATTAACCAACGAAAGAAATTCAATGATTTGGGAACCGCCAAAACCAGCAGGGCTTCACCACAATCTGGTACATGTGCAACAGCAAACAATTACACTACACCCCTTTTGCATTTTAATGCTATTTTGCACTCTGCGTCAATGAGAGATTATATTAACATGAAACTGTCTGTAATTTTTCTCTTTCAGCTAAACCCGGTTCATTACCTATTCAAACACCAGCTAAAGAAGCACCCAACACATCTCGTGGAAAGAACAAAAATTTCTTGGCAAAATGGTTCGGTTTTGGGTCGAAATGAGATAAGATTGGCTCGGTTTGATCGAATTTTAGCTGAGTTCAGAGATCCCAGTATTTTAATATGGGTCATACTGGTTCATGTCCTTTCTTGAGTAATTGATCTGAGTTTTGTCCCACATTTTCACAAGTATATGTTCTTTGTTTTGCAGTATATCAGGAAATATAGTGACAGTTGGTCTGAGCTTTTTGAATGATTCTTCTGAACAGAATATTCACGAACGTTGTCATTTATATTAGTGTTTGTTGTCGCCAGATGCTGGAAATTCAGATTCTTGTAATTTGTAGTTGGTGCTAGAAATAGTTGTTCTTTAAAAAAGAATTATTTACCGCATAGTTTGATGTCAGGCAATCAAATAGACTGTATTTGTGATTGATTTGAATTGGGAAAAGCTATGAAATTTTTGAAGATGCAAGTATTTGCTTACAAAAGTGGTGTTTGACTTGCAAGTAATTAAGTTTGTATAATCGAAGTCAAGAAATCGAGCTCATATTTAATACATGGGTTTACTTTTATTGATTTTTTTGAAAATAATACATTAGTTTAATTTAAGTTATGAGTTTCCGAATTAAAGAGTGGCTTGAAACTCATCCTTTTTAATATATATGATTTTCAGAAATCACAAATTCATCTTTTCTCCTTTTCCCTCACCTCGTTTTTGACTAGATCCTATTTTTTGATCGAATGCTCGTTTGAGTTTTTAGGTTCTAATACTGTAACAATATTCATGGGGAGGAGTAGTCCCACTTATATTTTAAATTTTTGTTGAGTTTCTTATATTTTTATCGTGGGATCCTTAACAATATTCTCCTCTTTTATTAATCTTTTAATAAAGAAAAATAGAATGAGATGGTTGAATACCATACATTCAAGGATGATCAAATAATATTTATATTTATGTTTTGCAAGAAATTGAAAATGGAAATAAGAAATAAAAAACAGACCTGAAATAATTGAGAAGGTGGAGCGAAGGGAGAGAAAGATAACAGCGCTAAAAGATAATAAATATTGTGATATCATTTTAAAATGGTTAACTTTTTAAATTTATAGAGTAAATAGAAATTTATTCTCAAATTCAAGACAGAAAATATATTTTACATTTTTCTTTAATATATATATATAGAAAATGTTACTCGTTCAAATATTAAAGAAACGAAAAAGAAAAAAGCAAAGCCCACTGATTGAGCCCGTAGTCCAAAGCGGTAAACTCAAGGTCCAGCTCAGTTGCATTGCAAGAGTGCCTGCTTTCTTCACCAAAAACCTCTCAGTCTCCTGATTTAGGGCTTTAGGCTTCAAGATTTCATCTCAACGAGGGGCTCTACTATTGCTCTCCCCGAGTAGGATCGGTGAGTGGGATCTTTTTTTTTTTCTAATTTGGTTTTGCTATTCGGATTTTGTGGGTTTTTGTGATCTAGATCAAGCTCCGGCTTTGACAGCGATTTTGATCCCTGCAATGTGTATTTGAATTGCATTACTTATTCGCTGCTGTGACAATTCTATATGTATTGTTTTCTATTACTCGCGCTCATGAATTTTGTTTGGGTTATGCAGTTCGAAATCTAGCGCGAAAATGCAAAGTTTTCGCAGAATTAATCAGTTGGTACGAAGGCAAAGTCCCGATGCTCATTTCAAATCGATTAGAGGTTACCCACTTAATGGGGATGCTGGCTGTAGCTGCTCGGCGCCAATGTCGATGGAAAACGGTTTTACTATTGCTCGGCCTTTTGGAAATCCATATGGGTCTTTGAATGGTTCCTTCTTGAGGTCTTTCTCAAAGTTGAGCAATCAATATCCGGAAGCCTTCGTATGTATTTTTTCTTATTTAAGTATTCATGCGTTATGATCGTTTATTAGTATCATTTGTTTTTTTGCGTTGTTTTTGAAGTTTCTATTCGGTCAAAATATCGGTCAAGCTCCAATTACAAACTTTTACGGAATCATCTATACTCCATGTTTAAGTTCATAAGCGATAGGACACAAGAATATGACATGGTCTTGGCCAACATCTGATTGGCTTATGTACGTTTTTGGGTCCATGTCTCCATCTCTGGCCAGACGTGATTTCTACTAAATGTTTTATTGCTAAAAAGTTATGTAAAGTATGAACAGTTTAGCTCGAAATTGATCCTGACGTTCAGTAATGCCTTAATCAACAGAATTGTCTTCATTATTGTCTTAGTGATTACGTATCGTATTTTCCAAAAGATGAAGATAGTCCGAAAATAATTAGCTTGCAATTGCATGAAGCTGGTGTACTTTTTCAAAAAAAAAAAAAATTGTAATTAGCTCTTTGCTTTTATATTACTTGCCAATTGGAGTGCCTTTCTATAACTTCCTTGGCATCTATGGAGATGGCTTATCTTCCTCTTTTCTATCAGTGATGCTAGTTTTTTATGTACTAAAAAGAACTGAAACAACAGAGAAACTACCATCTATCCTATGAAATATTTTCAGAAAATTGTGTATATGAACTGTGTTAAATTATGATACTTATTGGAAGCAATATCTATTTCTTTTAAGACTTGGGAATATATCGTCATAACATTTTATTCAACTTCATGGCAGATAAATATGGGTTCTCAAGTGGAATTTGTGTCTTCGAGAAAGCATGTATCTTCAACTTGTTCAGTATTCCAGAGGCCTAGGCCACTTTTATTTCAGTTGGCAGAAGTTGCCCCTCCTTTTTCTAGCAGGGGCATTGCGACTAGTTCCGTGGAATCAGTTTCACAAGAATCTCCTGAAATTACCCCTGATATAACTCCTCGCATCAAATTTAAGAGGCTGGATAAAACCTCAAAACACATAATGCAGGCACTCACATTTCTGAGTATTTTTGGAAAATAAGTAATTGCATTTCATCTTCCCATTTATTTGGTTTTCATATATTGTTTTTCTTCCACAGATTTTAGATAAGGAAGCTATTGAGGAGGTAAAAGCACAGAGAGAAATTCCAGATATTAAGCCAGGCTATATTGTGCAGCTCAAAGTGGTAGAGTTCATTTTAGTCAAATAGTATATCATGTTGTATCATTGGTTATAGATAACGTTCTTATTCTAAATGCAGTTGTAGATGAGGTTATTGAAGTGTTTTCTGGCTTTTTCTGTCTTCTTTGAACAGGAAGTACCTGAGAACAAGCGCCGTGTCTCGACATTGAAAGGCATTGTAATAGCCAGACGCAATGCTGGTCTAAACACAACTTTTAGACTAAGGAGGCTAGTTGCTGGTGTTGGGATTGAGTCGCTCTTTCCTCTGTAAGTAATGCTAATTTTTTGTTGATATTTAATTTTTTCCAAAAGTTAGCTTCCTAACTTCATTACCTTTGTCCCTGCTCACCTCAATGATGAAGAAGCATATTCTTTGTCTTTGTTCTATTCATTCCCTCCCTTAGATGGCTGACATTAACGAATGTAATGAGGTTATGCTAAGCTCTAGATCTCAATTTTGCGTTCGCATGTCATAGAGTCTTCTCTTTCGTCTTGTAGATTATGGTTTTCATTTTTCCTCTTTTTTTGGTGGAGAATTTGATACAAATGATTAACTTTAAGGCGTGTACCTATATGGATTTTGAGTCTTGAACCATGCTTGAAATTTTTTGAGATTCATGTAACATATTATAAGAAAGAGCATTAGGAAAGAAATGTAATTATGATACAAAGGAATTACACTTATGGACCCTATTCTATTTAAACAGAGGAACAATCATCCTCTTGAAGAAATGCAATTTTTTTTTATCATAGTTCAGGTGGAGATTCATGTAGCATCTCATTAGAAAGAGCACTAGGAAAGAAATGCAATTATGGTACAAATGATCTTACTCCATGTGGACAATATTCTATTTCAACAACAGAGGAACAAACATCTTGTTGAAGTTGCTGTATAATATATACACACATAGATATGTGAGGTCTTCCTCTTTATAGATGTTCATTGTCACTAAAACTAAAATCAAACTCTTAGTTACGTGAGAGCTCGCTAGTCTAACTTTTGATTAGTTTGATTGTTTTTGAGAATTCACATTTGGTTTTGCCTGTCCACTGTCTATTTCTGGTGGCTCTTTGCATATGACTAATCAAGTGATTGATGAATGACAGATACTCACCAAACATAAAAGAGATTAAGGTGTTGGACAAGAAGAAAGTGCGGAGGGCCAAGCTTTATTATCTTAGGGACAAAATGAACGCACTTAAGAAGCAATAACAAGCTTTCTATCCAGTGGGATCAGAGGTGTGTACCTAACATGGTGCGTTGTAATCATTCTTAGCAAGAAACCTCATGAGTTTTCATGATTATCTTATCCTGTTTCATGCATGGAGGACCGACCTGAGAATTAATTTGGTGGAGCACTCAGCTTTGGCTGAAATAAAGAGAATGAAGTCTAACATTGATGGCCATATTCTTTCTTTCTTTTCTATGATCTCAAGCAAACCAAACCATGTTATTTCAATTATCAATTCGACAAGATTGTGCATGATTCTGATTTCTTGCTTATGAAATGGATAAAGCTCAGTCTGTAAACTGCATTATTGGTATGCAATCTGGTTGGATGAGTTATTGATAGTATTTTGAGCCTATCCATGGTCAAACATAATCTTCTTTTGCTTAAGGGTTTTGATGCTTTTGGAATCCTTGGGAGTGACTCTGCATCATGTGTGGATTCCTTAAAATTTGAGGTTCTAAAGACTTTTATTCTTAAAATTTGGGCTTTTTTGTTTTCATGATCCATCTTAACTCAAAATTGTTGTCTGCAATTAGGGAACGTTTCCTCCCGAGATGATGGAGTGATGGGTGCTAAAAAAAATGTAAATTGGGTTTAAAATCTTGATCTTTTTCTCAAAATCAAAATCAATCAAATTGGATTGATCGAAACTAATTAGTTCTTGAATTTAATGAAATCGAGCACATTTAATTTGATTGATTTGATTTGATTTTTTCCCCTCCTTTTGATAGAAAATTTTATTGAATTATTAAATTAAACCAACGAAGTTGCAGAATCATGGCATCGTCCTCCAAGTTTCTTACTAATGTTTCTAGAATTCTTATAAAATCATTTCTTTGAATTCTAATCCTAGAATGACACCACTCATTGAATTTGGAGTGTTTGTGCACGATACAGTAATTTAATATCAAAATCATTATTATTTTACGTTTGATAACAAAAAGAGAATAATTTTAACTTCAAAAAATTGAATCTTAAAATTTGTTGTTATTAATAAAAAAAAAATAGTAAGTCGAGTAATGAATATCTATCGAATTTGTAACGATATTATATGTTACCTTAATTAGAATATACTTTTATTCTATTAGGATGTTTAAATTACGTAGAGGATTTGTCCATTGGTTGGTCTTCCATAATTATAATTAAACAATTCTATAACAAAAAACAGTTATAATTAAAATTTTAAAATTGTAACAAATAATGCAAATCGAGAGCACGCAACACAAAATTCAGATAAAATTTTTAGTATAAGATCAAGTCATTGATTAGCGGCCATGTTCATTCTAATTCTGATGGGGAAATCAGAATTCTGTGAAGTCCGTCTGATCGGGTGCACACTCACGTAGCAGATTTTTTCGTTTTTCATCAAAAAGAGAAAGATCATTACGATTTACGATTCAGTTTTTTTGGATGAAGAGCCAAAAGCTGACCTTTTTTTGTTTGTTTTTGTTTTTGTTTCGGGAAAAAATCAAACAAATAGAAAATTCGGAATTGGGTATGCGAGTGATCTGTCACGATCAGTCGCAGTCGGTTAATCCCCCGCCCCAACCCAAATAAGCGCCTCCGACGAATCTCTCTTCTTTTTGGCTCCCTCTTTCGTCGCGCGCTTTCGTTTATTCCTCGTAAAAATCCACCCTCTTTTCTGTAGGATTTTTGGGTATTGTTCGAATCTGAAAAATAGTTGTACTTCGCGGGTTTTTGCTCAAATTAGCATTGGGTATTGTTTGGGGTTCGTTTGTAGTTGAGTTGGATTGAATCTTTGAAGAATTCGATTCCTAGTGTTGGAGGAAATTGAGTTCTTTTTGTTTCGTTATTGATCCGACACCAGAATGTCTCAGGAATTGTCATTGGATCAAGACCTGGACGAATCTGATCCCGAGTTCGTGGAGATTGATCCTACTGGTCGATATGGACGGGTAAATACTCATGCAGTTAATAGTTTATCTTGTTTTGCATTTCTAGTTGACATTTTATTTTGGTACTGTAATTGCTCACGTTGATACTTGGCTGAACCTTTTTTCTCCTTGGTTGGAACTTGTATAAAATGCTGAGATGGCCATTGAACTTCCAGATTTCAGAATATTTACCAGGACGGGGGGTTATTCGTTGTCTTATTAATGTTTTGCCATTTCTCCTAATCTCTATTTGTTTTGCAGTATAAGGAAATTTTAGGAAAAGGGGCGTACAAAAAAGTGTATCCTTTTTCGCTTCCATGTTAGTGGTGATGCAATTAAACATGTAATTTCGTGCATTTTCTATTTTAAACTGATTCTATCTAGGAAATTAAAATTTGCGCATCTGCCTGCGTTTGGTTTGGGATGAAACTTTGAGTAAATTGTGTGTTCTTGATCAAGATGTGGTATATAGATATCGGGCTTTTGATGAGTTGGAAGGAATTGAAGTAGCTTGGAATCAGATTAAGGTAACAGATGTATTGCGGAACTCTGAAGATTTGGAGCGACTCTATTCAGAAGTTCATTTGCTCAAGACATTGAAGCACAAGAACATAATCAAATTTTACAATTCATGGGTTGATACGAAAAATGAAAACATCAACTTCATTACCGAGATATTCACTTCAGGGACACTACGGCAGTGAGTCTTTTGCCCTGGCCTCTTCAGATTTTGTTTTTCTTCTTTAATTATACTTAAATATATATTATGAACACATGTAGATATAGAAAGAAACACAAGCATGTTGATTTGAGGGCTCTGAAAAAGTGGTCCAGGCAGATATTAGAGGGCCTTCTGTATCTTCATAGTCATGACCCTCCAGTTATACATAGAGATTTAAAATGTGACAATATCTTTGTCAATGGCAACCAAGGTGAGGTGAAAATCGGTGACCTGGGACTTGCTGCCATTCTTCAGCAGGCTCGTTCGGCTCACAGTGTTATTGGTGAGGATTTTAAACTTGAATAAGCCATTATGATAGCTCTTATTCAATATCGAAGTTTATGGATAAATGTTTTCAGTGGAGGCAGTAAGATGACTTACTCTGTGTCTGTGATTTAATGATTTTAGGGACACCGGAGTTTATGGCGCCAGAGCTGTACGAGGAGGAATATAATGAGCTTGTGGATATTTATGCCTTCGGCATGTGTTTGCTTGAGCTTGTAACCTTTGAATATCCATATGTCGAATGTGCAAATGCTGCTCAAATATATAAGAAGGTCTCATCAGTAAGGGCTCCTGGATCATTTTTCCTTTTGTATCCCATGCAGTACCTTGATACTAATATTTCTTGTTTATTTCTTAACCCTATTTCTGGCATTTATGTATGATGCCTTTGGAACTGACTGCTGAAAAGGGCTGTCAGGTTGTGGGGCTGCCCTACCAGTTCTATCACCTTCTAATGAAGCGTGAATACTGTATGAATAATGCTACTTTATTAGATTTTGTTAGGACTCAAAACACCATATCATATAGGAAATAGTCTATGATTTAGTTTCATCGTGTACGTTGTGCAACCTGGACTTTTCTATCAAACCTTATATTTATCGTGATGCATTTGACCTACCATTCACTTTAAGATTTCATTCAGCTGTGGTAACTTATAGTTTATGACAAAGAAGCAGCAGTATTCTTGTTGTCTATTCAATCTTCAAAGCTTGATCCATATGATTGTTATGTGTGGTCTGCAATTGTTATCTCCAGGCCAGGTAAATAGTTTTCGGAATGGTTTCCCAGATGCTATATAAAGAATTACGTTCATGGAATCTAGGCTTCCTAGTGCATTTTTCTAGGCATTTAAACAAGGAGCTTTACGTGTGTTTTCATGTGATGTGTATCATTTTGTGCAAGTTTCTTCTTCCTTCTTTTTCCTCGCTTCAATTTTAGAATGAACCACCACTTGTTTAAAGCCCCGGCTCTTATTTTGGCATCAAAGTTGTTTTAGTTCGGGTTGAAATTTTGTAATGTTGTATCAGATAAATGATAGCTGTGTATGTACTTCAATTTGGTAAATACATGGGAGTCCTAAAATGCTTTAGAAAATTTATATAATCCAAACGCTGCTAATTTCTCAAATCAGATACTGTATGTCCAGATTTGATCTGTATTGTTTTTTAACCCTCTTATGCAGGTTCTTTAAATATAAGGTTCCTTGAGAAAGCTTTTAAGGAATTATTTTTTTCCTTTTGTTCCTAGGGGATAAAGCCAGCTTCTTTGGCAAAAGTCACCAATCCTGGAGTTAAAGCACTTATAGAAAAATGTATTGCAAATGTCTCTGACCGCCTACCTGCAAAAGACCTTTTAAGGGATCCATTTCTCCTAGCAGATGATGATCATGAAAGAATAACTCGTCACTTAAAAAACAAGACACAACACACAGGTAAGTTTAAGAAAATACATCTCGCTCAGTCAAAAAATTCTGGGATTGTAACTTACTGTTTTTTTACTGGACATATGCCCATGACAGAAGAAAAGAGAGAGCAGCTCCATATCGATAGATGTACAGATGATACTTCTGCTGAGACTACCAGAGACTTCAGCATGCATGGTCAGAGAAAAGATGTTAACAAGATATTTCTCAAATTACGAATTGCTGACGCCTTGGGTAAAATTCATATTTCTCTGTCATTTCCTTCTAGTTCTTTTAACTTCTTTAGAAGAATAGCTACTCTATTGGAATTTCCAGTATTCCGTTTACAAGTTCTCCAATTATTTTAGGTAATGTCCGCAACATCCATTTCCCATTTGATATTGAAGCCGACACAGCAATTTCTGTTGCAAGTGAAATGGTCGAGGAATTGGACCTTTCAGATCAAGATGTCTCCACAATTTCTGAAATGATCGAAACTGAAATCCGGTCCTACATTCCAGACTGGACATCAGTTGAGTATGGTGTAGATAATGTAGGGGGAGATGTTGCAATTTCTGATAGCTCTCCATCTGAAACGAGGAATGGTGCCTCTCCCTTGTCTATTGAATCTGGTAACCTTGCATTAGAGATAATGCCTTCAGGTCGTAAGTACTGGTCTGACTCTCCAAAGGGAATTGGTGGGTGCTCTCCTGTTAAGCCAGGTCCTTCAAACTTGTCTTGTATGGATCAGAATGTTGAATCTTCTGGCAGCCACATGCCTAGGGATAATCTAGATCATGCTGCTATAATTAAGGGACTGGAAAGTGAGCTTTTGTCTGATTATGGCGGTAATGGCGGGCAGGATGAGGGTAGCTCAACTACAAATCTTCATGCTAGCTCTGATGCACACCCTTCAGAAGAGAACTGTGGAGTTTCAGAACGTGATGAATCAGAATTCATCGAGGTAATGGCTGAAAAACTTGATAAACTGTTGATACAGCAGCAAAAGGAATTAGATGAGCTAAAGAGGGAGCATAAATTAGTTATTTCAGAACTTTTGAGTGAACTTACACCTGAGTCCTATGAGAAGGTTTTAAGGATATGCAAGCTAGAGCCTTCTGATTATGACTCGGGTCTCTGAAGTGGACTGCAGATTCAAGTTTAAGATTCTGCTATTGTATTCTGAATGTAATGCTCTACCTCGTTGCTCCCAAATGCAAACCAGTTTACACAAATTCTCGTTTGGTGAAGATTTAGTTTTTAATCTTCAAACTAGCTAAAACTATCCTTGGAACTTGGAAGTTAAATCTTCTAGTCAGCCGATCCAGTTAAGAAGAAGCATGATGCTGAAAGCTGTTAAGGAAATGCTAACCAATGAAAAAATCCAAAGCCGTAAACGATACTGGCATCACTTCCTACTATGTATCGGCTATCATAAAGCGATTCGTGCACAGAATGAGACACAGATCTACCACAAACACTTTTATCTTTTAGCACAGAATGGGAGAGACATTGTTCTGCTATGAGTTTGTGATGGTGATGTGCAATGCTGGAAATTTTTCAGAAGATGCTCAGCCAAGAGAAGGGAAGACACAACACACTAAATTTTATTAGCCATTCTGTACTACACTCTGACGTAGATAGTTGAAATTCTTTCAGATAGATTCTTGTACAGAGATAATTTTTCCATGCTCTGTTCATTTCTGGATGTTTCTACTTCCTGGTCGATATAATAACTAGTTGATCAGATATTGTTTATTCTTTTGGAACTCGTTTTTTAAGTTTTTGATAAAATGGTGTGATCATGATGAATGAAAATTACTTTGCCTTTTGAATGTAGCATGCTTGTCCTCTCATATTCTTTGAGAGCTGTTCCCCGAATTGGATCTGAAAGAGATTACTCGAGTTCTTTAAAAAGTTCATCATATCTGAATCTAACTAGTGTTTGCAGTGGTAGAGGAATTGGATCTGAGAAAAAGAGGGATTTCAGTGGTAAGATGCCTACAATTCACAGTTCAACCGATAATGAGTACTCATCTAAAATTCAAATCTTTCTACCTTCATTTGAATTATCAGAAAACAGGAGGAAAAAAAAAATACTTCCCATCGTGCCATTTACCACATTGTAAGAAGATAAGATTTGCTGGAAATGATTCTAGTCTGAATTTGATGGATCTTCAAGATCCAATAAAGCCTACCTATTTTATGCATGAAGGCAACTATTGTAATAACATTCTTGCATTGTAACAGTTGATCCACCTTCATAAATTGCAGTTACTTATAGTTAAAAGTTCGAGTTTCTACCAAGTTTGCAGTGATACATCTATATATATATATACGTATACGTAGAACGACAGCTTTTGCCCTAATGTTGACACAATGCTGTATCAACATTCGGTGAACGCAAATGATTACGCTGGCTTAACTGATATCTAAAATATTTCCTATCAAAATCAAGCACTAGTGATAAAACACTGTGCCGATTGATACAAGTTCCCCGACCGAGCGACTGATTAGTGAAGAATATTAACTGCAGCACCACAGAAGCAATCGCGAGAGATGAGTCAACAGAAGCAATCACGGGAGATGGGAAAAGACCTAAAAAATGGTTGATGTGATCAATTGTTGTACAAAAGATGCTCTCTGATTCAACTCTTCACTGTTCTCCTGGTTTCTTTCCAGCAAAGGTGACCCATTACTGCAAAACCCAAAAAGCAAGCAAATGAGAAGAATCACCATAAAAACGCCAAGTTATCACATCGTTGAAAAAGCAGAGTCCACAAGTGTAAATCAGCATCAGCAAGTTGATGTCTTAATGGTGCAAAGAGTCGGGCAATATCGACAAACATCCAGTTTCAACCGTAATGATTTGAAACAGAACTATGCTTGATAAGATGTTGCAATTTGCAAATATGTTAGCTTAAGTTCATATCAGTAGAGGTTGAACTACAAGAATTTCAATTGTCCCATCATATTTGTCAGGAATCTTTTTCTTTTCCTTTTTCTTTTCTCTTCTCGGATCCTTACAAATCACTATTGACAAGTACAATTCAACCAGAAAAATGGGCTCTTTATCTCCAAAGTTAATGATGCATCACAGTAAGCTTATCCATTAAAGTTGCAGGTTAAACTTTTAGCAAAAGACAGGCCAATGAAACTGAAAGGTCAAGGGACTTAACCTGTAGACTTTTAAAAGATTACCACATTGAACCAATCCAATTATATTTGAACAGGTATTTTAAACTTACCTTTCGACATTAGTGGCGACGGAGGAATCGTTTTCTGAACAATCATCTCTCTCGGCAGATTCAGGGTCTGAGAAAGGAATGCTGCAGATAAAGGGTAGAAGGGGGTCACGTGCAGATCCATGTTTACTTTCCCTGCTCTTTGTTGTCAGCTTCTTTGAATTAAATGCAGAAGAGACAGATTTATCAGGTCTTCTCCTCCTCTGCAAAGATGGCAAAATTAAGCTTTAAGCAATTGCCCATTAGTACAGCCATGGAAGTAATGAATTGAACAAACAATACCTTTATTGAGCTAGAATGATGTGTTACAAAATGCCCAATTACATCTTTTCCCAGACTGGCTGCACAGAGGGGACAAACCTGAAACAAAGCAGTGTCAAAGCAGCCCCTTCTTATTCAATCTAAAATCCATCAAAATGCATAAACCACTTTATATCATTCTTGCTTTAGCTTTAGTTTTTCAGAAGTAAGAAAAATAAACACAGATGAAACCTTGTATCAAGCAAAAATACACAAATTTCCTAGCTTCATATGAAAAGGTAAGATTCTAGCACGTAAACTGGAACTTGTAATAAACAATTACAAATAGACCACAAGACGTAATTATTGAATAGGCAAAAGAAAAGGGGTATTCAAAGCATGTAATTACTGCATTTCTGAAGTCAAAGCAGTGCTCTTCTTGCAAATGGCTGCAAAGGACTGGAACTTCAATATCAACATAACAGTAAGGGCATGAAAAGTAAGCCCGTGAATCATCTTCTCCATCCGAGTCATCCAAAATGATATGGTTACCTGTTCAAAATATTATCAGATAAGCCATGAAATTCAGAAGCCACAGCTCAATTCACACTCAAAAAGTGAAATCGGAACTCAGAATGAAAAAATCAGATAATGAAATTAACACCCCCCCCCCCAAAAAAAAGAAGAAAAATATATATAATCTCCTGTTAAATCCAGAGTAGATAATCCAATAGAGTAGAAAATGAAAGCCAAAAGAAGAAACCCAGATGACAGAATCACTCAAAAAGTACAAAACACAAACCAGAATGAAGCATGGCGGCTTGGACAGCAGAAAATTGCTCAGTGGGGTGAACCCTCGAGGCCCAGAAATTGAACGCCATAGTCTCTCTCTTCCTCTCAGTCTCTGTATTTCAGTGCAACCCAAATCAGCTTTTTGCAAGGACAAATGTGCGAAGTGAGCAGTCCAGCAAATGGGTGTCGATAACTTTGGGAAGAAGAAAGAGAGAGCAAGAGGAGAAAACTATCCTTGTCATCAGCCTGGGCCTGGTGGATGGGTTTGTGGTGCGGTGCCCTGCTTGCTCATATACTCACCCAAATTTCCCAAAAGCCAAAAGCTTTCTGACACACAAAAAGCTGCTTATCTACTGGATGACACGTTGGCTTTACCAAAAAATTTTACTTTTTTCACTCACCAATTAATTACTCCATTCACAAACTACTTAGTCTTTGTTAACATTTGGCTGTGGAGAATGGAGAGCCAACCAAAATACATTATAGAAAAAGGGTGAGAGAGAGAGAGAGAAAATAAATGGACAATTAAAGAAGGCTTGGAAGAGACAACCTAACAGAGGGATGAGGATACAGCTGAGCAAAAAGTTGTTTTTGTTGTATAAAGCTTTAACTTTAAGTGGCTAATGAGTGACTTTGAGCAATCGGCTTTCAGCCATGGGCGGTGGATCTCACGACCAAAAACGAGACACAGTGGTGGGTCATTCTCTCTTTAAAAGTAAGTCAATAAAAATTATATGATGGGGACCAAATATTGTATTCATTTCTGGGTTCTGACTCATCAAACCAAAAACAGATGCGAGATTCTATTTCGTGACTGCTCCAAATGTTAGCATTTTGCTTCGTCGCATATGATAATGTTTTAAAAATCAAAACTTTTCTCAATTATGTTCTTGGGAAAAGAGTGGATACATATTCTGTTTTGGCATTTTTGAGTTACACGTTTTGTTTCCATTTTTTTTTTCTCTCTAAAGAAAAGCAAGCACTTGCATCATAATGCCATTGCCCAAATAAGATTGTGAGATGTGAAATAATTGGACCTTAAAATATTGTTATAATTAATATGTGTTACTTGAAGAGTATTGTAAGATGTTCTTATTTTGAGGAGCATTCTGAGCTAAGAAACAAGTTCCTTTAAAGGAATGTAGATTTAAAATAGTACTTATTTCTTTTAGGAAAAAAAACCTTACCTTGTAATGTTTTTAGTTGAATGACGCAAGCTTGTTCAATATCTTTTTTTTCTCGATACAAGCAATTTTTAAATAAGTAAATAATGTCTTSACTAACTAAGCAATATTTATATTGATGAAGTTCAACTAAGTAGTTATTAACAAAGTTAGTTTTCTCATTAGACATACTCTAATATGGTTAGTGAAGAAAGTAATAATAAAAAAATTTATACAAGYATCGAGAGAAGATGATTTTTAAGATAAGATGATTTTTAAGATAGTAGATTTGGAGTACTACTGAAACTTAAACTATTCAAATTTTGAAAATCTCAAACTCATACTCCAAACACGAGCTGGACTCCCGATGTCCTACTTGTCCTACTCACCCAAACCCGACCCGACTAGACCCGAACAGTGCCCATATGCACCACATTAATGAATGAATGCCTGCACTCAATCATATGGGCTCTGAGAATTACTAACAATGAAGCCCAATTGAACCATGGGTTTACAGAATCTGATGATATGTTGGACAAAGGATCTGCACTTCCAATATAATGGGATAGTAAAGGAGAGTTTGAGTTTCTATAACTTAAGATTTGGGGAAAGTCAAATTTAAGTTGCAATTTCAGTAATCTCATAGATTACATAAATATAGTGTCTTTTAACCTACAAACTAAACCCATATTAGCTATGAGCCATATATATCCCTGCACCAAAACCCACTGCTTTAGTTTAGAGAACATTGAAGTTTAAGGTCAGACGAGTACAGAATCCACCAACCATGTGGAACTTGAGAGTGAGAATATTTCATGGACCAATAAAGTGCATATATCCCTCTTTGATCTGCAATTAGTATATTCACTCAAAAACTTTAACAGAGGGAACCTGAAAGACCAAAAGTTATTAACACTATGTTCTGAAGTTCAATATTAATATACAAAACAAGCATGTTACAGTCTGAAAAGAAGAGGTAATGGTGGACAACCTTCCCACGTGTCAAGCTTTCATTGGGCAGAACATGGTGCAAAACTTGTCTCCAAAATGCACTTTGTGTTGTCTAATGTGGCCATGATTAAGTTAATGGAAAGGGAAATTTGGGGATCTTTAAAGGCAGAAAAAGCAAGCTGTTGTCAACTGGGAAGTACATCCCTTTATAGGGATACACTATAGAGAGAGCATAAATTTTTCCAATTATATATATAAATATGTTGTTGGAGGTCATTAAACTGTAGCCACAGTGGGGGTATTGCAAATTGGCCCACTTGAACTGTTCATGAGACTGGCTTTTTTCTGATATAGGCTGAGATTGGTCAATGGTCTCAGAAAAAAGAACTCAGTATGTTTTGTAACCTCACACCCTCATGTCTGAGCTTCTACAGTCAAATTATAGGACTTTCTTTTAAGAAATCAAACTTGCAGATATGCCTGATCAGATCCATCCTATTACTGGTGGAAAAGACTTCTTTTTCAGAACACAAGTTTGTTTTTGATAAAATTAAACTTTAGTTATATATAATGGGTGAAACTTGTAAGTAGTAGTAATAATAATACTTGAGTTGCATGTATCAAAGATATCAGTGGTGTAATTATGTTGTGAATCTTGCTGGACAAAACTTAGGCTAAACTACAAAAGAAAAAAAAAAGTATATATATATCCTTCAACTTTATTTTTGTTTCGAAAACACTCTTATTCTTTCGAAAGTTTCAATGCTACCTTCACCTTTTATAAATGTTTTTAAAATGCCCTTTGAACAAACTTTCGTAGATAATTTTAAACGAAAAGTTGACATGATAGAATTTGGAATGACGTGACAATTAATGTAAAAAATTACTTGAATTAAATATGAAAAGACAGGAAAATTAGAAGAAGCTATCGTTTTCAAAGCTACTCAATCCGTCATTCTCTTCCCAATTTTTATCTATAATTTCTTTATCATTTTGAAAAACAATAGTTTCTTCCACAGTTTTAGACTTAATCAAAGCAGGATTTCACATTAATGACCTTGTTTTAAATTCAATATTCACGTCAACTTACGAATGTTTGCTCAAATGGTATTTTTGAAACGCTTATGAAAGATCAAAGGTAGTATTAGAACTTTTAAAATGATAGGGGTATTTTGTAAACCTTCAAGAGTATTTTTTGTAATTAACCTAAAATTTATTGACTTTGTAACATCTATGGTCGAGTTGAGTTTCATTATGATCCATAAATAACAACATAAACAAAACTTAACAAAACTATTTGGTTTTATATTTTAGAATTAGAAGTTAGATTACCACGTCAAGTTTTTATCATCTTCAAGATAAAAAGAAAGTAAAATATTGAACTTAACATCGATGTGGTGCTCACCAAAGCTAAAGTATTTTCTAAATTCACCCCAGAAAAATCTACCTCTAGATTTCAGGACATGAAAAGGGCTACCCCATCACATGAGATTCTTTTAGCTTGATTGGATTGTTCACTGAAGGTCAAAATGATTCCAACACAAGAGATAAAAGAAAAGAATTACACTCACAATCATAAACAAACAAAGAAAAGAAAGCAGTGGATCGAAGTAATATGTAAACAGAAGAGAGAGAGAAGAAGAAGAAGATAAACACGAAATCAAGACATAAATATTAGTAATATATGAATCGAAAGATTAGAGAAACTGAAGGAAAAAGGTGAGCCTGAGAGAGAGGAGAAGTTAGGAAAACCGAGAATTGGAGGAAACTTTTATTACATCAATCAGCTGCAGATGTAGACATATGCATGCAGACAGAAATTACACTCAATACCATTATATTTCTGATATAAACAAAACATGACTTGCGAATAACATAGCTAGCTATATATTCTACTACAGATCTGACAATAGATTGATAGAGAGAAAAAGAGGAAGAAAGAGAGAAAGAGAAGCTCAATTGTGCATGTTTGAAGATGACAAATGAAAGAACTCTTTGATGAATCGGACCAGGATGCTGGATTCCCCTTTGCAAAGGATGAGAGTCTCCTCCTCCTATCTTATAATACTTTGCTTACAAGGACGTCTAAATATTCGAACCACGGCCATGGGAACCTCCAAAAGAAAGCTCCCCATTTCAAAAGACTGCAAGGGAACCCTCTGTGGCCTCTCCATTGCAGCAAAGATGTTCATGTTCGTTGGTTTCGTCCTTGGACTGTTGAAAGCAAGAGGCATTGGTTTTTTCTGTAAGAGAGAAAAAGAGTTAGTTCTTCAGATGCATATAATTTCCATCAGAGGATTCTATAACAACAACAAGAAAACATTGATATCAGGCTGCAAACCATGGGAACACCCACACAGTGGAGTCTCTAAGATCCTTATATTCCCGCATGCATGTTTCCCTTTAATGTACAGTGGGAAGGGCACGTTTCCACAGGAAAAAAAGAAAAGGGAAGAGAGAGAGAGAGAGATGGACAAGGTAGAGAGAGAGAGTGTCTTATGGAGGGTCCAGTTTAGGCAAAGCATGATGTCCCAAAGCTGGGCTTTCTGTTAAAGACGACCCTTCAAAAAAGGGTTTTTATCTTTGTAGTTTAAATTTTTGGCTCCTCTTTCTTTTCCCTTTTGGTCGGTTGTGTCAAAGTGAACCCGAATTTTCTTGGGCTCCTCTCTCACATGTTCTGGCATGTAGGCCAACTCTTTTCTGCTTTTTTCCTTCATACCTTGCACCTAATATTTCCATGTATTTAACCCATCATACAGACTAATAAATACAAAAAATCAAGCCTATGCTCTAAAACATGGATAAAACTTTAATCATACCTTCTGCATATTACTTTGTCTACATTACAAGTTGATTTCGTGGGGATTTTGGGTGATTGAGAGAATGAAAGTTACTAAAAGAACAGGGAAATCTGCACTGTTGACAGTTCCATAAAGACCCCTCATACGTTATACGCAATGGATAGCTGACATAAACTCTCATTGAGTATATCAGTAGGCTTTTCAAAGTAGCGTCAGCTTCTACAAATGATTCCTAGATTTAGATCTGTATTTGCAAATGTTATCAGTACAGCACTAATTACAATCACAAGAAGTTCCTTAACATGTTCATTCGGGTAACTCTGTTCGATCTCTTCTTGCCGTTTCCAACATTCCGAACAAGAACTTTAAAGGATCACCAGTACATGGATTTGCAAGAGTCGCATGAGCTAAAAATGGGAGCTTTCTTAAAAAGCGTCCGCTAGAACCCTGAGAACAAAATTTAACACAATATTTCAAGGATCATTCGAGGACTCGCAGACTCAATAGGCAATCAAGATTTCTGTCACAGACCTCGCATCCCTCAGCAACCTCAAGCAATCGTTTGCAGATGTGAAGTGGTACGTCAACCTTATCGGTCTCTGGAATGCTTATTTTCTCTTTCAAACCAGCATAGTTAAGAAGCATAGAGTGGTCACAACCCTAAGGAATTTCAAAATGGTGAGAATCATGAATGCCTATGTACTCTATTTCAACAAGAATCCAATGCGTTGACAGAATTCTAAAGGTGCAATTATTAGATGTGTATGCTATGGACCTCAGGAGTCGTTAAAATTCCAGTACGTATAAGCTCTTGCAAGCAGGATCTTAGAATTTCATAACGTGCTTCAAGAGTTGGTGGACCAACATATGCTTTGATATCTGCTCGATCAACAAATGCAATATCTGCAATCCAGATTTTGGTTAATTCAAGTATTTAAAGTTAAGTAGGATAAAATGGAAATATCAAATCAGAAGAAGAAAGATGCGGGGGTAATTGGAAGATTTAGAAAGGGACACACTTTGGGATTGTTCTAATCTTTGCTCAAGAAAGCATGTAACTCAATAAGATTACACAACCAAAACATCCTGATCACGTACTAATTAAACTGATGTTGAGATCATTTGGAGCAGAAACTATAGCTTCTAGAGTAGAAAAGCTCAACAATTTTAGTAGTTTTTCAAAACTGACTGCACCCAATTGAGCATGCCAACTACCAATTTTCAAAGTCCATAAAAGTTTGCAATCCAACTTGTAATTGAACTGTCAAAATTTGTTATTTTCCAAATACAAATATTAACTTAACATCATCTGATTATTAACTTACCAATAGCTGCTGTTATATTGGAAGTTGTCAGAATCACCACATTTGGTGACGATTTCAATTTGTCTATCTGTGTAAGTAGCGCATTGACAACCTGTGATATTACAGTTCAGAATTTTAGATGCATCAGCAGAATTTCGTAGCTACTGGCCTAAATAATTTAAACAAGCATATTCTTTCTCCTATCCTTCTTTTCTTCTTTCTTACTTTATTTATTTCTTTCTTTCTTTTGGTCAGAGACGGGGGTGATTTTAGAAGGGTGGGAAGATGGACCAAAAAGGGCAATAGCATACCCTAATGGAATCTGAAGGTTCTGAACCGGACAAAGCAGCCTTTCTAGCAGCAGCTAAGCTTTCCACTTCATCTATCGACCGCCAAATATACATATACAGATGATGAAGTAGAAGAAGGACAAGCATGAAATAAACAACCGTCTAAAAGTAAGTCTCACCAATCAAAACAAATACCAGATTGTCTTCTTCCTCTATCATCTCTTGGATCTTCTGGAATAGCTTTGCGACCTATTAAGGAAAACATGTATTCTTGAATACAATAGAGTCGCCCAACATATGGAAGTGTTCATTGCATCAAATTTAAAACTGCATCTGCCTACACTCGAACGAAAATTAATTACGGATGCAGGTCATCTAACGATCAACAAGGCCATACCAGCTTGCCACTTTCAGAAAACCATTTGCTAAACAGCGAATGTGCATTAACTTCAATGAGAACACTGTGTGGATATCTAAATATAATGGAAAATAAAACAGAATAAATAATAAGATTTGGGTGTATCTTCAGATTATTGTTAATATAGAATAGATACTCGAGCAACGTCTACCAACAAACCTTGACAGATATCTTATTGATAGTTTTTGAGCCAGTGCTTTGCATAAAGAGGTTTTACCAGTCCCTGGAGGTCCATGTAATAGAACAATCCTGTGAGCATGTAAAAGGATGAGAATTATATATTTAACCTCTTGGATGTCTAAGTCTTCTAGTCAAAACTGCCAGCAAATGCACATCATGTTAAACATGGTAAACCATCCTTGAATACAGAGTAGGGCTTTTATCATCCAGGAGGGTTAGACTCCAACATCAACAAGAATTCCTGACTCGCAAACACAATTTTGATAACTAGGATAGCCGTTCAGGGGGCCATTTCCATTCACATAGAGGTATTCTTTCTTTTGTGAGTTCATTCTAAAAAGTGAAAAAATCGTGCCAAAAAGGTAAAGTACAAAACATAAGAGTTCAGCTTTATATTTTTTCTCGATAATTGGGGGTTGGAGCTTTGCTCCCCTACCCAAGGACACCCGCACCCGCTCTAAGGCCCGGATCCGAAAGACATCAAGGGTTTTTGGTATTAGGATATTAAGCTCACTAGAAGGTTCAAACTTGAAACCTCTAAGTCAGTATGACTAAGAGACCCCAAGTCCTTGCCAACTAGGTTGCGCCTTGGGACCATAAGAGTTCAGCGTTTTAGTTATTACACAATAAATGCATACAACAAACATTAGTAGATAAATACAATACCAAAGATAAAGTTTAGTTGATACGTATTGGTTAAAGTAAATTATAAAAAGAAATCTAATGAATCAACGATGGAGAATTCTACAAATAGTACAGCAATCAACATCATGTCTTATATCCACCCTTCGAACATTCTGAAAACCATCTTAAAGCTAAATGCAGATCCTAGGAACAGAAATAGTTTCTCCTTACCGATTCCATGACACGAGGAATGGATCAACACCCTTTTCAGTGAATAACAAAGCACTGGCAGCATATCTCAGAAGCCTTTGCTTGAGACCAGACTCAAAAATTAAACTGTAGGTGAATTTGACAATATTGCCTCATCAAGAAGAAGTTGGTGTATAAATGAACTAAAAGAAATGAGTATTTAATAAGTGATAGCAAACCTTTCCCACATGCCGTCAAATTCCTTGGCAGGAAGTATCCATTCATTAAAACTAGAAATCTGTCCTTCCCCACCAAGTTCCTCGCAGGGTCCTTCTTCGCTAAGCTGAACGAGCAATACACAAATAATATAATCAATCTAGTCGCACCAAGAGAAGTAAATTGTCCCAACATGATGGGGAAAAAAAGGAGGAAGAAGAGAAAAATAAAATAAAATAAAAGGCGCCAAGAAATGCAGAATATCATTAGCATCATATATTGTGAATAATAAAGCTTTTGTCGTTTCAAGATGTAGAATTTGGACAGAACAAATGCGGTCATTTGTGCAGCCACAGTTTTAACAAAGAATCAAACTAATGCAGTGAATCATTCAAAAGGTGAGTACGGAAGAAGCTTGTATCAATGACTGAATGAATTTCACCTGAAAGACATGAACAACAGGTTTGACTTGCCAGAATAAGAGGATATCATGGTTTTGCACACCATCATCTACAAAATAAACAAACCAAGCATCATGACCAGAATAATGAAAAAACTACCTTATCTGTTACCCCATAACCGCTGACAAAATTTAGTAGAAGAATCAAACTTCCTGATAATAAGTTTTCCATTTTTCTTGCATTTTAAGACCCTAGGCCACAAGCGGATGGGATACCTTTTAAGCTAATTCTTCCACAACTTCTATAAACTATAAAACTGAAAAAATCTATATACTTTCTACTTTCTAGAGATTACAAGTTACTAATTGCTTTACCCGTTCCATACCCTCCAGATCCTCAATAACTAAACCAGCGTATAAATCGAATAAGAGTATACCTGTGTCACAAATTCGGATTCCTTGCACATTTTCTATGAGAAATGAGTCATCGAGCGGCACTGGAATGGGCCCATCAACATAGCTTAAACTTCTTTTCTCGAGCATTCTACAAATTACACATGAAATTGATAGTGAGCTTGCCATCTTCAAGCAATGTAAATTGAATTAAGCGAACTTACAGTTCACAATTTTCAGAGAGTAAGTCGAACACATGAACCTAAATTCTAATTTCTCTGAAGAAATCATCAAATATTAAAGTTCAATACGTATTTCCAGCAGCATACCTCTCAACTGCCAACCGGACATCTTCATTTCGTGCTGTGCTGGAGGATTTTAAGCACACCTCGACTGAAATATAACAGAACATTAAAAGGAGTAAGAAACAGACCTCAAAGGCCGGAAATTGAAAATATACAGAGATGGTTTGGAAGAAGATAATGAATACACTAGTACATAAGAACCTGAAACGAGAATTTTGTCTTCACTCAGACAAGGAGAAGCGGCTGACTCGGAGACGACGCCGTTTGAATCAGACATCTGGGCTTCTGAGGGTGGGTTTGGCAAAGAAATCTCCATAGGAGCACTCATTTTTATGTTCGATTCACTGGAACAGATGAAGAAGCTTTGAGAACGGTTCAAGATTCGCAACTCGCCGGAAAACGCATAGCATGGGATCGGAATGGAGCGGAGAAGTTGAGATGAGCGGCCAAAACCTACCGGAAGGAGAACAGAACAGCGCGAAGATTTGGTCTGGCAGAATGGGCGGGAAAAGCACGCGACGAAGAGATGTTTCTTCACAGAGAGTTAAATTAAATATTGGGCGATATTTAATAAATTATGTTAAAAAAACAGGTTTGGTCCTTAGTAGCTTCATGTAACGATTTATTCTTTATATTTTATTAATAATAATTTAATCTCTAAATTTTAATTCTTAATATTTTAGTTCTTATCATTTAAAGTTGGTAATGATTTAAATATCATGAATTTTTTATTAAATTTTTTATATATGTAGATCGATAAATCAATGAGAGACTAAATGTATTTATAAATTATAAAATCTACATTGTTATATGATAAAAATTGATACTTAGTTTTGATGAGATTATTTCCCGCATAAACTAGACTGTTACAAGTTTTATATAATAGAGACTAAATTGTTACCTATTGAAAGTATAAAAATTAAGTTACAAACTAAAACTCAATGACTAAATCGTAAAAAAACAATAGTACAAGAACTCGTTATCTAATCATCTTTTTATTAAAAAACAGTACTTATACACAACAATTTAGTCATTAAAGTTTAATATGTAACAATTTAGTTAATAGACTTTCAAATTTGTAAAATATATAGTTCCTAAACTTTAGTACGTAATCGTTTTAAAATTTGTTTAGTTTCTAGGGTTAAAAAAACAAACTCTAATAAATTTTAACAACATTTGTTCATTGCAAATTTGTTATATATTAAAATTTAGTTTTGCAAATTTGTTAAATATTAAAATTTAGTAAGTAAATTGTTACTAATGTGATGACTAAATCGTACTTCAATTAATATATATGGACAAAAAGTATTTTTAAACTTTATTTTAAAGAAAACCAATAATTTATTTTAATTAGGTTTTTAGATGTGAGGTCATAATTGGAACATATTTCTAGAAGTAATTTTGCAATTTTCTCATAGAATTACGGAAACACCCCTTTTGGGTGCAATATTTAAAAAAAGAAATTGCAATTTTAAATCTCTCCTATGGGATGCAATCATGAAAATATATATATTAATTAACCTTTCTATAATTTTTCCCCCTTAAAAATGTGTTTAGAAAGAAGTTATATTAAGAATACTAATTATATTCTAGGATTTGCAGGTTTTTAAAAATCAATGAATAAGAAAAGAAACATTGTAACCAATTAGTTAAGATTGAATCTTCACCTAACATTTGAAAAATCGGAGACAAATGAGTAGAAGTGTACATTGAAGGTCGATAAATCGACCGAAATCGATTGAAACAACATCGGTTAGTCGGTTCGCCCACCACATCAATCGACGATCGATTTGGACAAGCATTGATCAGTCATAATAATAAACCCCAAACCCAATTAGGTCAAACTCCTACTACCCCTACTTCTCTAGTCTCTCCCCTCTAGCCTCCATACTCAATCGCCCACCGAGGCCCCAACATAACACCAGGCCCGTCAAAAAATCCAAGCCCCGGTGCAACACACCTACCTCCCTTTCGCATAGAAATTGTTCATAAAAATAAAATGAAAAACGATTTGGACAAAAAATTACCAACCAATCCAACTGGTAGATCGATGGGTGACAATGGTGATAGGTCAGTCGATTTCTAATTTATGGAAATCGACCTTGTAGACGCCTATGGAAATCGACCTTGTAGATTTGGCGTCGATTCCTATAAGATCAATTCAGATTGACTCTAGTTCATTTAGAAAAATATGGTTTTTAGCCCATAAACGGACCGGACCGATGCCACGAAAGAAGACAAAACTATAATTTGCAAATAAAACCCATAGAAAGAAGCCGAATACAGAAAATGTCCGGTCCAGAGCTGGAAGTGGCAGAATCCCTCTCTTCCGGAGAAGCTAAAAGATGAGGCTCAGATAGTGCCCATAGAATTCCTTCATTCACAAACCCCACAAGCACTATGATTTATCATTATGAAGAAGAAACCAGAGGTTGAAGACGACCACCGTCATCTCGAAATCCTCAAGGCGGTGGCGCAGGCCTGGCACAGCCACACCGGCAGTTCAAAGCCCGCTAATGAATTCGACGCCCACCGCCGGAATTGCAGAGGCACCCCCTCCCGCTTCAAGCTGGAGGCGATAAGAACCAGGTCCTCCGCCGGCGACCGGAGCGGCGGCCCGAGATGGGACTTCAGCCAATCGCTGTGGGACTCGTATGAGATTGTGACGGTGTCGAAGAAGCTGGAGGCGGGGCTGGTTCTCGACGGCGACGTGTTTCATGAATACGACGGCGGCGGGCGAGGGAGAGTCCAGCGGAAACACACAGAGAGTAACAATAGTCTCAGAAACTTGTTCAACAGGGTTTCTTCGAGGAGGTTCAACTAGCCGCCATTGAAATTTCAAACCCAGAGATGCAGATGACTGGAATCCGATTTTGTTGTTTGAATTTTTGTTTTTGTTTTGATCTACATATTTGAGAGATCAAGTTACAAAATTTGTGATTTTTGTGGGTGGTTGGTTCAATGGTTTCTTCTACTTTCTGATTACCATATTCAATGCTGCTAACGACCTGATACTGACAGACAATCTTAGCTACTGCCATTTAAACTGAAATATCAACTGAATCGAACCAAAAACTATAATAAATCAAGACTCAAGAAGTTCAGAAACTAAGATGAAATTAGATCATAAACATATGTACCTTCGGAAAGACAGAGATGGACCAGAAACTGGAGGATCCGGGGCAACTCAAATAAAGCACAAAAATCATCCTGTTCCAGAGCAACAATACAATCCCATTATTTATTTAGTTCTAATATATTTACATTCTGATCCATAATCTTGAGAACTAAGCCTTTTCCCCATAGATAAGTTCCATCACCACTTGCTTCATGCTGCCATTATTCTTCATCAGAAGCATTCTGTTCATTTCCTTGTCACCGAAACCCTGCAACACCGGAGTTACAAATTAACAATCATGAACTAGACCCCGAAAGGAAATCAGTGAGTAGCAACAACCTCATTTAACGGCTTACCGTACCATGTCCTCCAACTCTTCAAGCATCGGATCCCATTYGGCAACTCCACAGAGTTCGTCCACCGACTTCTCCAGATTGTACCCAGTCTTCTTCAGTACTTCCTTGTTCAGATCGACATGTTTGAATCCCATATCCTCTAGTGTTTTAAGAAGAGTTTCCTCAACAACGTTATTAGCACTGACCTTTCCAGATGGTGATGGATAAACATTGGTGGATGATGCTGGAGGCGGGGCTGCAGCTGGAATTGGTTCAGAAAAATCAATAAGAGGGTATGACACAGAGGGAGCCTTAGTCGAACACGGTAGAACTCCATGACATTCGACAGTGGGATACGACGAGACCGAAGTATCCTTGTCAGCAGAAGCAGCAGGATTCTTGCCAACTATCAAAACATCGTTAATGGGGAACTGTAGCTGCTTTTCATTTTCAGGCAGATTATGATCTGGTTTTACTGGCTCGGCAACAGGGGTGTAATCACGAGAGAAAAGGACAACATTTGCAATTTCAGGAGCCGGACTCTTTTCTACATCTTCATGGCCCTCCAAGGCACCGCTGTGTATGGCTATAGGGGGTAAATTTAAGTCCAAAGCCTGGGGGTCATGTGAAACTGCTGCATCAACCTTCATGTTTGTCAACAATATAAGTTGAATTTCTGTAATAGTGTAATCATGAATTTACAGCATATAGCTAGCTAGAGGAAAACTGAGATATTCCCCTGTAAACTACCTGAATGAGAACCCAAACACGTTGACCAAACGTCTGGCCTTCTGGAGATGACATCTTCCAATAGGAGATAAATTGACCAGAGAATGGAGGGGCAGTAAAGTCAACTGCAACTTCAATTTCCTGACCCACAGGAAGTCCATCAGCAGGAACCTGACATAAGTGAGAATGTGAGAAAAACCTTAGAAACAAAAGAAGAAATGAAGAAATACAGCCACCACCGAAAACCGGAAACGAAATGCGAATAGACTAGGATTAAAGTTAAAACATTCACCCACCTCTACTTCAACTGAAACTGAATCACTGAACCTTTCTCCTCCCATCCATACCAGCTGTGAACCACGGGGCCAATTAAAACCCCCAGTATTACGCAACCGCCAAACCTTGGTAAATGGGGTAGATGGTGCCATCATAGTGCCATCAAAGACAGTAACATCTGCTACGAAGACACTATCAAGTCTAGTTTGCTTCCCACAACCTTTCAATATATCAATTACTCGGGGGCCAGTCAATGGATGCTGCATTCAGAGAGGACCAAAGTTGAGGATAAAATAAGATCGTTATTGACATTGACAAACAAATGAATGCATAGAAGCTCTATTATCAAATCTACATACTCTACGACTGAAGGGTCTAAGTCTTGGATGGCGAAAAGAAACAGGTCGGTCAATTCTAATGTAGTCAGTCTCATTACCCGTTTCACCAAAGCAGATACTACAGAGATCATAATTTTCTTTCCTGCATAAAAATACCAGAATGCAAAAAAAGCTGGGTAATTATGAACAGATAACAATGGGAGTAAAAGGTAAAATAATTGATCGATAGGTTTGGGTTCTATTCTTACACTTTAGACTTGAACCGTGGACCAATAATTGGACGGGCTCCACAACCATCACAAATAACACCTTTATGGAACATACTTCCCATAGATTCGGTGTGACCACTGCTGCTAATTACTGAATTTATATCTATAACTTGAGGCATAGATGATCCAGTAGCCACAGGTACTACACTAAAAGGGCACTCGTTGATGAAACTACTATCCACATAAGTTGCGGGTGAAGGATTTGGGTCAATGTTAATTGAGGCAGGAAGATTGTGAGTATGCATATCATGAAAAGGCCTACTAGGGGCAGCTGGTTTCCCAGTGGCACATCCAGAAGCACTATAATCAGTAGGAATGGCATTAAGATCAACAGAAGCAGGTGCATCTACACCAATGTTCTTTGTCACGCTCCCAGGGTTAATTATCTTACTATCTTTAGAAGCTAAACCAATGCATTTAAAGCTTGGCCCTGCTTCTTGATGGAAGCCATCATTCTTTGAAGCTTTTGAATCTGCACCTACAGGAGCCATAGAACTCTCAGCAGCATTCTGTGCGCTTGTCTCTGAAACAAATGAGGACTGGGGATCTGAGTTCAAGTGTGTGTTTCCTAATCGAATAAGGCTCTGAGCAAGTTCAGCAAGCACAGGACTAGTAACTGCAGCTTTTGAAGCAAAGTCAAGGAAGATCTGGGAACAAAATTCTGGTAAGGGCTCTGGTAGAGATTTCAAAACCTCAGAAATACCAGTACGAACATTTTGAAATGAATGTTGGCCACGTGCTGATGTCAGAGGGGTAGAACTTCCATCTGATCTATCATGAGATTTGTCATTTTTCTCACTTTTAAGATGCACATCAATTCTCAAGAACTTCAACTGTTGCCTCATCACATCATGCAGATCATCATCACTGACTAGGGTCACTATATCACCATCTTCATCAATATAAGTCAGTGTAACATCGGCATCAGGAGAGAAGTTGAAGAGATTAAGTATTTTTGCTCTCAACCCATTGATATCAAGATCCAGTTTATTGTATTGATGAACTGGAACACTGAAGCGCCTAAGCATTTCTCTATATTTAACCTGGAAGAGAAAAGATGTCAGGGGAAAAGGGCATCAGCATGCTAATTCTAAGTTGGTAACCGCACAAGTTTTTCTCACAAAAAGCTGCCAAATTGTGCTTATAAAATGCCACCATTATCCCCAATAGAATATGATATTTATAAGCTTTTTCTTCTGATGATTTTTAATGCCTCAATGTCTAGAAGTAGTAACAGGCTCATTTTATCACAACCCATGTTGCATCATACAAAAAAATGATTTATGGCATTTCTCTTTCAAAAAATAGGCAGTCAGTTGATATTATTCTTCTTGGCTAGGCACTGGGTGAGGTGCAAAGGCTTTTATCCTCAATACGAGTCTCTCGAGCATACACCTCCAAAGCCTTTTAAATCATAGATAATGGCAATAATTTCGTAGCAAAGATAGAAATGCACGTGTAACTGCAAACAGAGCGACTGGGATTGGTCCTGTTTTTTTATAATCACTACAATGTATAAAAAAAGCAAAAGTCCATTACAATGCAAAAGCTCTTCAAATATCCATTTCATATTTGGGGCAGAAAAAGTATACATGCATCGGTACTACTGCTAGCTCGATATTGATATTCAACACTTCAAAAGTACAAAAAAAATCAAAACCTTCGTCTACAATCCACAAATATGGAAACACATAAATCAGTGATTCCAGGTGTAAAACAACAGCGGATTTATCACTTCCAGAGTCGGAGGTACAAGCTGGCACAAAACAGAGATCCAAATTCCTCGGAATGATGGATAGTTAAAAGAAACCCTACCGGTACAAAAATACGAAATAACATGGACTCGATCCCACAACTTAGGCTTGGAAACGTACAATTATCAATTCCAAATACGGCGATTGAGTGGTCAAACTTTTCTAATTTCCCAATTCTCAATCTAAGATTGCCATATTTTTCTCATCAAGAAAAGAATAATTTACGAAATGCAAAAAGCAATAACACAGTCCGACGAAATGGAAAATAGAGGTTCGGTAAGGTGAATTGATTATGAACAATTTCTCACACCCAGCAAGCAGCGATTCAGAGAGACCACGAACAAACGAAATCCCAGTGAAAAATCCTCCTCCAATAATAATAATAAACACAAAATTCCTCGGGGAAACGAGCTTTTTCAAAACACCCAAACAAGACATTACATAAACAAACACAAACCAGCGATAACAATCACAATCATCAAGGGAAAAAAAAGCCATAAAATCAGGAGGAGAATTCCCACCTTAATCACCATAGTAGACTCCATGGCTTGAGAAACCCAACAGATTGAGCGTCGCACCGGGCCTGGCAAAGGGGTAGAAATATACAATACTAAAAACCGACAAAGCGATCGAATTGAGGGAGAATTTATATCAAGGATTGAATAAAATAATAAAATAAAGTAGAAAGATTTTCTTGTGTATTTTAGAGTTGAGTGGAGGGAGGTTGGATTTTTAGAAATATCAAAGAAACTTAGAGCCTATCCGTAAGCCCGTATCGTTCGAATCTCAATAATGGAGTTTGGGGTTCGAATCAGTTTTTTCTCTCTTCATTTAACAGTCGGTGTTTGGCTTGGCTTGGCTTACCCACGAAGAAATTGTTCGACTTCTTCTCTGGGTTTCTTGAGGAGTAAGAAAGTTTCGAGGAATTAAATGCTAAAATATTTCTTATTTTACATCTAAAATTAGACTGCCACGTCCCTGAAAGTGACGCTCCAAATCCTCCCATTGGTTTTCTTTGGGTTATACCATTTCAAATTCAAACTGTTGAAAGTAAAAACATCAAAATTAAAATACAGAAAATTATTTATTTATTTGAAATTCATATTCATTGAAGTTATAATATAAAATTCTTACTATAACCTAATCTTTTTTTGCAAAGGTATTGTAACCTAATCATGGTTAGGTACTTTTTGTTTCCATTTCAATCTTTCAGTTAGATATTGACTTTTTTGCTATGATCTTACAACCATGATGTTCATGAGATTCACCAAGTCTTTTAAGTGATATTATTGGACTAATCTTTTGATGGAAAATTTCATTTAGGACTCCTATATTGCACAAAAAATACACCCCTAATTATCATATAGCTTACAAATTAGGACCCATCCATGTAGGAAAAATACACTCCCAATTCCATCTACACTCCTAATTCCATATAGCTTATGAATAGACAGAATGTATTAAATGTGTAATTTAACCTTAAAAAAAAACCTAAAAACAACTCCTTTATGAAAACATACATTCACGCCATCAACTCAAATCCACTACCTATTCCTCAGTCATCACGTTGTAATATTACAATGAAAATAAAATGAAAAAAATAAAAAAAGGCCGAGTTAAGAAATGGAATTTTGTTGTTGAGTTGCAAGAAGAATCTCCCTCTCAACCATTTCGAACATGACTTTAAGTCGATGTTCAAACTCCTCAGCTATGTTCCGAGCGATCTTCTGCTGAATATTGACGTTTTTAAGCCATGTGATTCCATAGAAAGCCTTGCACTTGCAAGCATCTTTAGCCAGCACAGAATCCTCGAAACAATACCTAAAATGAATCTGCAGAATATCAGAAAAAGGGTCAGCAGAAATCATCATTGACGTCCTAAGAAGAAAAGAACACAGCAAGACGAGGTGAGTCGATTTATCTTCACATACACGAAAATGATCGCCAAACGGGACGTCGTGCAAGCTCATGACCTCGTTTAGTACCCATTCTTCTTCAACACTGCCTGCTGCCATGGGATGTTTTTGCTGAATACATGTGACTCTACCTTCAAAGATTGAGATGCTGTGATTGAATTGGTAAGAAATGCATCTTTGAAAGATATCAGGTCTCACGAATTCCCACGGTGTAGTTGAGTAGTTTAGGCAGCCAGATTTTTCCATCACTCTGTGCTCTAGCTCGCCCCCCTCAAAAAAGTCCATCAGTGATTTTATCTGCATACATTGTGGCAAAAATGAGACCTTCAACCAACTCATTATCTACTTCCTAGTAATGTCAGGCTCAGGCAATAGGTATTGAAGCTAAAGCAGAATCATCTTGTTGGACCTTGAGTTTGTTTCAAGCTTCAAAAGATGCTACAAAGAAACTATAAAACCAGCCACCCACATTTAGAGGAAGTTCTGCAACGTATAACTTTGACATCTTTGTATCTTCTATATCCAAAAAATATTCCACATCCTCCACCAAAACTGACCTTTCTTCGGAATCTTTCTGCGGTTCAGCAACCTGTGCCTTCTGATCGAGGGTTGATGTTCTTGTTCTCCACATTCCCATAATTGTCCTGCCAAAGATGAATCGCAGTAGCTTTAACAACTGTGAAAGTAAGTTCCAATCCACGACACGGTATGACAGAAATATGTATAATTACCTGCTGGCTACATTGAACGAAACAAATGACTGCAGGTAAAATATGAGCCTGCCCTGTTCATCTTCAGACTTTGCACCATGACTCGCTTCAAGACCTCGGCCTTTTTTAAGAATTATTACTAATGATGGGCTACCCAAAGAGGATAAGGAGGGGTGAAGTACTTGAATGTCTTCAATGTCCTCCCAGAGAAAGAAAAATTTTGTTTTCTGTCCAAAGAAATTGGCATAAAACCCAATAATTCTGGCAGATAGAAATAGTCTCCCCTGCACCACAGAATCATAAGCAACCTGATCGTTACAATAGACCAGATAGAAGTTCTAGTAAGGGTGTTAAGAGCAAGCAAATGAAAGATATACAGATGATATTATCTATCAAGTCAGAAGAACACTTTGTTTTTAAATTCTTAAAGACCTACAGAATATAATTGAGGTTCTATCAGAATCTTTAGATTAAGAGCAATTTGCGGCCCTCATATGAGAATAGATAGAGGTTCATGCGCAAATTGTTCTTATTAATTCCCCATTTTTATTGTGAAATCATCAGAAACTTGAATGGCAAGTTGGCAACCATATTATGTACCTGGAGAAGCATTTTTCTTTTCAAGGAGCATGTGAAGTCGCTGACAAGAAATTCTTCCGCTGGCAAGCCGAAAAGTTTTTGAAATGTTGAATTCCTGTAAGGTGATCTGGGATGCAGCTATAAAACACCCAAGAAAGAAGTGAGCCAAAGTCCACCATTGAAGTAACCAGACCAGCTTAGAGGTTCAAGATCAGAATCCTCAACAACTAAATGTCACAATAAAATGAAAGATAGCTATTTGTATTTCACAATAGCAAAATGGAAGTGGTCTGCATCTTTTTGACAATTGAACAACCACGGGAAGGAAAAGAAGTGTTTAGAAATGCACCTACCTTCTTCCCAACCTCCTTTCCCTTCTTAGACAAGTACTGTCTAATTGTTTCAACTCCATCGGTTTTGTCCAAAAAGATTCTCAAGTGTAACTTTGACTGAGAAGACTGAGCCAGCTTCCCCTCGAGGGGAACCCATATATCTGCAAGTTCGGTTGATTTATATTTTAGGAAATTAATCTCTGCATGCCCAAGCGAGGTAGCCTGGTCAAATGGACCATCAAAGTCAAAAACCTCCACATATAATACTGATGGTGGTTCCTTCATAGCATCAAACTCAAGTATCTCTGCATATTAGAATAAAATTTGGTTTAGTTAACAAGCCTGTAAATTTTTAGTATTGAGATGAAAAATCACGTGATAAATCAGAACCTTATGTGATATTAATCACAAATCTTTTTAGTCAGATCGCTTGCAGCAGAAAATTAAATCAAGAAACTATCCATGTTGTGTTGAGAATGCAAGAATTCCCAGCCTTAATAATTGCCAACAAGGAGGGGACAAAAATATTTTACCATTCCATTGAGGCTCATGAGTTTGCAGCTCGACGGAGCTTGTTCTTTTTTTACCATTGCATGTAAAAACCACGCAAGGGTCTGAGGATCCAGAAGAACCCAAAGATGAAATGTTGACACCTTCTATTAGAGCTATAGTTAGGATCCACCCCTCTCCTTGGCCTTTGACCCCATGGTCATTTCCTACAAACATGAAAAGCAGTAGACATATTACACAAAATTTTAGGTAAACTAGCTAACTATTGCCAAATGATAGGAGTATTATTAATTCATCAACATTAATAAGAGATGTATACTTGCTAGAAGTTAGTTTCTTGTACCTCTTCTTAACCTAGCTTGAATGAAATGTGAGACCATGTTATAAACACGTTCCAGCTGAAGGACTAAGATTCCACCAGCAACGAGTTCTCCTAAACTATCTGGCAAATCCAATCCAGCGAATTCCAAGCCTTGGATTGTTTTGGGCTTAGAAAATATAATGTGCACCAATAAGTACAGCAGCATGAAAATGGTTGAAATTACAGTGAAGTTCCAGAAGTAATGGCAGGCCAATTCAAAATCTGATTGGTGGTCGCTTTCAGAAGTTGATAACGCATGATCATCCTTGTTTGATAACTCTGTAGAATTCGGTATTTTAAAATGCTGTGCCAGCAAATTAGTTAAGTGGGCGGAACTCTCCTCCAGTCCCTGTCGAGCTCCTCTTTCGATCATGCCTTTCATCATAGTACTATGGAGGAAGTTTATACCCCAGGAGACTACGAGATGAGAAGTCTCCTCTCCAGAAATTAGCTCGGGGCCAGGCATTATCTTGTAAAGCAACTCAACGTTGAATGCATTACCAAAGGGAACTTCAGGTGTACTTACATTTACCAAGACAGAAAATTCCCATCCATCCCCTTTTATATAGGTCTGCTCCTCCGTGGCTTTAATAGCTCCGACAACCTTTGTTGCAGATTTTCTGTAAGAAATAATCCGTGATAGACAAGACACATCCCCTGGCTTCCAAGACCAATTTCCTTCTTCTAAATTTGTTGTTCCCTGATGCTCTGCTAGTTCCCTCTTGAAGTCTGAACCCGGGGAAAATAGAACTTTGTTCAAATCACCAGGCAAAACTACATAAATCTGATCGATAAGAATGCCGCCCGATAGATTCTCAGGCATTTCCTGTTCGTTGCTCCTGGACTGCAGTGCTGTCATAGCTTCGTCAAAGCTACATTCGGAAGGGTGCCCATCTATGCACTCTTCATTGTCAGACACGACACTTGATAGCTCCCAAGAACTATCTGTTCTTGTATCCTCGTCACTCTTATGGAACAGCCTCTCCAAACGGCCCACAATAGACTTCTTGTTACGTTTCCCTTTGACACGCTTGCTGCATGAAGATTTGGCGCCAATCAAATCTTGTGAAGTTACAAACGAGTCTTCCAATTGTTTAGAATTAGCAACACTTGATTGGTTAAGTGAACTGCCCTTTCCAAGTAACGAGACAATTAGAAGCACTTTCCCTGCATAAAAATTTGCCAAAGAGCTTATGACCGAGATACAGTAATCATCGGAAATACAGATCATCTGAAACCGCAATTGAACTTTCTTATCTTATCATAGCAATAGAGCAAATCCAAACGTAATATTCTTACTAGTTTTCTTGGAAGTAATGTTTTGAAACCGTCATTGCATAGAGTTAAAAAGAAGATACTATTTCTCAACAATACAGAAGTTCCGGTACACTTCCTCGCATCTTCAGACACAAATTTGAAGTTCGATTCTATTTCCAATTCCAACTTATTCAAACTTATGTACAAAATTTTAGAATCAACGAGAGAATGGAAGAAACAAAGAAACTCACCGGCGACTTCACTGACGAATTTCTCGGTTTTAGACCTTCGCACGTCAAACCAAGTGGGCGGCAAGGTATGTGAATCCTCAGCAGCAACGGACCATATCGGAATCCGAAACCGACCAATCAAACCCGATTCGCCATGGAAGAAGGTGGATTCATCACTGTGCTCATAAACAGAAACGATTAGTTCCTCATGGACATCACGGAACTTGAAAACGAACTCCTCATTCCAAACAGGATTGGAACTATTTCTGATAATCCGCGTCTTGGCCTTACGCCTCCCGACCCGAAGCTTCGCGAACGAGTCCTTCACATGCAACTCCTTAGCCTCCAGTACATACACATACAGCTTCATAGCCGATTAAACTCTCAAATTTTCCGCAAGAAATGGGAAATTGGCGCAAATGGGGTTTGAAAGCAGTGAAGATTGGGCAGAGGGGTGGGCTGATAATACTGCAGTCGGTACGGCGGGGGATATTGTAGAGCGGCCATTGCAAGACGTGGAGGATGTGAGAAGGAGACACGAGGAGGAAGGAAGTGGAAAAATTTTGTAATGGCGTGTGGAGAGTCGGTTGGATTGGTGATTGCGTTCGAAATATTCTGCAATCTTCTCAATTTGGTTCAGTGATAATTCGTTGTGGTTGCATTTCCCAATGGGAAACACGTATGGAATCAAATTCTGTTTGCTTTCTTTTTCTTTTCCTTCCTGATTGAGAAATACAATGATTTATTTTTTTTGTGGGAATGTAGCTTTTCACGTGCCTAAACAAAATAAATAATAAGAAAATCTCATTTGGCTCCCTGAGGGTTAACAACAATCTTTGCTGCCATTAAATATTTAAATTAATTTCTACTTTTACATTTTTTTTCCTTAATTGTTAAATATTTAATATGAGTAAATAAAAAGTTGCTTCTTATGAGCAGAGAATCAGGCATAGCCATTAGTATTTAAAAAAGGACAGCAATACATACTTTTCTTTTTAATTCAATGACATTGAATATTGGAATACCTTTTAGTCAATAATATATATTTAGACTATACTGTGACAATGAGATTTAGTTCTTTGAGATATACCACGACTTTTTGTAAATTTTTTTCTTTTTTTTTCAGATTTATATTTCACCCTAATTTATTGTGTGAAAGTATAACTAAGTGTTGGAGCACGATTAACTTTTCTACATATGAGGGCATAATATTATTCACTTTAACCATAAAGATCCCTTAACTTTACTTTTGGTTGTACACGACTGATAAAACTCAATCACACATATCACACTATGATTACATACCCTTTCAAGACTCAACACCTATTTGTGCGGCAGTCGTGGGCTAAGTCATGGGCATGACTCCGATACTATTTGTAAGGGAACAACGAACCCTCCACATTTCAACGTGAAATTGTCTATTTTGAGTATAAAGTCTTTATGATCTTACTTTTAATTTCACATAAAAAGTTTCATACCAATATTATTCTTACTTAGTCACTTTTGGGACTTCAATCACACTTCTAACACTAAAAYGATGCCTAGAATTCGTTCAAATTTATTATCCATCAAAATAATAAGTTTTATGTTTTCTCCCATAATAATAACAAAACCAACAACAACTAAATATATATTTCACTATCTAATGTTTTTTTTCCTCAATCAGATATTATTATTTAAAAAGTTCAATTCAGTATGTTTTAATATATTTCAATTACACCCTCAATATTTACTAATAATTAAGTTGTATTGCATGATATATATTAAGTTTGTGATAACAGTAGGAAAAAATAAAAAGTCAAAACGTACTTAGCTCAGGGTAATTATATATTTCAATCGAGATATAGATAATACTCAAACAATAAGAAAAAACAAAAAGATATATAAAAACTAATCCAGAGATTAAAATAGACAGGCTAATATTTAAACTCTGATTTCTATTAAAGTCAATTGTCAAAGGTATTCATCCGTGGATTTAATCGAGCTTGCGATAAGCGTAAATTGGGCGGGGTCAAAAGTCGATCCACGATTAAGACAGAAGCAAACCAGCTACCAAACACGACGCTGGAGATTTGAGTATTGTTCTGCAACTGAGCCCGTTCGCCTCCCTCAAGCTTCAAGCTCCGGCGAGAGAAATGCTGCAGTTTCCGGCTTTCATGACCCAGTACCCCTGGTCTACAAGGACAATTCCGACGTCGTTTTTACTGCCATCCCAGTGGCCCCAACCCCAAAACGAAGAGCTACTGCTCGCCATGGAAGAGTCTGATTTTGAAGAAAAGGTACTTTCCAGTCTCGTTTGAAAAACCCTATTGTTCTATCTTTTGTTTCAACAGTCCCCTGATTTGACGTGGGAAATGCGAACTGATGGCAACTAAAATGTCTTGAATGTCGATTTTAGTTTAATTACGGCATATTGTGAATTTCTCGATGCGTGCCGGCTTTTGATTCTGATCGTTTTGGATAATTTTCGGAAGTAGTTTTGTGCTTTAGTTGTACAAACATCGTATGAAAATTTCAAGGAGATGCAATTGAAATTAATACAATAAAAATTATATAATCTGACCATTCTGGGAGATCGTATTATTTTACTTTCTAACCAGTGGGAACTGGGAAGAGACTGTTTTTGAATGAGATCTAAGTAGTAAGTATATATTGTAGGGTTTTCATCTTTCTCAATTGCATCTTAAACAGTTTTACCTTGGCTGCCTCTTTGATTATTTGGTTTTTGAGGAGTTCGCTACTATGAACACTGAAAGTTGGACCGAATCGGTGTTAATAACTTCTTCATCAACATTTCTTCAATTGAGTTCTGGTTCAATAATTTTGATTGTTAGATAACACTGAAAGTTTGATTATTTGTTCCAGAGCACGATCTGTTACCACTAGTGTCATAGAATTAGCTTGAATACGATCTTTTTTCTAAACCTTGTGTGGTTCATACACAAAGAAGAGTGCTTGGAATTGTGTAACTTGAGATTGAGCAACCGATATCGATGTTTTGCTTATTCTGAACTGTGGGTTGTTAATCTCAAAGGCTACATCAACCCAAACTTTTATAGCATTATCTTTATATTACCAACTACACGAACTCATATTCTATAACTCATTTCGCTGTACAATTCAAACACAGATTACACAAGTCCAACTTTCCTAACTCCAAATTTCATAAACCCAAGCCAAAAATCTCTTAAAAGGCTTAGCCCTACTTGTTCTGTAGGGATGTAGCTTTTACTTGTTCTTATTAGTTATTAGTTAGTGGCGTTATGGTAATTAGTTAGGGGTGAGTTGTTATAAATAGAAGTAGTAGGGAGAGAGGGAATACATCTTTTGGGAAATAGTTTATGGTGAAGAACTTAGCATAGTTCTCTTTGGGAGAGATAGCCCTCTTGAAAGGATATTGATATTGTAACAACGACGTAACGTCTTTTGATATTGCAATATAATTACCTAGTTTTTCTTTAGTTTATTTAGGATCCTAACATATTCTTAATGTCGATCATGTTTACTTGATGTGTTATTCTGCAATGTCACCATTACTTTTCCCTCTTTGTTGTGTGCGAAAAGCGTGGTGGTGATTATGCTCTCATTCAACTGGTCTCCCACAGCCTCAGACGAAGAAGAAGAGAAGGGCTTCCGCTCTCTCTCTTTTATTAATTCAATTGGATCCCGACCCCGACCCCGACCCCGACCCCATCCCTGTGTCGGAGTAGAATGAACTACACAATTCTCTTTGTGATCTATCATCTATTGCAATTTCATTAGTGCCCTTTAGGTACCTTTTGGCCTTTGCTTCCTCCTCTCACTTGCGTTTACTGTTATTACAGTGCAATGAAATCAGGAAGACAAACAGCAACCTGGTGGTCATTGGAAAAATGAGCGCTGACAATGATAAGGAAGATATAGAGGCAGAAGATGACGATGCTGACAATGGTGAGGAATCTGAGGCTGAAGAATTTGAGCAGGAAACTGCTTAAAGCTTACAATCACTCTGCCATCTTTATGGCCTTTCCTGTCTTTGAGATCCTCAATTTGCTTCTGTATTTACTTCAAAACATATAAATTTTTTTTTTAACCGTTTCAATCTACCACTTTAGAAAATGAGAGTTATCCCATCCCTATCCCTGCATGTGTTGAACTAACAAATAGAAAAAAAGAGTTAAAAGATTGTTAACTGATATAACTAACCACTTTCGAAATGCCTCTCGAGGCCAGGTTAATTTGGTTGGCAAATATAACTAACCTCCACTTCTTTTTTTTAGTACAATGTATAGGAGTGGAGATCGAACTCACAAACTCTTTGTTTGAGATATATGTCAGTTAACGCTGAGTTACGCTCGCTTTGGCTAACACCCTCTTCTTTGGTTCATTTTGAATCTTCAATTTTATTTGGCCTTTTTGGAAGTATAGCATTACAAAAGTGGAAATGAAGATTTCGGAGGCTACCGATTTCTTAACCAATTAAACTCTAGGTCCAACTTCAAGTTAGTCACCTTTTTATATTAAAAGTTGTATTTTTTTTGCTTAATTTGCTTTATGACTAAGTGAATTTAATTCTTTTAAGTTTTAAAAACCATGAAGTTTTTAACAGTGATTTAAGTACACAGTAATATTATATCATATAATTCAGTTGATGAAAATATTTTAGAGCGGTTATATGGTTCTTAGATAGAGGATAAACTATTTTAAAAAATAGTTTCCCATACAAATCCTAATATATCAAAAATATCAAGTATCTGCAGTGTCTCACTTGGACATTACTTTGGTGCTTTGCCTTTTATTTTACCAAAAATATTTAAGTAGATAATTGTTATCATTTATATATCTAGATTACCTCTTTTTCACAAATGTATAAATATTTGTACTGGAATTGAGGATCCTTTCTAACCATAATGTTATACTTACCACCATTAAAATGGTAGCTTTTTTTTATTCTTTTGAGAAACTAAAAAGTTATCTCTTCTGCTCATAAAAAAAATAAAAAATTTAATGATAATCGTCAGTCAGTAAGATAATCAGTAAGTGATACGTGCTGAYCTATAAGTTCTTTTAACTATTATTCTTTTTTCACTATTTTTTTCGAGGATAACCAGAAATAGTTTTTTTTTTTTTTGAAGATAAAACCAGAAATAATTAATGCTTTGAAAAAAAAAAAGAAAAAAAGAGTTCACCAAACTCTTGGGCTTGGGCCGAGTTGTGATAATCTCGTCACCAATGGGCTTTCATCTAAGACGTAAGGACAAGCCCAAAGCGCCGTAGAGGCAGTCTCCGTCCTCAGTCTTATAAACTCCTACCAAACCCTAATTCTCACTTCCTCTTCTCGCCGCTCCCTCCAACTCCCGAAACCTAATTCTCCACCAGTTGCAGACCAAATGACGACCCGCTTCAAGAAGAACCGGAAGAAGCGCGGTCACGTGAGCGCCGGCCATGGTCGTATCGGCAAGCACCGCAAGCATCCTGGTGGTCGTGGTAACGCCGGAGGTATGCACCACCACAGAATCCTCTTCGACAAATACCATCCTGGTTATTTCGGAAAGGTTGGGATGAGGTACTTCCACAAGCTCCGAAACAAATTCTACTGCCCCATTGTTAACGTCGACAAGCTCTGGTCCCTGGTTCCCCAGGAAGTGAAGGACAAGGCTTCCAAGGATAATGTCCCTTTGATTGATGTTACCCAGTTCGGATATTTCAAAGTTTTGGGCAAAGGGGTTATGCCGGAGAACCAGCCCGTCGTTGTGAAAGCCAAGCTCATCTCCAAAATTGCGGAGAAGAAGATCAAAGAGAATGGTGGTGCGGTTGTCCTTACGGCTTAGGGTTTATTGGGTAATTGTTAGTCATGGTTTTTTTAGTATTAGTTTTGATTATTGCTGTGCCGTTCTTCCAAGTATCGGATTAATGTTATCAAACGTTGTGTTTCAGTTTTCATGACCATGAACTCAGTCGATTTTGAATGTGTTTCTTGAATTACCATTTTACTTGAAATGTTATACATTGTTAATTTTGCTAGTTCCGTCGGTTTTGGTTCTTATTATTATAATCTCTAAATTTTGAGAATACCCCTTGCATTTTTGTTGGATCTTATCCGGCTCACTGTAGATGCTAGGTTGTCTCCTTGGAAAAGAGTCCAATTTCCTCCAAAGAGATCCGCTGCTCTGTATGGTTTCTCTTTCTAGCAGCAACAACTGGATTCTTTATTTTGTCCATGTTATTTATAATTAACTTAATTTTCATCCTCAAACTTGTGAGATTTGAAAACAGTTGGATGATTTTAAGTTATTACTACCTCTATGCAAAAGTATTCATGGAGCTGCATAATCATGGTTCACTTTTCGGTTGCAAAGTCTGTTATCATGTCCTATTCCTAATCCTCCCTACGAGAAGATTTCTAATACAGTTTTTCGAACTACAACTTCTTAACTTTCGAAGGGCCACAAATTAGACTGGGATTTTATGTAGGTAATTTTTTTTGTATGTGGCTGTTCTGCTCAATATCTATCCATTCGGTTTTAAATGTATCCACCATGCAGATCCCTGTGGAAGAAGGGAGAAATGAATGTAAGTTCAGTTTGGTATGACTACAGAAACTACTGTTTATATCTGGCAGCCTGGTTTCTTTTGAAGACTCATCATATTTTTTACCTTGTATATGGAATGATTCATCTCTGTTTTGCAACTACTTCTGAAAACTTCTCCATTTTCAGGCATTTCCCGTAGCTGCACTGTGATAATGTAACCCATTTTTCTCTTTATGCTCAAAATCTGTAGCTGCAAGTATTCTTTGTAGTTTCTTTGGAAAGAGCCCTCCAAAGAAACGAGAATGATATTTCTTGAATGGTATCTGTTCTATAGGTTATATATCTTAGTTGTCGAGTTCTAAAATTATACAAAGCTTCATTTCTTTCCCTACAATTACCCTGAGGAGGTATTATCTTGGAAGCAAAACCATTAGAGCGTTTCAAATCATTGACTTTATTTGATCAGATCAATAAGTTGCATATAGCAATGTTGTGTGCACACAACAACTTGATTATCTAATGACTTAAATATGAGATGTCGACCTATACAACAATTTGGATCGAATTTTGGAGCTCGATAATATAATGTTTGTAACAATGAAGCTGCTGTATGTAACATCCATTGACTACTATTTCAAAGGTGGGCACTTGAATGTGTCGGTATTTCAAAGGTTATTGTTATATTTTTTTTGTTTGGATTGTAAATTACTGTGTTTATTGCGTGAGAAAATGGTAGAACTAAACGGGCATGAAAGTGAGACATTTGAAAATTTCATATTACAATTAAGAGATTGTGAGACATGCGAACATTTTCATATTACAATTAAAAGTTATGAATCTGTACATGTTGAATTACAAAGAAATCTCAAATTTTGACTAATAATAAAAGGGTATGATAATTTTACCAATGTTTATATCTAGATCTTCCAATGTTTCTATACTCTCTTTCAATACCAACCAATTGCATTTTTTTTGGTTGCTATATGTCTACATTGAGAGGACACGAAGATATTTTTGGGTGAAATATTGTAGAATCTAAAACTTATTAAAAAAGAAAAAGCATTTTTAGTTTACTACTTTAAAAAATGATGAGTTTGACGAAGTAGCCAAACAAGAAAGTACCATGTTGGATTCCAAGATTCTTTGTTTGTGCATGAAATTATATTGATTTTCTGTATCTTCTCGTAAAGAGCTCATTTTGTTTAGTGGGCGACGGAGGAAGCACACAGACAGTGCCTCGCTGTCGACTGTCACTGGTTCCGCCGTGATTCTTCCCGAAGAATGTCTGTCTTTCTATCAAAACCCAAATCAATTCTCCAAACCCCACATTCTCCACCAGAAATTTCACTACTTTTTCCAATCAAAGTTCCTATCTTTGATCAAGAAATCATTTTTATGGAAATGTAGATCATGGGTTTTGGAGAATCTAATCTGAATTTCATTTCCAAGTTCATTCCCCAATCCCCACCCAAGTCGTTGACTGGTCAACTTCTGGCCATTTCTTCACGTCTGCTTTTTCTAACCAAAGTGTCCTTTTTTTGCGACTAAATGCCAACAACACGGTGGTGAGGTGAAGAAATCAACTCGAGAGAGAGAGAGAGCAAAGAGATACATTGACCCATTACGCCAATTCCTCCAATTCAAAAGACTTTACATTCAATTCGTCAGAAAACGAACCGAAAAAAGGAAAAAAGTTGCAAAAGTTTCACAGGGACCTCTGCTTTGGCTCTGAAATAAAGGGGAAGAAAGACTGTAACAACTTGTTACTTGGTTTCTTTCTTGTGCTGTAATGGCTGCCGCGGCTTCTCCTACTGGTGAAGAAGGAGACATTCTCCAAGAGCTCACACTTCCGATTCTGTTAGCGGACAGAATTCTGAAACTGGCCCAAGACGCTGTTTCTTCGAGGCAAGAATGCGTTGACCTAGCCAACCAAGTCGACAATCTCTCCGGCATGCTCCGAACCACCGTCCGGCTAGTCACCACCACCCCGCCGCCGCTGTACGAGCGCCCCATCCGCCGGATTGTGGCCGACGTCTCGAAGAATCTGGACCGTGCTCTGAACTTCGCCCGCAAGAGCCGCCACAGCGGGTTCCTCCGCCAAGTGTTCTCCATGACCACCATCGCCGATTTCCGGAAAGTCTCCAGTCTTCTCGAGTCTTCYATTGGCGACATGAAGTGGCTGCTCTCAATCTTCGATTCCGATGGCACCGTGGGGCTCCCTCCGATTGCGAGCAACGACCCGATTCTGGCTTATATTTGGAGCAGTATCGCCACAATCCAAATGGGTCCGATTAAGAGCCGGGTCGAGGCGGCCAATCAGCTGAGTCTTCATGCTCAGGGCAGTGATCGGAACAAAAAAATCATCGTGGAAGAAGGTGGGGTTCTGCCGCTGCTTAAATTGCTTAGGGATTTCGCCTCCCCCGATGCCCAAATTGCCGCGGCTAATGTTCTCATCAGTGTCGCTACTGATTCCGAAAGGGTTACGTCGATTGTGGATATTCTTGGGGTTCCGATTATTGTTCAGGTTCTTAACGATTCCCCCATGAGGGTTCAGATTGTGGTGGCGAATTTGGTGTCGGAAATGGCGGAACTTTGTCCTCTTGCTCAGGAGGAGTTCGCTAGAGAGAATGTTACTAAACCCCTGGTTACTTGTTTGTCCATTGATATGGTTTTGGATGATCCTAAGGTTCAATTGGGGAAGACGAGTTTTCATTCTCTTGTTGAGATTAATAAGGAGCTCACTGGGAAAGCTTCAAAGAGTTCACAGGCTTCTTCTAATTCGTCTTCCTCACACCACAGGAAGGAGAAAGAGGTTGAGAGCTCTGAAATGAAGCTCCAGCTTAAGGTGAATTGTGCTGAGGCTCTGTGGAGACTCTCTAAAGGGAGCTTAACGAATAGCAGAAAAATCACCGAGACGAAAGGGTTGCTCTGTTTGGCTAAGATTATTGAGAATGAAGAAGGGGAGTTGCAGTTCAATTGCTTGATGACAGTGATGGAGGTAACAGCAGTTGCAGAATCCAAGCCAGACCTCAGACACGCCGCCTTTAAGATCACTTCACCGGCTGCAAAAGCGGTTCTGGATCAACTTTCAAGAATGATTCAGGACAGCCATCCGGGATTGCAAATTCCTGCGATCAAATCGATTGGTTCTCTTGCTAGGATTTTTCCCGCGAAGGAAACACGGATTGTCAGTCTTTTGGTTTCGCAGATGGGGAGTAGGGACATGGGTGTGGCCATTGAAGCTGTGGTTGCATTGGGGAAGTTTGCCTGCCCTGAAAATTATAACTGTGTGGCGCATTCGAAGTCGATTATCGAGTTTGATGGCATTCCTCCTCTAATGAGACTTTTTAAACTAAATGATCTGGCTCAAGTGCCTGGCCTGATGCTGCTATGTTACCTTGCACTGAATGCTGGGAATAGCAAGGCTCTAGAGCAGGCTCGTGCCTTGAACGCGATTGAGGGGATGGCTCGTTCTGTTTTACCTCAACATCCCGACTTGTATGAGCTGTTTGCCAAAGCCATACACCACCTTACTCTTTATCAGGCCGGAGCTCATCATATCCACAGGCACAGTTTATCCCCATAAGCTTATTTTTATTTCAAGTTAGCTCTCGAAAGTAACTTAACGAGCAATGTTGTTGACAATTAAAACAAAATTGGAGGGTAACAATCTGAGACAAGTCGGCTATGGTCCACATAGAACTCTGACTGCACGAGCCGCATAGTTAATGGCCCGAGGTAGTGACCAAGACAGCATATTGAAGGGCGGTTTTCACTTGATGAAACAACGTATTGCTGGTAGGACTCTTAACTTGCTGGCTCTTGCTTTCTGATTCTTGTTCAGTTACACAAAAACAAGGAAACAAAAAGGAAAGGTTCGATTACATAAGGAGCCAATAGCCGCTTTGGGATAATTGTTTAGATTTGTTCCCTCTAATGTCTCTCAAGTCTTGATTACTTTGTAGGTTGCTGGTCTGAGTGAATATATTTATTGGTAGCTGGTAATATTGGTTTACTTCTAGTGTTTCATTCTTGTTTATAGTCCAAAATTTGTGCAGCTTTTCAGTGCCTTTCTTCTTCCATTTATACCCATTAAGAAGTCACTAGCATTATTAACCATCTAGCTTAGCATATTCGTGGACGCAAATTTCAAAGAAACATGGAGCCACCAGTTTCTGTTTCAATCTCTTGATAAAGAAGTCTGATGTGCCATTACCGCTATATCTATGGACACATCAAATCCGGATTGATGTCGATTTTCGTCCAGTCGCCTGGATGCTGTTTACAGCTTTTCAGGTTTTTGTTAAAAATTCATACAAGTAAAAAGCAACAATAGTATCACAGCAACAATAGTATCACAGAATATGTATTGTCTTTGATAATGTATTACTTGAGAAATGTAGGTGACATTGCAGGCTCCACAGCCGTTTCTTTCGATCCTCATGCTTTTGTTTCATCTCCCTCAGTTACTGTTATTACACTGTAGTTCATGATTCCTTATGCGTAATTGTCGGGCAGGCATTCGTTGAATTGTTGTTTCATCACATCACTACTTTAGTAGCATTCATTCTAGGAAGTTCAGAAGGAAATGAACACATCACACTAGATGTCATGTTACATCTGCAGTCAATTGCTTTAAACATGTTCTCAAGTATCTTCAATAGTTACACTGTAGAAATGTTGAATAGAGGATAATAACATTGCTTTGTCCCATGTTACTAAACCCGGAAAGATCAGTTCCTCCGACATCCGAGCGCAAATACAGCGATAGAAGCAGGATAACGAGCTCTGTTTGTGCAGTACTCTTGCAATGGGGCCTAGTAAAAGGAAGTTCTTAATGAATTGTGATTATAGGTACAACGTTTATCTTAAGTTACTTGTTCTTTTGGCTACTTCAGGTTTTAGGCATAGAGGCAATTACCCAGGATGATTTGCTTCTATAGTTTTTTCTCTCTTGATTTCTCTTGCTTGAGTCATTTCTGACTGCGACCGAGTGACCTTCGGTTAAAGCGTAATCGATGTGAATTTTGCTTGGTTATTGGACAAACTTTCTGCTGAAATTTGACTCCTACAAGATCTGTAGATTTTGCAGGTTCCCTATTTTCAATAGATTGAGACAGGAAAAGAGAGCTACACAAAGTTCTTTCTAGCATCAGGTGTCAACTGCAAGCCAAAGTTAATGAAGAATTTGAAGCAAAACTTCTGGTTATACCTAACTTTGTTAAATTCAAAGTATTGACTTCTACACCAACTGAATCTTTACTCGTACTAATGCATCGCTAGTATTCCTTTAAATGTCTTTTCTTTCTTGTAAATTATTGATGATATGAATCAGTAGATGCATCGGAACATTCTTATTAGTTTTGCGTAATCTTACCGCTCTCATAATTCAAACTTTAGATATTGACTCTATACAATGAGTTGAACAATGATTGCTCATATCTTTGAGCACAAGTGTTATAAAGTTTTGGTATAGCTTTCATATTAAGAAAGCGTTTTTTTCCCTTTCGCTTTGATGTTTCTCGTCATCGTGGTTGGAGATGGCATCTCACCGAGATTCTCCGACGGTGGAGATGAGCGTGTTTGTTTGAAAATCTGGGAGCTCTATGTTGGATTGAAATCTCACCCTTTTTTATTTCTTTCACATTTTCAATGCAATGATTTACCAAAATGCAAAAGGAGATGGAGGCCAACGGTTTCTCCACCATTTCTTCAAGTTTCTCTTCTGCTAGATAAAGCAACCTCCTTAAGAACTCACATTTTCAATGAGAAGAACAAGAATAAGAAATTAAATGGACAGAAGTAGACGATTAATATATTTTTAAATGAAATAAATCTTAAACTATAATTTAAGTAAAATAAAATAAATCTACTTTTAAGTGAAATAAATATTCAATTAAAATTTACCATGTTTAATTCAACAAATGTTGTTTGAAATGTCAATATATATGATGAGCTAAAAGCAGGCAAAGATCTTTGGCCGCAAAAGAGAAGAAATGTTTTCCTTACTTTTGGAAAGGAAGCCAAAAAAAAAAAATGATTTAATAAACGTTTGTAGATAAAGTTTGCTTTTTCTTTTTCCGCCGATGTTTAGAATCTTAGATTAAAGTTTCAACTTTTTTCTTTTTCCCCAAATGTTTTCCCAGATGTTATTGGTATTTGAACTTGTATGCATTATATTTTGGATGTCTCGTATAATATCAATATTTTCTTAATCTCATCAAAATATATATAACATAATATTGCTAATATACCAAAGATATATAAACCAATTTTCAATATTTTCTTAATCCCAATTGTTATAAGTAGGTTCATAGCCTGCCACGCGGATCAATCATCGAGAAACAGTTGTTCAGACCATATCTTGGACAAGTTGAGGATGAAGCGAGATTGGTAGAATCATCTGAGGGTCTGATGGAAGCCTGATTCAATGTCGATTTAGGGAGGGTGGATGTCCCTGGCTAAAAATCCACCAACATTAGATATGAGTGTCAAGGTGGCAGTGCCAAGCTACACAAAACTTTCCTATAAAAATGTGGAGTCCCTCGTTAATATCTACACAACCTAAGGAAGCTCGCACAATACCAATTTGGATTAAATTCTAACTTAAGTTTCAGAGTGTACGTGGTTGGGCACCACACTAGTGCAAGGTTTGATGTGTAAGTATACTTAGTTCAACTGATCACACGCCCACGTCAGATATGAAGCTAACGTGTCATCTCGTCTAAATTGTGCATATTAATACTAGTCACATCACGATACAATACAATCTAGTTGATTAAAAAATTTGAAAAACCGAAATTTCTACTTTGTCAAAAGAAAAAGAAAAGGAGAAAAAAGAAAATCTAAGGCATATCCCATCTAAACTAATGTTGGGTCCATCTCTTAAAGTCAATAATAATACAAAATAATTATACACATTAGAAAGACAAATTTGTACATTAGTGACTAGTGGGTTAAACTTAAAATAAATATTTTGCATGTGGGTATTTAAAAAATGAAAAGAGAGAGAGAGAAAAAAAAAACAAGCAAAGTAATAATTATAAAAAGGAAAAAAAAAAAAAGCAAAGTAAAAGGTTGTATTGAATGGAAAGAAAGAGGGGGAAATGACATAAGAGTTTGATCAGCCTTAACTAATTAAGTGGCGATTTGATTTAATTAGCTGATTGACTTATGAATTAGCTGTTAATCATGTCGGATCCATTTCCCAACCTGACCCGAATTACACGCTTTTGAGCTGTATTTTCTTCAAAATTGAAAAAAAAAAAAAGTTTGTGTTTTTTACGCTAACAAAACAGAGATTTAGAGAAAGCAACTTTACTTGGGTTTCGTTTTATAAGTTTGTTGTTCAGAGGCTGTTTTTTCCGACCAAACTTTCCAACATCAATTTCTGTTAAAACTCTTCTCTTTCCATCACAATGAGTGTAATTAAAGACTCCACTAATCTTAATTTTTCATTAAATTGTTGCTTTATTAGATAGGTAGACATGTTACTCGATTGCTACTTCACAATGAAATTCAACTTGTACATCAACAAAATTCAACCCGCTCATCAATAGCATGCTCACATCTTCAAATATCTCAACTTTTAATAACACGTTAACTTTCTATTAATAACTTTTAACATATTTTTCCTAAGAAATAATTAGATTAAAATTGAAAAAATCTAAAAAGATTACAGGTCATTAGTCATTAGGGTGACGTTAATTCAAAAGTACTAAAAGAGAATACCTATGATTCATCTTATTAGGGGTTGAAAAATATAGAAACTAAATCGAACTAATGCATGAGCACGATTTTTAATCTATTTATGGTTGAATGAAAGTAACTGGATATAAAGGCTAGAGTTTAGTTAAGTTTTATTGCACCAAACTAATTTTACATAATAGTTAATCTTCGAGATGATTTTTGTCCATTTAGACATAGATAACTTAGTTAGACACTATAATCTCGGTTAAAAAATTAAAAGTTTAAATCCCAATGCATTGTTGAACTCTAAAAAAGAAAGAAAATATTTAATATAATTCTCATTGTTACATAATTATAAAATTAAATAAATTAAAAAAATAATTTACATTGGTGTGTCAAATTGACTTTAATATCCTGTTGCTATTCATGAAATCAAAATTTTTAATTAAAGATAAGGATGATAAGTCAAATTTTATACTTTGTTTTCAAAGTTCAGGAGAAATATATAAAAAATAATAATAATAATTAAAATGTAGTTAAAGGATCACATAATAAATTATAAATAAAATAATAAAATGAATTAACTAGTGACTGGGTAATAAATTGGTTAAATTTTGACTTTTATTAATAATTGATGTACTTAATTGAGATATATGAGCTATTTTTGTAGGTATTTCATTTGTTTTGGTATTACTATAAGCTACTTAAAAACTTTCCCCATTTTACAATAAGATTATACTACATTTTAGGTAGAACGGTGATGCAATTGTGGCCTCAAAATAAAATAATAACTAACAAACAAAAATGTAACATTTTTCTTTTTTTCCCAATTTTTGGACTTCCACGAGATGATAGAAGTTTAGAAAAAATATTTTTGTAGTTTAATAGTTTATTTTTTTTAAGCTAAGTTTTCATTTCTGAAACCCTACCAACTAAAATGAAACATCACATTTTTGATACATACATTAGTAAGGCCAAAATTTTAATTCATCTCTAATTAATTGAGCGACTTAAATGATTTTAATCGAACGAATTTGAACAAATAATAATATTTAGTGTCTTTACCAGCTAGATAATTTTATTTATGCCTTGACCCATAAGAGCATTTTGTTGAATATGGGCAAGACGTGAATATTCTTTGTTTATTAATTTTGTTTACATTTTTTATTCCAACAATATTACATTTACATTTTAAATAAAAGGTGTGAATTAGAAGACCTACAACTCCTATCTCATAAGTAAGGTATTAATATCTAACTAACTATGCTTAGATAGACAACCTCGGTATTTGTGGTGTGTTAGCTATTTAAACACACTTTTTTTGGAATCTAACTTGAAAGATAGCATTGATTTAAAAACTCAAACATCACATCAGCATCAAAATTAAAATCCACAAAGATAATAATGTAATTGAATTAATTAATTTAGGAATTAGAAAAGTTGATTAATTATTCAGTCTAATACAATGAACATCATCTCTTACAAGGAAAGTGAAGAGGAATCTCATCTTCATAATAATGCAATAATACACAAAACCAAACATATAAAACCTCACAACAATCACACAAATAATAATAATAATAATAATAATAATAATAATAACAACAAAATTTAAGTTTGAAAATTAAGACTACGAAGTAAGAAAAAACACAAATGTCGTTGGCATTTCTCTTCCAACCCTCCACCAGCCATGCCGGCCCCCTTTTGTCTCTCAACACACCTCCATAACCTCAGCAGACAAAACCAAATACCCCAAAAAAAAAAAAATCCATAAAAGTGAGTGAAAAATCCAGAGAATCAAATTATACCCATAAACTTTAGACATATCTCAAAAAAATCTCATTTTATATTTCACCCTCTCACTAATATACAGGCCCCATCCCCCTATCCTTTCAATCAATAATGCATTCTCCCCCATTTTGCTTAACGTCTAATCGTATAATTTAACGTCTTAATTCGTATCAATTATTCATTTGTTGAGTCTTGTTCTTACTTCAAAAGTTTAGTATTGATCACTTAATATGAATTTAGTTCGACGGTAATTGACATATGTCTCTAACTCTACATGTTGTACTAAAAACAAAAGTAGATGTGGATCTGTTTTGAACGTGCGTCTTATCCGAATTCAAAGGAACAGAAAGAAAAAAAAAACGAAAATCACTCTTCATATTATTCCAACTCGTGGTAGAACAAATATTACAGAATAAGGGAAAAAAAATAGAGAGAAATACAGGTGGAGGATTAAAATGAAAAAAAAAANGGAAATGCTGACGGTCACTCTGGCGATGAACCACTTCGATTTGGTGATTGGGTCTTTTGGGAGGACGAATGAGGGCAAACCAGTGGTGATCAAACTCTCGCTTAACGAAAAATTGATGTTACTGAAACTCCAGGCCAAAATCTTGTGGCTCTGTACCAACTGCCCGGTGGCGCTCGTGAACCCCACAAATATTCCGTCGATGAAAATTTCAGAGAGATTGACAGAGACATCAAACAATGGCCGCCACGGCGTTCTCATCCTCGCCGGCGCCATGGTGACGTTCATGAGAAAATCGGAATAGTCGATCCAAACTTGGTAATTTTCGCCGCTATTAAGCTTGAGTCTATTGAACGAATCCCCTCCACTACGGCCGCCGTTCGACCAAAACCCAACCTCTTCGGTGGAGTTCGAGGTCAGAGAATTAAAGTTGATTCCCACATGATTGTCGTTGGGGTCGTTGAATTCTTGATTGGCAAACACATCAAATTCAATTCCAAAGACGTGGTTGTTGGGGTTCCCATTGAGCGAAAATTTGAGAAAACCCAGATTCTGGGCAGAACTAGTCCTTTCGATTCCCGCCACCGGGACGAAGATGAAAACAAGGCCATGACCGGGCAAAATGCCCTTGTAGGGAGCCATGGCAAAGATTTCAAACAAATGTGAATCTGAGCCAAGCTCAACCTAACGACATGTGTTAAATCCTACCTTATAAGTTATTGTAAAAAAAAAAAAGAAGACAAATTGGAGAGAATTATTGAGGTGGGAAATATTATGAGAATCCAATCAACAAAGTTCATGTAAGACTCATCACACAAACAGGCAGTTGATGATGGGGGTTTCATTGCCGGTTGAAGAAGCTTGTAAGGAAATTAAAATCCTCAACAAAATGGAAAAACAGAGGGAAATACATAAACCAGAGGCAGCAGAAATATTGTCCTGTTTCCACTGCTTCCTATATAAGCTCAAGCTCTTAACAATGGCATTATTCAAAACTGTAGCCACTCATCAAAAAGTACGTAAATTAAGAGCCACCTTACTACGAACGTGAAGAGGAAGAAGAAGGGAAAGCTGTTTAGGAGAGGCACGAGTAAGCCAAAGCCTTTTCCTCGCTGAGCTCCTCTGCAGTCAAGTCCAGTTTCTTCCTTGAGAATTCATCAACAGAAAGTCCTGGATCCAGAGAGGATCACACACAATCAGAAAATATCTCACCGTCGACTATAACTTTGCAGCATAAGAAATCCATAACTTTTACCCTTAAATTACATCTTTAGTCCTTAAATTTTAAAGTCCAAAAACTTTTTTGATATTTTTCTAATAGATCCCTAAACTTAATAAGTATAACTCAGAATTCAAGGACGTATATCACACAAAACTGAAAGTTAAGAACTTAGTATACAAAATTTATAGGTTAAACTAAAAAATTAGCTAAACATTTTTTAAAGTCTATGGACTCGTTAGACAGACGTATCAAACACTCCTTGTCGTATAAAGACTTATTAGACACAATTCTGAAAGTTCGGGTTCGAAATTTGTAATTAACCAGATTTTTGTCACCATCTATTGTTTTACGTTACTGGAAGGAGTCTCAACATGAACGTATCAAAAGTATATCAGGATCATGACGTGGTATCTGAGGAGGAAAGTAAACAATACCTTGCACAATTGACCATTCACCGTTACGACAGGTGACGGGGAACGAATAGATCAGTCCAGCCGGGACATTGTAAGATCCATCAGAGTAAACTCCCATGGAAACCCAGGTGCCCTGGAAGGAAATCAAGTTTTTAATGAGCTTTTAAATCAGTCTTTCAAAGCACAAAGTTAAAGGACTATAGAAAAATCACCAACCTCCGGAGTTCCAAGAACCCAATCACGAATGTGATCGCAAGCTGCACTAGCAGCAGACAACGCACTTGAGAGCTTCCGGGCTTTGATGATTGCAGCACCACGTTGTTGAACAGTGCTAATAAACTCTCCATTCAACCTTCAATAAAGAAAAAACCATATATTATTGCAAATGCGTCTCTTTAAAATTGGACAGATATGGTACAGAAACTCTACCATGCATCATCGGCAACAAGCTCACGGACAGGTTTCTCCTCACCAGATGGTAACTTGACAGTAGCATGGTTAACATCAGGGTATTGTGTAGATGAATGGTTACCCCAGATAATAACATTCTTAACATCAGATACTTGAACATTCAATCTCTCTGAAATTTGGCCTAATGCCCTGTTGTGGTCCAATCTAGTCAAGCAAGAAATATTCTTCTCGGGGATGGAGGGAGCAAATTCCTTCAAGATCAACGCATTAGTATTTGCCGGGTTAGCAACAACCAAGACCTGCAAGAGCAAGGAGACCAAGAGTCAGTTGTCTGACCATTCAAAAAAATTAGAAGAACATTACTTTTCAGTAAAATTATTTATTTATATGGAATTCAATCAACAAAAGTTACCTTACAGTTGGCGGCAGCGTGCTTTTCAAGGGCAGAAGCCTGAGCCTTGTAAATTGAGACATTTTTAGACATCACGTCTTTTCTTTCCATACCCTCTTTTCTTGGGAATCCACCAACCATAATAGCAATATTGACACCAGTGCATGCCTCAACCACATCAGTTGTAGCAACAACACCTAAAACATTGTACCAGGCATTCATGCATTATAAGATAATCAACAGAAATCGAAGGACAGAAACCACAGAAGGAGCTCGTTCAGTATTAGTGAAAGATTGCTGTATCATATACCTTTAAGAAGTGGGAAAGCAGCATCAACCAACTCCATCTTTACGCCATTCAATGACTCGGCAGCCGGTGGGATATCAAGCATGTGCAAGATTACAGGTTGGTCAGGTCCTAGCAACACTCCTCTGGCAATCATAGGCACAAGGGCATATCCGATTTGTCCTGAAAAAAACAAGCAGTAAATATACTACTTCATATGTAAAATATTTAAGGGGTCAGCCAAACAAATCAATTAAGTTTTGGTCTTAATAATGTATTTCCTCTATGAAATGACAAATCAATTCCAGTAGAACTGCTCACGTGCACCTATTCACGAGAGAGAGAGAGAGAGAGAGAGAGAGAGAGAGAGAGAGAGAGAAGGATTGAATTGAATGTACAGTTTGTTCACAAATTGTTGAAAGCATCAAAATTGCCTCCACTTATCTCTTGTGAGAGCGACGTTAATGGATAGCTACAGAAATCTACTGAGCTTCGGCTCTGAATCAGCTGCCCATCCTGCATCACTGAACTTCCTGTTCCTCTCTTCAATTCCTCGGATTTTATCCCGTTGTTATTATTCCCATGAATCTGGAAAAAACTGTCGATTTTATTCTCGTTTTCCCACGAACAGAATGTCGAATTTTCCACTCCATTATTGTTGCTCATGTAGAACCCCCCATAGTTGTTGCTCATGTTCGACCCCGAATTGTCCGAAAATTCCTCGGAATTCGTCAAACTCGGCACTGAGCTGAATCCGAAATTCGATTCCTGGTACTGGGTTTCGAAATTCACACACGAATCCAAATCCAGCCCTGTTTGGAATTCCAAGTAAGACAGCGAATCCAGCGCTTGCTTGTTGATGTTGATCATGAAATGGTCTCGAATCGGCGCCGCCGTCATTCCGCCGTCGTAGTACTCGCCACCGCCGCCGACGAGAAATGCAGGGCCTTGGGACGACAGCCCGCCGGAAACCCCTGGCCCCGCCGGGATTTGGATTTGGATCCCACCAAATTCCTTATCCTCGAAGATTTTCTTCTCCTTAATCTCCTGAATGTTGATTATGGGCTTGTGGGTATTCGGGTCAATGCCTTGCTTCATCAGCTTCTTCTTCAAGCTCGAATTCCAGAAGTTCTTTATCTCATTGTCAGTTCTTCCCGGTAATTGAGCCGCAATTTGAGCCCACCTGAAAAACCCCAATTCCTTAAATTCCCAATTCCCAAAATTAATTACAAAACATTTCTAATTTATTTATTTTTACCTGTTGCCCAGAACTTCGTGTAAACTGATAATGAGATCCTCTTCTTGCTGAGAAAACATTCCCCTTTTCAAATCCGGCCTCAGGTAATTTATCCATCTCAGCCTGCAACTCTTCCCACATCTCTGCAAACCTTAAAAAACCCAACCCAAAACAGAACAAAAACAGAGCAATTAATTAATTAAAAGGCTGGAGTTTTTAAGAAATTAGAAAAAATTAAAGATTCCACCATACCAGCAAGCTTTGGGACAGAGCTCCAGCAGCCAACGCCAAATCTAGTGATGTAATTGAAGAGTTTTTCGTCTTCCTCAGGCGACCACAGGCCCTTCCTTAGTTTCTGCTTCAGACAGCAAGAATGGCGCCCCATTATGGTGAGAGAATTGGATTCCAAATGCGTAGGACAGAGAAATATATATATATGTGTGTGTGTGTGTGTGTGGATTTGTTTTTGTTTTTGGTTGCCAAGAGTTGACAAAAAACCCAAGAATAGTTTCTGATGATTTAAAGAAGGGGAGGAAAAATCATACTTAAGATTCAAGTTATAGAGAGAGAGGATCGAACAATCAAGTGGGTTTTACGCAAATTTGGTGCTGCTTTTGCACAGTAGAAGATTGGGTTTTAAGAAATCTCCATCTATTGGAAACATAGAGAGAAGAGAAGAAAGAAAAATTGGGAAGTTGGTGTTGAGTTTGAAGGAGTAAAACCATTTAAACGTGTACTTGAGAAACTTTAAAATAAAGATGGGTCCTTTTTTTTTACTGTTTAATTTTAATTTTTTATGTGTTCTTCTAAATAGTAATTATCAAAGCAAAGAAACTAAAAAAGAGAGTTTGGACTTTGAAGTCTCAACAGACGGTGCTGCTGTTGCCATCCCACTTTAATTTTATCCCATAAAAGCTTTTTAACTTTTTGTTGTATTTTGTTCTGTATCTCAAACCCATCATGATGATGGTAAAGTGTTTGATTTTTATGCACTAAATGCAATGGAAATTTTGAGCTTTTGTTTTGGAAATTGTTCTTAAAATAGCCACCAATCATTGCTTTCAATAACCTTCATCAAATAACTCGTAAATCTTAATATTACTGTGGGTATCTTTAAACCATCATTTCTTTTTAATTAATTCATGTTAGACTTGTGAGTTAATTAGAGAGTAAATAATATTGGTTGAATTTGAATATATAACAAACTGCTCTAACATCCTATTAAACCGCTATTAAATTCAAAAGATTAAACTATATATATATATATAGTCAAAATTCGAAAATAATTCAGCATAAGCATAATATAAATAATCAAAGATATGGATTATACAGAACCACATCATACTCATAGGGAACTAATTAATTAATTAATTAATATAAAAAATGCGACCAAAATTTCATATTGTCTAGAGGAAGATTATAGATATGCATCATTTTTATTAGTACGAGCCAAAGCAAATCTATCTCTAGTGCTATAGGGAATTTTGTTTGAAAGTAAAAACACATATAAATAGATATTTTTTAAAAATATTACATTACAAATAAAAGAGATATGATTCAAATTTACGAATGCATAATGTCCGACCACTTAAACTATGTCCAAGTGGACATTAAAAAGAACAATTATGATCGGTACCAACAAAGATAAACAAAAAAAAACATCACCACCCTAATTTTTTTTATTGTATTATTAAATTTAAAACGATGTAAATAAATAACAACTAAAAGAAAAGGAATGGATTCATGTGGTTCATGCTTATTATTCTTAATAAATAACTAGTTAAAAAAAAGATTAAATAGAAGTGAATTATTAAGAGCTCGGATATAGTTATTGAGTGATATTTAAGTTAGAAGCAAAAGCTACAATAATAACTAAAAATAGTTATTTACTTCAAACTGGAGGTTCAAAGTTTACACATAAAATTAAATAATACTTTGGGGGTTAAACTTTAAACAGAGGAATTGCGTGCAATCTACTGTTACGCAATATTTAGGCGCATGTTTTTTTTTTCTTCATTTAAATATTAAAAAAATAATTCCCCAAAATATTTAATAAATTTGATGTTTACCCCATTTGAATTCTAATCATCATAAAGTCCAGCCGACACCTTTGCATTCACAAGCATGGGCTCCATGCCTTTACTTTTCTATTCTTTATTTATTTTTTATTTTTCTACCATTCTTTTACTTTTACTCTTTCTTTTTTAATAATAATAAAAAAATCTTTACTTTCTTCTGGGAGATATTTATTTTATACTATGCTATGTTTACTTCAATTAGTTAAAATATTTGTAACTTTTCAATTATTTGAATTTTTCCTTCTAGGCGAATTGTGAGTATAATATTATTTAAAACAAAAATATTCAATTTATAGATATATATATTTTGGTTATATTGTGCTCAGGTCAGTAAAATATTGACATCGTTTAATTGCAATACTGAATTTAGAAATCAAATTATTGAATTTCAAATAAATTTATTTTAGATTTTAATACTATTTGATTCAGGTATGTTTTGGTTTATGTAATTTTAAAGTGTCTATTTTAATCTATATACTTTTAAGATTTCTTCATTTTAGTTACTGTACTTTCAAACATTCATTATGGTCCTCATCTTTTAAAAATAGATTATTCATTTTTATTTTTTCTTCATTTATTTCAATTAAAATTTTAGCATGATACTCTCTCTAAATTTTGTGGGATGTAGTCTTGTATTAAATAGTTTCCATTGTGTATTAAAACTGTGTTAACATTTGTAAATAGGGACAAAAATGACTCATTTATGAAAGTACGGCTATTTTGAATGTATAACGACTAAAATGAACAAAAATTACAAAACAGCGACCAAAATTAATATTTTGAGGGTATATGGACTAAATAAACTAAAATCGAAAATAAATGGACTGAAATATTATTTAAATCTATATTTTAATTATACATCTACCATGTTACAATTTTTGTGATTTTTTTTATTACTTTCATTGTTACAATCTTTGTTATTTTGTTATTACTTTTATTAATTACTTAATTTATACTAAAAGGTTTATAATATTTAAATTAAAATTTTTGTGAATATTTAAACTTCCGTTGGAGCCCAAAGGAATGGTCATTTTCTTCAATCTCGAAAATTTTAAATATATTGAATCGTTTTTTGTAGGATTTTTTATGTCTTATTAATAGAGAGAACATAATAATAATAATATTATTAGAACGAAGATATAGAACGTAATTATATTATGATAATTTCTTAAAATAAAATAAAAAATAACTTGGTTTAGAATTATTCAATTTTGGGATAGACTCCAAAACGTTTGTTTTTGTCTTTAAAGTCCTATCTTTGTATCAATTTATTTTTGATTTTCTATTTTGAAAAATTAGCTTATAAATACTACTCGTATAAAATATATTTATTTATTTTTTAAAGTTGGACCTAGCTATCAAATGATAAAGGGTGGAAAAGTCCACATAATTTTTAAAAATACATTACAGAAAGTAAAATTGTTAAGTACAGACTCTGACCTAGTGAAGATTCTAACAGACGGAAAATTTGTTGACATTCAACAAATTACGATTCTATTATTAGAGAATCTTCTAATTGCCGTCGAAAAATCCATTAAAAGATAGGTATAGTTGGTGCAATCTTACATTCTCTAAAATATACAATCTCTTGCCTTTTATATAGATTTAGTTCGACACTTGTTAGACTAAATTCTAACTTATATTTCAAATTTCCAATAAAGAAACAAGCGGGAATCGCACATTAACCTTTTTTTTTTTTTTTGAAGGTTAAAATCAAACAACTTGAATGACACAATTACGTAGTTTTCCGCGTATGTACAATAACTAGGGTGTGAGCGGGGTACATTATAGGAGCTCCCATCCTTGAATGAAAGCGTCAATGATTGGAGGCTGTCATAGACTTCCATTTTTTCCTTTTTCATAATAATAATAATAAATTATAACCGACATGTCCACGTCGGACGACATAAATACAGTTTCTTTCGTTATCTTCGAAAATACGTAGCCAGCTCATACGCCGAATCGGCAAAATGATTGGCCCACACTTTTTTGTCTCTCTTTCCCATCAAAACTCTCTCTTACATTACGTCTCTCACAATAATTTCATCCCATGGTCCTCTTTTTTTCTTTTCTTTTTTTTTTTTAAAAACTTAAATCCCTCAAATTAAATTTTAGAAATTAATATTTTCGGGGGCCATAAGATCTCGGCTTCACACGTGAAATCTTAAAACCTGTCGATATGCGATCGAAGCGCACCGTATTGGTATCGCCGTCGGTGTTACGATTTTAATTTTATATTTATTCTTATCTGTCTTTCAATAATTACTAATATTTAATTACTATTTATTAAATTGACTAATCTTTAATCTATAATTCAAGGTTTCTCTTTTTTATTTTTGTGCATGTATGTCAATCCTACCTTTCTATTATTATTATTCTTATTATAGCAATAGTCCAAAATCTAATATTAAAAAACCGGAATAAAATAAAGAGTAGGAAGTCTTAAAGATAATCAATTCATTCTACCAATGTCATAATCAATTAATCAAAATGTCAAATAAAAATACAAAATCCAGTTAGACACTGAGAAATTATTTAAGGCTGAAGGAATAGACATTTTTAATTCTCTAAATCAACTCTATTTAGACTTTTTTAATTTTTTTTTTTTGGTGGCTTGGGAAAGAATGTGATTATTGGTTCAAATCGCCATTACATGACCTCTAATTTCTTTTTCTATCAAAATTGAAGAGAATTTCTATCACCATCTAATAATATAAAATTCCTGTGTATAAATCACCTGTAAATTGAACAATATTATGCTCATATTTTGAAATCAAGGTAGACCTTTTATTTATTATTTATTTTTTTTATAATGATTTTCCTATCTGTAACGACCATTATGTAAATGATGTAACTTCTTCCAAAGGGAGTGCCAATAGATGGGAATATATCTCAATATCAATCAACAATATTTTTTTTTTAAGATTTATTCCATTTTAGTCTTCAAAATTTTAAAATATATGTTTTACTTATTGTGCTTTAAAATAAATAATCAATTTAGTTATGGTTGTTATCTTTTTCGTTAATTATTTAACAAATAGATAACATGGACTTTGATGTGTATATCTATTGGTACTATATAGATGGGTCGTGGCGAGAATTGAATGAACAAAAAGATAGTAATTATTTTTTAAAGTTGGAGGATGAAAATAGACATTTTAAAAATTCAAATATCAAAATGATTGTTTTCTACCCTTTAAATCTTTAAAAAAATAGTATAAAACTACTTAATTTCATAGTTTTCTTGTCAACTTTACTAGCATTGAAGATGTAGGCAGCACTTATAAAAAAGATTTAAAAACTATTTTGATTTTTATACTTTTAATTTTAGTTTATTTCGATCGTATATTTTCAAAATAAACGTTTATTTTGGTTCATGTATTTGCAACTTTGGTTATTTCTAGTCATTGTATTTTGAAACATACTTTATTATCCCATTCTTCTAAAAAGTAACTATTTTTTTTGTCCATTAGATCATCTTTATTTTTATCTTATTTCTTTCAATATTTTGACCTCAACAATAATAATAATACTAATTATTATTAAAATTATATAGGATGTGAAACTAAATGGATTTCGAAGTAAACTTAAAAATATGCCATACGAAATTAGTGTAAATTTAAATAAATTAATAGACATAGTTTATACAATGGAGAAATTTTTAATAATGGTTAGAACACAAAATTTTCCCTAAATTTAAGTGCCGATCTCGTGTATTGTATGGAAGAAAAATAAAATGGTGGTATAAAACTCATTTAAAAGAAAATAAAGTAAAATGGAAGAGCTTAGTCAACAGAAAAAAAAGGGGAAAAAGAAAGAAAGGGACGTAGGAGATTTGAAAATTAAATTAAAAGAAAAGAAAAAAAAAGGGGGAAATGAAGAGAGAAGAAAATATATGGTATGGAAAAAGTTGAAGAACATTCAATCCACAGAATTGGTCCCAATACATTCAACCCAAAACAGTACGGAACTTGATAAAGATGTTCCGACTGCGACTGTGACGTTGCAAGCGTGTAATCTGTCACCGCCCCCAAACATTTTGCGCCACGTGGACGCACGCGTGTGGTCTCCGCCTCTCTCTACTGTCACCGTCTTCTTACGTCACCATGATCATTCACGTCGCCGACACATCTCTGCCTCTCCTCCGCCTTGGAGACTCTCTATTCTATTTCATTTTCCTCCAAACCATTTTCTTTTTTCTTTTTTATTTTTTGAAAAATGACCATGGATAGCAAAAATCTTCTACAAAATATGTTACTTATTTTTTAAATTTTCAAATTTTCAAATATATTAATAGTATATCAGATACTCATATCAGTAGTATATTAGATGTGTATCACATATATATTTGCACAGACACTCATATTAGTAGTATATTATATATATATCAAATATATATTATAAGTATGTTAGACACTCATATCTATAGTATATCACACATATATATCAGTAGTTAGATATATTATAGATATATTACAGATGTATATCGTTTGGGTAAAGTTGTTATTTTAAAATTGGACCTCCGTTCTTTTAAGTGTTATATTTAAAAAAACTAAATGTGGTTGCTATTTTGTTAATTCTACTAAATGTTTTTGCCTTTTTTTTATCTTTATTTTTAGTTTTTGCATTATTTCACTTAAATTCTAGAGTTTAGTCAAGAATCAGACATTTATATGGTATTGGTAAAAAATCAACGATTAATTTTTTTAGGTAAATGGTCAGTATAGGATTTAAATCCATTCCCTCTAAATCTTTTTGATTGATCTCGACTCATTTAGACTAATGAACAATCCTATGATGGTTATAACTCATTCGATTTGTATGATTGATCTAAAAAGGGATAAGATTCTCGTCATCGTATTATTATAAACGGCATTAAATGGTCGAGATGAGATAATTGGACAAAAGATTAATTAATTTGATAGAATAAAAATACAAAGTAGTACAAATATTTAAAGTAGCATCAAGAAATGGCGAATAGACCCCCCCTCGAATTTAGTTTTGTGAGGTAGAGGGTTCTTGGAGTGGGGCATTTGCATCTGTACAGATCATATGTAGGACACTCCACATATTAATTGTTTATGTCACATATCATAATTTCAAGTACTACCACTTGAAGTTGGCTAAATTGACTAATACATAACATATAGTTTCAAATTAAAAACATATTGTAGATTGAAGAAGAAAAATAATAGTGCATGTTTGACCGAATGATTCTCTTGATATACGATGGCATTGTGAATTTAGAGATTTCTTTGAGGGTTAATATGGTATATATGTAATATGAATTGGAATATATAAAAATACGATCATAATATATGTTATGTGTGTATGAAATTTGATTGAAAGGGAGTGGTCATTTTCTGAGTTAAATAACAAATTTGGTCTTTAGTAATTCCCAACTACTTAATTCATAAACTAATTAAAATTTTTTTTATTATTTGAAATTTCAATTTTATGTCCAATAGATCCGTAAACTTCTTTTCTCTTGCTCTATTTCTTTACCTACTCACCAAACACCTGTGTGGTGACCAGAAATCAATAGAATGTAATTCTTAAATTATATAGTCAGTTTTAAATGGATGAGTCGGGCCGACAAGATTAAAATTCCAAGAATTTATAAGTAAAAATATTAATGTAAAATGACTAAATAGACGTATCATATTTTTTGAAAGTTAAGAAACTAAACTTATATTCCATGTTTTGTTGGATTATTACGAATTTAACGAGTTTTTAGTTTCTTTTTCTGATTAGTATGGTTGTGAGGATGAATTGAAATTGAAAACAAAATGATGATATAATAGTAGTATATTATGTGTATAGGTACTTGATTTAAAAGGAGTGGTCATTTTCAAAAGGGTTTCCATCGGCCAACAATAAAGCTTCCTTTTAAAGATATGATGATCACAAAAAATGATGGTGGAAAGTAAAGGGTCTTTTGGGAAGCCCTGTTTTCTCTCTTTCTTTCCCTTCATCCTTCTTCCAAATGATTAGGCTTCTTTGTCACTGTGATATAATTTTATTATCAAATTCGATATATAATGTTGATTAAAAAATTAAATATTATTGTTGAATTAAAGAAAAAAATAAAAATAAAAAATCTTCTGCTTCTATCTTTACCGTCCCTTCTTAAAGAAAAAAACATATGCATATATTTAAAGAACGCAGAACAAAAAATTTTCCTTAAGGACACATATTATTCAATTGAGTGGAGGATGACAAATTTTGTTTTCCTACATCTAATTTTAGGAATGAGAGAATAAAATGTGTCTTTTTAAGTATAATAATCTCTTGAAATTAAAATGTTAATTATTTTATGTATATTAATTGCAGCTTTGCAACGATTAGAAAAAATAAATGACCTAGGAAATTCATTTGGCTATACCTTTGTTAATGATTAATGATTTAGAGGTAGCATTAAAATTTTGGGATGTGGAATCATATTTTGAAATGATTACCATTACAAATTTGTTGAAATTGGGAAATAAAAATAAGGTAGGAGATGATTAAAATTTCTAGTGGGGTCAAAGATTTGGAGAGAATTTCTAATTACAACCTAGTGATTGATTGGAAAAAATAATGTAATTGAGAAAGATTATTGTTATGTATTAGAAATTAATTAAAATTTCTCGAAGATTGTATAGACTTAATAAATGTTTGAACTAAAACATATATTTACTTCTTTAAAGAATGTTGTTCTATGATCGATGAATATTTTAAACACGTGGTGGTTGATGTAGCATTTAAATGGTTGGATTTTGCTTTTTGCAAAGTAGTTTTCTTAGAGATTCATTAATGTTTAGTGAAGTTAATCTTAATATGCATGTAGTCCTGAGCGATGTTTTATTATTATTAATTTTTTTTTGCTTAATGAACCCGACATTGTAAGGTCAAGTTATGTCTCTCAATTAATTGAATAAAATAGTAGAGATTTGACAAAGCAAACAATATTTTCAACATTTAAATGATTGAAATAGAAATCAACATGAAATACAAAGTATAACATTGTTAAAACTAAGCTAAAATTGAAGTAGTATATAGAGGGGCATAAACAATATGTTAGTTTGCAGCCATTTTTGACCAAAATCAATGCGAAACTAACATATCAATTTAAGAAAATTAAATTAACATACCGACTACAATATCACTGGGTAGAAAGAAATCAAAATCTTTAAATATCACTTAAAATAAAAAATAAAAGTGCATTGCTCTCATGTTGGTTAAATTTCAACAAGCACATTAGATATTTTTTAATACATAATAGAGATTTAGAGAATAGGGTTGGAGGGAAAAGACTAAGCAGGTGAATGAGTTAACAGAAGAAGGGGAGGGGGGAATAATTAAAGAGAAAATGATGTAATTAAATATTTTTTTTTTTGGAAAAATGATGTAATTAATAATTGCGACAGTGGAACAAAAAAATATTGAAAAAAAAAGACATAATTGTTTTGGTTAAGTTAACTTGATGTAAGGCCTTATTATTTTCATTTAATTTTGAAAAAATTTAAGTGCTTATTATTATTATATAATAAGGCCGGAAAGTAGGAAGATTCGTTTGGTCGAGCCCATCTTGTGGTGTGCCCTGCTGCCCGCTGCCCGCTGCCCTGCCCAGTCCCACCTCAAACACAAGTCAAAAGCAGCAATTAGAGTGCCCTTGGAATTCCACTCAGAAAAGACAGGGGCTTTATTGTCAATTCCCAATCCCAAAAGGGCTAAAGGGCCAAACTTTAATCAAGTTTCCATGTCCCAATTGATAACAGCTTCCGACTTGACACCAATATTTGACTAATTAGCCTTTTTTTTTCTTTTTCTCAATTCTTGATTGCATTATAATTTCCTTAATAATCCTCTCTTAATCAATCTAATTCTACAAATTAATTATCACTTGTCTTTTGCATAATTATAATCCTATTTCTTTTTTTTTTTCCTTAAATCATACCTATATTAAAAAATGTTAAAGATGAAAACATTATCTCACAATGATTATGGTAAAAAAGACCTAGATGTATATATATATATATATAAATAATTAATAACAATGTTCCTATGAATTGTTATAACGAATTGAGTTGGATTCAAATAAAGAAAATTTTATGGGTTTGAGTTTGTTTGTAAATTCTCCTGAAATTAATTTAAGTGGAACAAAAATGAACTTATATTTATGAAAAATGTTGTAATGTGAAAAGAGATGTCAAATAATTTCTTCCTGAGTTGATTTAGAAATAATGAGAAGGGAATTAAAAAAAAAAAGAAAAAGAAAAAAGAAGTCAATCAGACAATCACATGTCTAAATTACGTATAAATTTATATTTATTAACAATCTTCATTCATTGAGCTGAAAGTATTATTCATAAAATTATATATTATCTTTATTCCTTATCATGTTGGTTGGTGTCAGTATAGTAAGCCATCAACTATTGTTAATCAATAATTTACTATCCTGATTAACATTAAAATAACAGAATAACTAATTGACATCATGCAGAATTTAAAATCCTGCTTCCCTTTTTAAAATCACAATAAGTCCCTACCTACAACAAATTCCCAAAAAGTGGTACTGGGTCTATTCGTCTATTGGGCCTGCTGGGCTGTAATGTTTGGGCCGCGAAGTCCGTTGGGCCGATTTTCCAACCCACCAAAGCAGAGTCTCTCCCTCTCCTCTCACAGTCTCGAACTAAGCTTGTTCATCACTTGTGTTTGGTCGTCGTCTCCGATTCCGTGTAAGCAAAATGCGGCTTCAATTGAACAACGAAATTCGGCCTCTAATTCTCCACCCAATTCAAAATTCCTTTTGTTCTTTCAAACCCACTTCCGGAAATGCCGTTTGTTTCGAACGAAAACAGAGGAACCGCCCCCAATTGGATCGGCTGAGACTGAGAGTCAAATTTCAGCGAACCCAAGACGAAGGAATTCCGGCGGACGACGTCAAAATCCTGGCCAAGTTCAAATCCCGCCACAATTTCATCAGAGTTCTTGAAGTTTCCAGAAAAGCAGAGCACCCATTCGCCGGTTCCAGATTGCTCCTCCTCGACGGCCCCGGCAACATCCACAGCATCTCCTTCCTCTTCAAGTCGCTCACCGACACCTACTTCGACGTCTTCGCCACATTGCCGCCGATTCTCCCGCCGGGCCCCATCGGGATTCTCGGATTCGGCGCCGGCTCCGCCGCCCGCCCGATCCTAAAGCTGTATCCCGAGGTCGTGATTCACGGGTGGGAGCTGGATCCGTCGGTAATCGCGGTGGGGAGGGAATACTTTGGCGTCACAAAGCTGGAAAAGGAATACCCAGAGAGGCTGTTAATCTACATTGGGAATGCTCTGAAGGCGAGCGTGAAGGGGGGATTTGCGGGGATTTTGGTGGATTTGTTCTGCAAAGGGAGTTTGATTCCGGAGCTTCAGGATCCAACTACTTGGGGGATGCTCGAAAGGTGTTTGATGAAAGGCGGCAGAGTGATGGTGAACGTGGGGGGGAGTTGCGTGGAGGCAGAGGACAGGGGGAGAGATGGGAGAGTGGTTATGGAGGAAACTTTGAGGGCAATGCATCAGATTTATGGGGACAAATTGTGGGTTTTGAGACTTGGGAATGGTGGGGATGACAGTTCGTTGGCTCTGACTGGTGATTTGCCGGACATTGGCGCTTGGAAGAAATCTCTGCCGCGTTCTTTGAGGTTCTATGCTCATATGTGGACAGTGTATAGCGCTACAGAATCATAACAATTCAGATTCTTTTGTTCTATCTCTCTCTTAATCCGGATTTGTTTGGGATGGCTTCTGTTTTAGTTGTGAAATTACTAACATTTTGCAAACATGAAGAAAATGTTGTACTTGGGTGGTGTAGGGATGATCTAGATTGTTGTAATTTTGGAAACTGAATGTGGGGTTGGTTCAACTTGATTACTGTTCTTCTTGATTCCGATGAGCTATTTTTTAATTCTCTCTCTCTTTACATATTTTTAAGAAAGATGAACACTTGATCACAGAGAAGACATTACAAAGTCACTCGTATTCCACTAATGATTGGTAATACAAAGAAAGATATTAATAGATTTTTGTTGTGTTCTTACAGTAATATTAAGTCACTGTAAATATATAGCCATGAGCACAGCCATAGGAAACTCAACCAACTTTGTTTCAAACCAAATACCAAAATTTCCATACATTATTTTGTTCATTCATTGAACTTTGGAGTTTATATGGGGGATTCGGCTATAGACATATGTATTTATGAGCTACAATGTTAATCTTAACATTCATTAGTTCACTCTCTTATAAATTTCACTTATAAATGTTTATTAATTTTCGTAAATTATTTTGTTAGTTTCATTACTTTATGAAATTCCACATCTAGCCTAGGATATTCAACTACAGACATATGTATTTATGGGCATACGATGAATTTAGAGGCTATAGAACATCGCAATGTTAATATTTAACATTTTTTTTATATGTGTGAGTGTTCGGACCAATTTGTATGCACATCGACTAATCTTACGAGACAAGTGTTACTACATTTAGTTGTTAAGTAAACATAGTAAAATAATTCCTATGTAGGTGGCCATTATGTGATTTTAACCCATTCACTTTATTTATTTATTTATTTATTTTTACTTACAGTGGCTTTAATGTTAACATTATAGCTCACTCTTTTGTAAATTTCACTAATAAATGTTTATTAATTTTTGTAAATGATTTTTTCATTTAATTAAATTATGAAATTTAAATCAAGTACACCATATTACTTAAGTAATGTAAACTTAATTGAAATGCAGGATTATGAATATTAAAAAAAAGAATAAAAGATAAAAAGAAAATTAATGAGGAGCTAAAAGAAAGAGTAAAATATATCTCTACGAGATTGATACAGTAATAATGTGCTTTGTCGTAGATACAAATCTCGTACATTTAAAAGAACTTAAAAGAAAAAGAAAAAGAAAAATTATCTTGTTTTTCCTTTTTTTCAATTATCTTGTTTATTAGTTTAAATTTAAGAAACGTTACCATAAAACCTCTCATTTAATTTTATTAAAGAATCTAATACATTTAATTAGGGATACAATCTATTCAAAGATCCACCAAATATACATATGAATAAAGTGGGTCCAAAAGGCATGTCTCTAATAATTAGGTCCATCTTAACTAATCCAATTAAGTAATCTAAAAACGATCTAACAAATCTTTCCAATTTTACCATGACCCACAATAAAAGGAAAGGATCATTGAAATTAATTTAACCAAAAGGGAAATTAATATGATGATTAAAGTGGTTGCTGAATTTCTCTATTTAAATTTGGAAAGATAATTAATTAATAAAAGCCCGTCCAATATAACAAATAAGGTCAAGTCATTAAATCATACATACCATTTATTTTTTAAATTGAAACCATCCCAATCATTTGAACTCCATTGTTTGTTCTTAATCCCAAAGTTAGAAGAACCTATTCAAATTAGATGAGTCTCTTCTGCTTCTGCTAAAACTCAACTCAACTGGTTAAGACATTAATTTCCGATCGGAAGGTCGTGACTTCAAATCTCCACCTCACATGTTGTTTTCAAAAAGGAAAAAAGAAATATATTTTCACTAATGGTTTTATGGTAATCTCATAATTATGGTTTCTTAGCCACATGCACCATCCCTAACCTAAACCCTAACTACCAAATTGAGAGAGAGATGTATATATTAATGGCCTCTTCTATGGAAAAAGATAAGAGAATTTTATATGCATATAAAAGAAGTCGCATGGCTTATGATTAGATTTTGGTTTTCTTTTTGGTATTCTATTCAACTTTGTGTTAAAAAATGTTTTGTTTTTTTTTTTTTTGGTATTCTCCATTCAACTTAAATTATATACAATTTGGGGTTTGCCCATACAAAGAATTTGTGTTTGTATTCTCTCTGTCTATGTGTATTGTATATGGAGCTTAAGATGGTGGATCAAAATTTTCCTCAAAAAAAAAAAAAAAAAGAAGAGGAATGGTGGGATGATGGAAATGGAATGTTAAAGGAGGGGACATATCTCTGAATAATGTCATTTTGATTTGATTCAGAGTCACTCTCTTTCCTTCCCATTTTACTGTACTTTCCATTCATATTTCCACCCCACTAAATTCTCTCTCTCTCTCTCTCTTTCTCTAAATTTTAGGGTTTCTCTACGAGGGTTCAGTTTTACAAGTGAAGCCTTTGTGAGTTCTTTCTGGTTTAGTACTTATTGGGTGCTGTTTCAAAATAAAGTTGGCTGCCCTAAGAAGCAGCAAAGCAAGGATCTTGGAAATTGACAGCTCTTCACAATTTGGGGAAAAAAAGGTAGTTTCTTTTAAGTCTTTTCTGATCTATGAAAACCTAGAAATAATGGATCATATTGACAGGTGAATATGTTTTTATTGACCTTTTTTTGTTCTTACTTTTCTTAATCTGTTTCATTGAAATATGGAGAAAGATGATGTTTTTGAATCTGGGTTTGTGATTTGAGTGAGAGATCATAAACTTCTCTGCAGTTGTCATTTAAGAACATGGAGTAGAAAAGATTGAAACTCGATAAAATTTTTGAAACATGCACCTGTCAAATCCAATTCCTTTTTCTGCTAAAATTTCAGAATTAGATTACTGCAATCTTCTCAGAGTCTGCTGGGATGCAATTGAGAAACTCAGGTAAAAAGTTAAATCCTTCATCAGACATGTCAGACAAAAAAGAAAAAAAACCCGATCAGACAGAAGGTGATTTGGATTTTAAAGGGTTCTCCAGAGTCATGAATATGAACACAGAGTAAAATTGAGCCAAATAAAAAAAACAAAAACAAACAAAGGAAGGGAAAGCAAAAGGAAAGGAAAAATTAGGATGGTTTTTTCAGATGTGTTTATGTGGGGGGGTGTTTCTCTGTCTCTCTAGAAGTAAGAAATCTACAAAGTTGTAATCTTTTTTGTGAGGAAGAAACTATTTTTGATAATTAACTAGTCTATTGATTTATCTTTATTTAGTTAATTAATTTGTCAACCAAAATTTAATTTAGAAATTAAAGTAGTACTAATTATATAATAGCCACCTTTTAGAGGTTTCTCTTGTTTTCGAGATGAAATTTTTCAATGTGTCATGGATTAATTTCTACCTTTGGGATGAGTTTCTCTATATTTATAGATTAATCTCAATCTTAAGAATTTGTCAATGTTTATAGATTCATTTCTATATATATCTTTGAAAATCTGCTCCCAACTTCTATGGACCGGTTTGTAAGATCATAGGTATACATGTGATACATGTGAGAGACAACCTCCTCACTAAAGATTTTTTTTTGGATGAAACCAAAAATAAAGCCGCAAAGGTTATAATAAAAAAGCGGACAATATCATACTATTATGAAAATGCGAGGATCTCTTGTTCGGACGGGTTCACAGCCACTCTTACAAAATCAAATCTTAATTTTAACCAACTATCCTTTCTTCATCTCATCAAACCTGAATTCAATGAACTCAAAACTGAAATAAGTTACTTGAGTTGTGTATGTGCAGTTGGAAAAAAATGGGTTCATCATCAAGAAGCAGCCCCCATTACTACAGCCCATGCGCAGCCTGCAAGTTCCTAAGGAGAAAATGCTTACCAGAATGCGATTTTGCACCATATTTCCCACCAGAAGAGCCCCAAAAATTCGCCAACGTCCACAAGGTGTTTGGAGCCAGCAACGTGGGGAAGCTGCTGAAGGAGGTTCCCCCTCACCAAAGGGCAGACGCCGTCGTTTCACTGGCGTATGAAGCCGAGGCTAGAATCAGAGATCCTGTCTATGGCTGCGTGGGCGCCATCTCCTGCCTCCAAAAGCAACTCCACGGCCTCCAGAAGGAACTTGATGCTGCAAAAGCTCGCCTTTTTCTCTACTCTTCCACTGCTGATTTCTCTTCTCCACTCATTTGGAACAACCATATTTCTTCTTCTTCTTCTTCTTCTTCTTCTGCTTCCATGTATTTCAACGCTGGAGGAATTTGAAGGTTCCTTTCATGTTATGCTAAAATGGGTTTGTATTGTATTGTGATGAAAACTTGTGATTTCAATGTTGTGTCTCTGACCTCTATATGGTTTAAAGGCAGCTGGGTAATGGGTTGTTAGGGTTTTGTTGTATTGTATATCATATAATATATAGTTGCCAAACTCTAGGCATGTGCTTGTGAATGTGTTTGATGTCATTTTCATTAAGGGTGTAATGGAATAGTTTTCCTACTAATTAACCTACCTATTTTATATACTTTTGCCTTAGTTCTATCTCCTTTTTAGAACCATGCTTTTCCTCTTCACAAATGAGATTATATATATATATATGGTTTAGGACAACAGTATCCTAAATATAGTGTGATATGGTCTGTTTTGAGCATAACATCTCTACGACTTGTTTCATCTAAAAAGTCTCATACTAATATGGAGATAATTGTCCCTATGTCTATAACATGAATCACCCACCCCTAACCCATAAGAGTTCTTTTTAATTAATTATTTTATATTATTATTACTATTATTATTTATTTATACTACTATTAATTTTTAATTTACAACTTTTATTAGTTGATGTGATTTTATTATAGAATATTTTTATTTAATTTTACTTTGTTATTATTAATTAATTAATAAGAACACATTTTAAAAAATAGAATTCACTATTATTAAATATTACAACAATAAAGTTTAGTAATATTCTATACTAAAGAGGGTTGTTCTAATAAAAAATTATTTTAGTTGATTTAATTTAATTTTAATTATTTATTATTGGTTAATATCCAATAAATTGTTATAATAAAAAATATTTACTATCAATTAAATGGTAATAAAATAAATTAAAATTTATTATTATTTTGCGTCTAATTCGTATTTCGATTTCAATCATTTTAGTAACAACATCAAAGGTTTTCTAATTCATATTCCAATTTCAACAGTTTTAGTACCATTCCTATTTCAACTAATTTCGTTCTAATTGATCTTCATTCTAATTCCTTCGTATTTTAGCAAACGGAGCCTTGATATTTAGTTTTGTAATGGAAATTATCACTAATTAAACATTGAGTTGAACTTTTTGGTACAAACCCATTAAGGCCTTCTAAAGTAGTTCATATGGTACCCTCTAAAACTGTATAGATTAGGGAAGAGACAGTAACTCTAGCTTTTTGAAGCTTTTTAGGTTTGAATATAATGTGAGTGAACATTCATTTGCTTCATTGACGATCTTCTATTGGCATTTTTTTATCAGCTTCTATTTGGTGGAATATTAACTGTTTTTCTCTGCCATCATTGGCTGTTTATTTATATGTCAAATAATGGGGCCTTTTGCAGCCTTTTTCTTGGAAAACCATTCATTTGTCACCTCCATAGATGTAACAGAGCAGGTCAAGACTCAGAAAGGAAAACAAAAGAATTCTCTTTGGATTATTTCTTAAGTACTTTATTTTGTCTAACTATGCTTTTTTTGGAGTGTTTGGTTCACGGGTTAAATTGAATTTCTACGACGACTATGAGTAGTAGCTGCGGTTATGTTTCCAAATCAAATTGGACCTAGTAACATCAAAGAATTCAACTTTTTTTTTAATGGACCTTAGAAAACGAAATGGAAAATCAATAGTTGTATCTTTGACCCATAACATATTACCCATCAAAATATGATTACAAGGTTCAGTTATTTTCTTTTTGGCTTTTTTTCTTTTCATATTTTTTTTTGGAGAAACTAGATGTGTGTGAGAAACATACACAAAAATAAGGGGACTAAATAAAAGCACTCCAATTTAGAGATATGGTGGTTGCATCATAATTAAAAAAAAGGGGATTTAGAGGACAAAAAAAAGCTGAAATAGTTATATCTCCYCAAAAGTTGGCCGGATACATACCAAAGTACTATGGTTTTTCTTTTCATATTTTAGTGCAGATGTAATATAATTTATTCAAATTAAAAGTCTTTTCGATTCTATCCAAGTGGGGAGAAGATCCCATTTCACTAATAAATTTAAATTACTTAAAATGAATATTCAAAATTTCGCCGTCTTTATCCTTCTTTTCTAGAAAGAATTAATCATTTGAAAAATTGTGTACCATGATTCTGAGCGTACAAATTAATCTCAGCTTCATATTAGAATCAATATTTCTAGTATTTGAATAAGTGAACCAATTTCAACTAACTTTTGTTTTTTTCCGTTGAGTCAAATTACATAATTGAAAAAAATGTTAGTGCGAAATGTACTCCATTTACCTAGAGTGAGACCAGCAAGGTGACATGAGTTGAACAATCTAAGTCAAGCCAATCGTGTTAAACCATCGACTAAATTAGACCAAACTAGACTCGAGCTGATCTAAGAACACATTCTCTATATATATAAGAGGAGAGACCTTTAAACACGAGATACGTTTTCACAATCCTGCTACTCTTTGCTATTTTAACTGTAACCTTTATTTGACTTAGCATCAAAATGTGTTAGACTTAGCACCATATCAACGTGCAGACATTGAATCCAAATCCAAAGTTCAGTGTAAGAAAATTCAATACAGTTTGAAAAAATAATATGGTTTGAGTTATTTAAATATAGTCTAAAAGAATAATTACATGACTTAGACTATTTTATGGAAAGGTAGGAGGGGGCCATAGAGCAAAAGGAAAAGAAAAAAAAAAAGCTGATTAGAAGTAACACCCTTCCAAAATAGGGCAAAGCATGCCCACCCTCCAAAAGATTACCATGACTATTAATGTTCATATTCCTTTTGGACTCTTAATTAGGAGAGAAATTATGGAAAGATTAGTTAGGCTTCCAATCTTTCTAATAATAGTCCGAAGATACTCTTTATAATAATATCTAATCCAATATTCTCCCTAAAAACTTATGCTAATTTTATCTTCCATTCTTATCCCATATAAAATTTAAAACAAGAAACAATAAACGGAAACCCCAATTGGTCCAAAACCGTTAAAATTTGGAAGCTCACTTCACAATGCATGTGCCTAAGAAAGAGTCTTTTATGCCAAAATTTTATACAATAAACTATACATTTTGTTATATTATAAGGTGAAGAAAGCAGGTATTAAATTAACTAAGTCAGACTACCAATAATAATCATAGGCATGATGATTGAAGCCACCCCATGCCATTCCCATTTCCTTTAATTTGGCAATCATTTGTTTCACTCCATACCCCAAAATGTCCTAATTTTTAGTGTTTGAAAATGGTGATAAAAAAAAAATAAAAATTAAAAGAAAAATCCTTTTTGCCCTCATGTTTTTTAGTACAAAGTTTGTAGTGGTTGAGGAAGGGCTTGAAGTTCAATGTTCCTGCACAAGATGCCGTGGGAGGTCTGCCTTGCTTGGGAAGAAATAAAATAATGTTTTTACTAACTTTATTCCTTGAATGTATAAACTTAAAAATAATAATGAAAAAAAAAAGTTTGTAGATATGAAGCCTTTTGGGATCGGCAAACATATATAGGATATCGTATATATGAAAGCCACTTCACCTACCTAGAGAAGCTTGAGAGTTGGGAGTATGCTTCCAACTAATAATTAATCTATAATTAATCAAACTTTTAATTACCCAGACCACATTATTTTAACGTGATTGGAATAACTTTCACCAAAAATATCAATTATAAATCATTTATCTAAAAGTAATATTTTAAGTATTTTTTATGATTGTGACAAATCATTCACTTTCTTTTAGTTTATTTATTTCTATCATTTGTTTGTTAATTTAAGTAAACTTATTTTATATGCATGTTATAACATTAATTTTCTTTTTTAATGATGTAAAGCATAAGCCAAGTAGAATCATTAATTCAAAATATAAGTAGGTAAGTGCAACTTTTTAGGGTGGGATTAAATCAATATAATTATAATGTGGGGTATTTCAGTGTGTGTTGGAGGGTGCCAAAATTTGACACATATATTGGAAGATCTATCTTAAGGTGTTTCGGCAAAAGTATATATACGGACCTAATTTGCAATTTGAACTATGAGTCTCAGTCATTAGGAGAAAGGAATCTTAACTAAGGCACCTGATGGACCTAAAGAAATTGTCCATTTGTGGTCCGACAACCATAACTACCTGTCGGAACAGCTGTAACCATCCTGTCTCTCACCATTCCCTTTAAAAAGAACGCATCTATTGCAAATATTTGACGTTGATTTATATTTTTTGTTCAAACTTAGATTGACTTGAGGTGTCTTTTTTTTTTTGGGAAATCTTTCCATATACTACTCTCTCCTTCGTAGCTCGTTCAAACAAAGACATAGTCGACCTTCGATAGCTCGACAGATTTCAGAATTTCTCTACAATATTTATATATATTTGCAAAAGCATGTACACATTTATATTTTTGTCTGTATAAATTTTAAAATAAGACATTTTTCAAAAATCAAAACTAAAATGTACAAGTGACAAAGTTCAGAATAAGTTTAAAAGTGCAATGTACTGATAACAAATTAGATCGAAGGAGTTCGGTTAAATAAATAATATTTAGATTAAATTACAAATTTAACCTATGACTAAGTTTTAATTTGATTTCGGTAGTTTTGAAAATTTCCATTTAACCCCTTAGAATTTGGGTTTAGTTTAAAATTTAAATTGAGTTAATTACTATATGGTTTGATTATTAAAGCCAAATTGAATTTAAGCCGAGACCTAAAAACCCTCGTTATTTGGCTGACAATCTGAATTCTATTTTGCTTTTAGATTCATTGAATTAAATAGATCTAAGTGAATATATCTTTGGAAACAGTTTTCAAATTCTGTGATATGTGAAAATTTTGAAAACAATATATTTTTATGTTTGGATTTTGAAAGCTTTAGAACCAAAATTAAAATTAAAAAAGATACAAAATTTGATAAACAAATTATTTTATGTTATAAATTCATTTTTATTTTTATTAAATTTAAAATATGTAAAATATAATATATTATAAATTATATAATATCGTAAAAATAATAATTATTAAAATTTATAATAAAAATATTAATTAATTAATTAATATTATCTAGATTGAATGAAATATTTAATTAACTTTCAAATCTACCCTCCAACATAAAATTGAAAATATTGAAAACAAAGAAGATAACTATTTTTTACCTTAAATCTATTATTTTCATATTCAGATTTCTATTTTTTTGATCACGAACCAATTCAACCTAACTTTTTTTAACGGAACTGATCCTGTGTTCGGCAATTGAGTTTCTGAGCCAAATTGGAAAATCGCACTCCGGCGATAAGCAGTGGCAGTGTTGTGGACACGACAAACGCAACGAGAGGACGCAATCCAATCCTCCACAAAATTGGTTGGAAAAAAGAAAAAAAAAAATTTGATAAGGATCCAAAACTTGAAATCCAAATCCAGTCCCAAAATCCGACAAAACACAGAGATGACAACTAAAGAGGCAATCTGGTCGACATGTTTGTCATGCAAACATCGAATCCATGAATGTCAAACAAGTGTCCCTCTCCTCCACGTGTCCTCCAAATTCTTCCCCTTATAACCCCCACTCATCACTCTACTCTCAGCCCCTCAATTTTGATTCCACACCCACTTCCAAGTTCCAAATATGGCCGATTACTATCAGCAGCAGCAGCCGCCGCCTGAAATTGTTGATTATGGCCGCCTCACCGACGACTTCCGGAGCATGCTCCCTCAGAAGGGCTCCTCCACTTCCACCTCCACCTCCCATCTCGTCGCCGTTTTGACCCTCCTCCCCGTCGGCGCCTCCCTGCTTTTCCTCGCCGGAATCTCCTTCGCCGCCACCGTCGTCGGCTTGGCTCTAGCCGCTCCGCTCTTGGTCATTTTCAGCCCCATTTTGGTCCCCGCCGCCTTGGTCATCGCCTTCGCCGTCGCCGGCTTTCTCACATCCGGTGCTTTCGGCGTCACGGCCCTCTCCGCGCTCTCCTGGATGGCCCAGAATCTCCGCAAATCGAGTGTCCCCGGCCAGCTCGAGCAGGCCAAGCGCTGGGCCTGGGAAACTGCGGGCCAGGCGGCCCAGACGGCCAAGGATGCGGGCCAAGCCATTCAAAGCAAGGTCCAGGACGGGCCGGTTGGAGAAGATGTGGGCCGAACCCAGGAAGAGGGAAAGACCGAAGAACGGCAGCAGGCCCAGGAAGGTGAAAGAGCCCAAGAGCAAGGCCGTCCTAGAGAAGAAGAGGCCCAAGAAGGTGGGAAAGCCCGAGAAGGTGGAAAAAGCCGAGGAGGGAGGAAATGACGAAGTTAGCCCCATTGAACCACTGATGGGCCTAGAACCGATGAAATTCGCGTATCTTATGTAAATAATTCTCGAAGCCTAAGTTCCTCCTCCAGCAGAGACAATGTCCATGTGGCGTGTGGCTGTTTCCCCAATCAAATTAAAAAAAAAAAAAAGGGGGGGGAATAAAAGAGGGAAACAGAATAGATATTAGGATATAATTCCTTGTTATCTGTACTGTATGTTATCTTATCTTCCACGAATAAAAGTATTGTTTCTTCTACGCATAGCGTTTCTTAAGTTTGTTACTCCTGTCTTAATAAAGCTGGATTCAGAAATTAAAATTTGGAGGGCTAGAAAATGAAAATATATGTTTAAATTAACAATCAGAATAATTAGACAATCTATTTTCTTAAGTTCCAATATCATTTTCTCTTATAAAGATGTCATTTAAGAGAGGTATCCCAAAAATCTATCTATCTGAGCTCCAAGATCCTTCTCTCATACAGAGATGAGATGTCTCCACATAATTGAATCAAATGAATAATCTAGAACTAATGAAAAAAGTGAGTTAGAGACTGTTATCTCAAATAGTCCATTTATATACTTTCTTAATAAAAATTTCTTTTCTCAATAGATTGTTTATTTTATTTTGTGTTAATTTCTACAAGTCATATTAGAACAGTAATAATTTATTATACATTTTGCACTAATTACCTAAGTGAAGCTTATATGACGACAGACAGATAATTTATTTTCTTTATATTTCTAACGTCGGGAGGTGAAAATCCCCACCCCACACACCATGATCACACCCTTGGGAAAAACAATAAAATGTAAGTATTATCTAAATAACACACGTGTATATAAATATTCCGAAAATTTATTTAATTGTTCGGATATTACAAAATTGTAAATATTGCATATGATATGCAGTAATTGCGGATATTACAAAATTGTAAATATTGCGTATGTATGCGGTAAAAATTGGGCGGTGGCATAATATATTACGAGCACCCTTTTTTTCTTTTTCTTTCCTTTTTTATTTTTCTGATTCTCTCCTTTCTATAATTGTCGCAAATATACGCACTATTATATATATAAATATATATTATATAATATATATTATTGGGCTTCTGCTCCCGTTCCACTCTGTCTATTTTCTCGTACTCCTCAATATTCTCACACGTCGATGTAATTGAAAAACTTGCAACAACGCATGCAACGGAACAGATGGGAGATTCGACATGTCGAATTATTTAGTACTGTTTACGAGGTTGGCAAGGTGATCTTTGATATTCTCTGCACCAACAAGTCGAAGTTGTCGTCTCGATCCACCATGCTTATTCTAACGAACTTTGCGCTGCACCCAAAGTTCACCCCACTTCGCCCTACTATTTTATGGCGTCGCAGTAAGCTTGCGCAATCTTCTTCATCTCCCTCGCACTTCAGCCACGCAAAAGCTGCATGTCCAACAACAACATAATGTTTAATTAAATCCATATATATGTCAAAGCGAACATAGCAAGTAGCATATATCTTTAACCAAGAAATTGTAAATTTGATCTTCCACCCCCACATGTTCTACTAAAAAAAGTATCTCCTTGACTTCTTGACAGTAAAGAAAAATGTTGTCCTCACCGATTTTTGACAACCAAGAGAGAGGAATGCAAAAACAAACACCTTTTATAAAAAATGGTGAGTATTCAATTTTTGAATGGTAGCGAGGAAAAGAAGAGATAATTTATCTCTTAATGGCAGTGGAGAAGGTTAATTCCGGGGGTCAAATATTTTTCTATTTAAAAGTAGTGAGCTGTAAATTTTCAACGTGAAAATATATTAGAGAGAGATTGGATTACCGGGTCGGGATTCTGTAGGTCGGCGGAGAAAGTTGCAATGAGCAGAAGGGAACTCCGGCAAACTGAACATCCCGCCGTGTTTAACGGCCTGCCTCAAGCGCCGCCACCGCTCGGTCATGAGGCGGTGGCCGAACCCATAAAAGGATTCACTGCATTCGGAAGTGAAAGCCTGTTCGCAACTATCCGATACGACACTCAGAATTCTGGCGGTCCGGAGCTGGGAATCCTTGGACACGCCGATGGTGTTGAGCTCGATGAACTTGACCATCCTGGAGGCGACGGCGGGGTCCTTGACGAGGGCCCAGCCGATGCGAGAGCCGGCGTGGCCGGTGCACTTGGAGGCGGTGAACAAGGCGAGATCGTGGTTGGCGGGGGCGGTGATTGGAGTGTAGTGGGGCCAGTAGTAGGCCAGGTCGTGCACCACTTTGCCTCCGCTTCGGTTAACCACTGGCGCCCGTATACTGCCGTCAGGGTTGTTGGGTGAAGTCACCATTTCTATGTAAGGATTGTGGCCGTCTTCGTCTTCCTTGTATGTGGCCGCGTCTCCACCCCATTGGAAAAGATTGCTTCTCAAGAACTCGCTCACCGACGGGTACGAAGAGTAATAAGGGACGGCGGAGACGACGGGGGTGGGCTGGGGAGAATCTGGGGAAGAGAGGGCGTAGAGGGAGGCCAATATGAGCTGGGAGGAGCCGGTTCCGACCACGATGTAGCGGCCCTCCGTGACGGCGTTTCCGACGACTCTGTGGAGTCTAAGGATCTGCTGGCACAACTCTGGCTCAAGAAACCAACACAGGCTCTGACCACCGGAGTAATAACTCATCGACCGCCACCCTTGTATCACCACCGTCGCTTTCTTCCCCATTCTCTTCCAATACGTTTCGAACATTGTTGGGTCTCCCCTGCATTTTTATATATTCCCATAATCCAACATTTCTTTTTCTTGGCTCAATTACAAATTTAACCATATAAGAAACTTCTTTTTTTTTTCTTTTCAAATTCATGGATTTATTAGAGCGAAGATTTAACTTTATCTAATAAAGCAATTACCCTTCAATTTTTTAACTATTAATTTTCAAAAATGTCTTACAAACAAAAAAATCTATAAGATACTTATAAAACTTACTCATTTACTAGACACAATTCAATCTTCGTCTATATCAAATCCTCAACACTTATTTTCACATATAAAAATTTGACAACTTCATCATGTTTTATAAAAGGAAAATACTCAAGTCCAAAGTTAAACATAAGAATTTTTTTTCTTTTTAGTTTATAGATATTTTAGAGTGAAGATTCAACTTTGTATCTAATAAAAAAACTACCATCCAATTTTTAAACCATTTATTTTTAAAAATATCTTATAAATAAAAAAAATTCTACAAGACACTTCTTAAAAAATTATTTATTTATTAGACACCATTCAATAGTAGTGTATATGAAATCAGAATAGTCTAACACCTATTTTCATATATAAAAAAAAAATTGACCACTCCATATTTTATAAAAGGAAAATACTTAACACTGATTACCATTGAAAAATTAACTCCGGTTGGCTGCATCATTTTATTAAAAAAAATAATAAAAAATCTAGATTTTTGCATTTATTTGTCAAACATTTTAATAGTTCTTAGCAAAATATATATGTCCTCACCAATCTGTACACTAGTATTTTCGTCTAAAACCATAAAAATACCCCTTTTTCAAGAATTTTCTCCTCAACTCTGTCAAAATTTTAATAATAATCAGTATCAGAACCAAAATATTATTAAATTTAATGAACACGTGACTATTATCCAAATTAGAATATAAAAAAATATATATATATATTTGCAAAGCAAGAATACAAAATAATTTAGCGCGAAGAAAATTTAGGTGGGCGTAGAGACTTACGCGTCTAAATTGATAAGTCTATCGTCCTGGTAATCTTGACGTTGAGATCGAGAAGACGGAGATAAAGGAACATTCTGTGCCTCCTTAATTAGTTCCTTCTGACGCTCCAATTTCCTCGCCGGCGAATCCCTCCGCCGCTCCTCGTCGCTGTAACACATAAATTCAAAACCCAATCATCCAAATTAAAACCCACAAACAAAATTCCAATAAAAAATAAAAAAAAAGCAGCATAATCTCACCTCGACTCTGTTCTGAAATTCACACAAGTACAAAATTTAAGCATGTTTTTTTAAAATAATTGTACGTACTGATGAATATATTCAATATAAAAAATTCTACTATTCCGATGATATTGAATTAGTAGATCCGGTGAGAGCGCAGAGAAGAGAGAGAAAGAGGGGGAGAGAGAGAGGAAGATCCGCCCAATGGCCTGACCGGGGAAGTTATCTTATGAAGAAAAAAATCCCACAAATCATTTGTCGGCGAAGTTTACAGATTTTTCACCGGAATAAATAGACGACCCCCAACCGGAGATGCCACGTGGACAACCAACCCTAAATGTAGAACCACAATCTGAATCAACCAAAAACGAAGGTTGTCCATTAACGGTCCTCTCTATAATTCAGGATATTACGGTCAGCACCTATTAAATAGTAAACCTCAAACCAATAACTTAAATTAATCATAAATTTGTAATTAATAGTTATACATGTTTAACTCTATAATTGCACTCTAACATGTGAACTTTGCTTAGCCCTAATTGCCTAATTGGCACCTAATTCTGATCAAAACTAGTTCGAATTCTCTCCTACCAAATTTTATAATTACAGAAACTAACACCCTTTTGTTTTTGTTTTTACAAAATATTTTGACTAAATGTATATATATTTTAGTGTTGGAAGATTTTTTTTTTCAATTTAGTGTTTTGTGTTTTAATACTTTTTTAAATTTAGTCCCTTGCTATTGGTCTTGAATGCTAAAATTGGTATATGATAAATTTAAATGACATAAAGCTTAGTAAACTTGATAGAAATTTAGAGGAGAAAATAATTTATAACTCAAATTTTCTACTAATTTCTTAGAAATACGACGGAGAAAGTATTTTTAGTAAATTTTAAAATTTATCAATAGTGAGAGACTAAATTGAATTTTGTTAAAAGACTCAAATGAAAATTTTTAAACAATGATATACAAATTGAAAAGAAATTCCTAAATAATAAGGAATAAAACATATATTTAGCATTGCATAAAAAGAAGAAGGAAAAAGAAGCATATATTTAACCTACAAATTTAGCATGTATTAACCTTTTCTTTTCCTCTCGACTTATTCATTTAATTGAAGCATATTATATTTGATACTCTATAATGCTTCAATAAGTTTTTCGTATGCATATTCTGGTCAATTGTGGAAATTATGTTGAACCAAATATGGCAAGAAAACTTTTCCCTTAACTATTAGAATTAAATACATTATGATATAGGAGAAAAGTAAAACCTATTATTATGGTACTATTGTTAATGGTAAATAGGGATAGATTTGACTCGTAAAAAATAAGTATAAACATTAATAGTTTGGTTTAAAGTTTTATTGGACGTCCATGAATTAAAAAATATGAAAATAAGATGTTTGAAAATAGTATTACTGGAAAAAAAATTGCAGCAACTAATAATCTAAGTAAAATTAAATAGTTTCTCTTAAAAAAAAAACTCAAATTAAATATAACTGATTGGTATCATTTAATTGATATAAAATAATTTAATTAAATAGTTGGCTATAATTGTTGAAAATGAATGCTTCCACTAGATTATTTAATTGGTATATATTTAACATATGATTAGCTGGTATAGCCGTAGTAGGATACCCTCCTTTATAGGTTTAATTTACAAAATGGCCATTGATGATTTATTCCTATTCCCAGGCTTCTAAATTCTTTCCCATTTCCACGTACGGCATCTTAAATGAGTTGAGTTAGGTTTATATTAATCTTTCATTTTTTTGTTCGGTAGAATATTCACATATTCATATTCATTTTTTTTCTTTCGACTTCAACATGAGAAGGTTCCAGCAGGTTCTACATGGGTTCCAATAATTACTTGTCTGCTCCTTTTTGCTAAACTCATTCTCATTGGGTAAAATTTGTCATCTACGAGGATTGTTCCTGTCTTGTTATTGAATTAGATTCTCTCTACACAATCTCTCTCATTACAGGGGAGAAGAACGGACTTTGAGTTCATGAAATTAAGACAAAAAATCTTACATTCTCCACTCATGCTCCTTCTTACATGTCTCTCGAGATCAAAATAGACTAGTCGATTTCTCTCGTCAATTTTGATGTGTTCGATTATGTGATTTTCTTTCATGGGCTTCACACTTTCTTGCATGTCTTGTAGAAGTGGAAAGTAGCTCAATTGTTGCCACGTGGCTAAATATTCTTATTAATAAAAGCTCCATTTAAAAAAATACGAGAGAGTAAAGATTCAAACTTTCAAATTTTTATCAAAAATTCGTTAGGCGAAAGTTTGTATTCATATCTTCATTTAATAGAGTCTTCACAAAAAAAAAAAAAAAATCAAGAAACTGAAGTTTGAAGTCAAAGATAAAAATAAAAATACATAAAGTAATGTGGTGATAAATATTATCTAAATGAATTTTCTTTTGGAGATAATTTGATACGTACTCGTTGAATTGATTTTTTTTGGGTACTAATTTATTTTAAAACTGTAATGACCGTGGATCGCGATATTGAAGAACAGAGTCTTTCGAAGGTCAAAATCGATACTCAATTATGGACAATCTAGAAGAGCCCGGCCATGGAACCTGAATCTTCACCATTTGATCATCCTCATATTCAAATCCTACATCTTCTCCGTCAATTTTGCAGCTTCTAGGCCCCTCCGAAGCAAACACTAAAATCTCCCCACAGCCCCTTGCTCCGACTCTTACCAATCCTTCATTCTCATCAATTTCTAGGGATTGTATGGCGCCCCCAGGATTGAGCATATTGGCCAGCCCAATCGGAGCGAATCCCACGTATGGCTTCGATAGAACTGTGACAGGGGAAACTACAAGCAGTTGGTAATTTAGTGGGGCGATTGAGTATTCTAAATTCTCCGATGCCTTCAACAGCTCTAGTTTCTTTTGTCGGACCATGTAGATGGCGAAGAAGTTGACTCCCTTGACAGAAATGGGGGTTTTCCCATTGTTCCACTCGATGTCTTTGGGGCCGGCGACGCAGGTTAGTGTTCGGGCGTACTCGGAGGCCCTTCTGTTTTGCCTTGTCTTGGGACACCACCCTCCTCCTTGGCAATTGAACAGCCCCAACGCGCCTGTGAACTGTTGAAATTTGAGCACAAGGTGTTTGATTAAATGTCGCACCCAAGAGTTAAAGGCTTTAGTCAAAGAGGGTTAACTGGAAGGGTAATTATGTCCTTTTATCCATTTTTTAAAGTAGATAATAAAATAAATAGAAGCATTTGACTGGTTTTATATGAAGATTATTTTATTGTCTTATATATGTATTCAACAACTAATCTTACTTTGTTGAGGTTCCAAAATTTGAGGATGGTTTTGCCATCATGAAGGGGGTCTTCGAAGAGACAATCTCGAGTAGGGAGGGCGTGATATTGGCATCGGAGTATGGATCCATCGGGCAAAACTAGACTTTTGAGTAAGTTGAAGTTGTGGCTACCGACTGAGTCACTTATGTAGATTGGTCCACCGGAGATGGCCCTCGAGGCGGCGTGGAACTCGGCACAAGGGTGGTTGGATTGGAACATGTCCCAGTCTGGGTGAATCATATTTCCCATCCAGAGACTATTATAAGCACAGTGTACCATGTGACACCCTTGTAGCCAATATGGATCTCCAGAAAGATCCTTTGTCCAGAAGTCATCCCCTGTAACGCACACAAATAATGTCAACATTCAAAGCTCATCACTATTAGACACAAGTTAATATAGACCTGTTATGAATATCATTTGTAAGGAGGAAAAAACTTGTAATTTAGATTTTGTAAAATTTTAGGGAAAGGATCCGAGAAGGGCATACCGACACGTCCAAGTGTTATGGCCTCTGTTCCAAGGTACATAAAGTCATTGCAATGCTCCATGCTAGCAATGACCCCATTTCCTTTGAAATATTTATGTATAGACATTGTAAGTGCCGTGTAATACGCTTTAGCCAGCTCGATCCGACCTCCGAATTCCTCCGATAGCATTTCAAGCAACTACATAATTGATCACACAAGTTGAAGTTATAATTATTATATTTCTGAAAATGAAAATGGAGTTAGAGGGTCTTTAATTTCAGACGACTTACGTGAATAACATCAACCTTAACACCGTCAATGCCTGCAGACTGGAGATGGGAGTGGAGTCCCTCGTACATTTTGTGGGCCAGCTCAGGTGGGACCAATCCGATGCCGCTACTGACAATTTTATCCACGGCCAAATCCTCCATCGTCATTTCCAACTCTTGGGACAAGTTAGGACTAATGATCCTTGACAGGGGCATTCCCAGCACATTGGGTCTAATCCCGCCCCAATATCCACAAAGCGCGTGCCACACGTACACATACTCTACACTCCTAAACTCCTCCTTCAAGTCCTTCACAAAGGCACCCAATCCTTTACAATTCTCCCGATCACTCTTGTACTCCCTAAATTTATAATTTTCTTCAAATTTTATTAACCTGCACGGCATTTGTTCGCCAGCAGTTGTTAGATCCATAGCTTCCTGTTCGCGACCATCCGTGATGGAATCCGCATCATGAGCGATGGACTGCCACCCATCGTCAATCAGGACCATCCCCGGTGGGCACCCACCGTCCACTAGGCATTTGACACCTGTCCTAATCCCCTGAGGGTTGACCTTAAGATAGAACGCGTCCCACGTGCACCACCCGAATTTGTCCATGATTCCCGGTGGCGTTTTTTCTTCTAGAAGCTTGAATGTCCCTAGACTAAGTTTGACCGCCTTCATTGCATCTTTGACCAAACTGTACGGATCTTCTCCCACTTGAATGTACAAGCAACTTCTGAACCGGGAGGCACGGACGCAGGTGGACCCACTTTCGACCCACATCGCCACGGTGTCATCCCCGTCGCCACCAGGACGCAGTGAGCATCTGAAAGCTCCTTCCAAGATTGGAAGCAGGAGAACAAATGGACGGCCCTGATCACTCCTGTCCAAAATCATCATCTGGGTCTCGTGCTGGACGTCGCTCCCGCACGTGCCGACCCACTGCGTGGTCCACCACACCTTGAATCGGAAAATACTGGAGAATCTTATACCTCGGAGCCGGCCGATGGATGCCACGTGGCAGCTGTTGGACTCATCGGCGTCGAAGCCGACAAAACAGCCGACCGCCAGCTGGGTCTCGGTCTCAGAGATGAGTGGCGAAGGCGTGGCTGTGATATATGGAGGGACATGGGTGAGAATTGGGTGGTGGCCGTTGGCGACAAAATTGGAATCTTTTAAGGTGATTGAGAGAGCAGGGCGTGAGGAAGCGTTGAGAACTCCCACTACTTCGTCGTTTATGGCGTTTTTGGTTAAGCTTGGTGGAGCCATGGGGAAGAAGAAATGAGAAGATGGGTATAGAAGTAGTGGAGAGGATCGAAGAGGGTTGAGAAGGAGGCCGGTTTATAAAGGAAAATGGAAAGTTGTTACAAATTGTGGTAAAGAAAAAGAGTAAAGTGGGGACAGAACCTTGTAGCGTTGTTAATGTTCTTCTTGTCAACAGAAAGAGGGTATGGACTCAATAAAGCTCAAATCATGATATATGCATATCTCTTTTTTGTTGCCTCCCACGTTTTAGGCTAGTGTCTAACAATTTTTTTTAATTAAAATACTATTTTAATTTAGTCCGTGCATTTTTATTTGATTTGTCTTTGGACACATTCGTTATTGCTTTTACTCTTTGACTTTCGTTCATTTTGGTCATTAAATTTAAAGTGTTCATTTTGGTTCTTATACTTTAAAAAAAATAATCACTTTAATTTCTATTTGTAAAAGTTTTAACCTGAACTCTACCCCTAATGAAAACTTTTATAAATTAATAATAGTTACATTTTAAGAAATATATTGAGTGTAATGTTTGAAATTGTGATAGAAAAATTAAATTAAAAATAAAATTAAAGACCCAAAAAGGTCAATATACTGACCAAAACAAACATATTTTGAAAGTATAGAGACTAAAATGAACCAAAGTTAAAAGTACATGTTTGTATTTTAACCTAAGTTTTCTAATTTTTTTTTAGCAAAGAAGAAACTTTTATTAAGAAGAAATAAGAATATGATCCTGACATTTTCTAAACATTTGAAAAAATTATAGTAGATATTTTAATTTATAAAATATTTAGGTCATTATTATTTAAAAAATATATATCTTCTTGCATTTTTCTTAGTCGTCAAACATTAAGTGGTGAGCGCAAGATATAGGTCCTCAAATTTAAGTATTTTTTTTTATTTTATCTTATTTTTATTGTATCCCAATTTAGTCTATATACTTTATAAAGTTTCTAATAGGCATCGGTACCTATCATAATTTCTTAAATGCTATTAATTATATAGTTTTACACATTAACATCATTGAAAATGTCTACGTGTTTTTTCTTTTTCCTTTTCTACTAATTTCTTATATCATCGAGTTCTTTTCTTTTCTTTACTTATTTTTTCCTCCTCCTCTCCCTCCAGTTAGGTATCTTCTGTTGGAAAAGTAATCTTGGCTGTGAATGTGACTAGACAATAAGAAAACTTCTCCTTTTTCTATTTC